AAAGATATCAGATTAATCTTTTATTCTCCTGTGGATGGTCTTCTACACTCGTTTCATGTTTGTTTACTTGATGTGTAAACAAACATACATCCTGAACAGGTGTAAATTGAGGTAGAGTTTTGGTCCTTTTGGTCCTTTTCGACTAAATATATGCTTTCAGAAGCATTCCAAACAGCATTCTTTATAAACTCCCTAGCTTCGCCTCTTATGAAGGAATTGCTAAACAAGACCTCAATACAGTCTTCTCCTTCCAGGGCTGTTGCTTCTGACTTTTGTTTAAATTCCAAAATGCAACAACAGAGCGACTCTCTCTCATCTGCTATTATTATTCACCTACATGTTAAATAATCAATGTCTAGCAAAGAAACTGAGATAGGAGGGAGTAAGAACAGACTCAATCCCCATTGTTTCCAAAGCCAAGCTTTCAAGTCTATGTTCCAATAACGAATTGAGTAGAAGTTAAAAACTAGAGGATAGGAGACGTCACAAGTAATTCCAAAAGTGTCCTAGGACAAATCGAGTAGCTATTTGTCGCTAGGCCGCTTTTCTGGTTGTATCTGTTTATTTATTTGAGGATCGCTCAACGTTGTATTTCTTGATCAAAGGCAATTTATTTTTAAATAAATAGAAGATCTTAAATGAAAGGTATTGTTTCATTTGCTACTTCTCATTGAATGGTCGATCGTATTTTATGCCTTATTTATATAAGTAGCGTTAGCTGCCGAACAAAACTACTTCTGTTTTTGAAGTATCAACTCTTTACTTTCAGTCTATACATATACAAACAAAAATTGTTGATATACAAAACTAACCAGTGATACTATCAGTAACTTACAAGTTCAAAATAAACACACATCTAACCAAGTGGTAGTAAAATGGTTGTATGGTGTAGCGGCTAGCACATGAGATTTTGATTCTCGAGATCTGGGTTCGACTCCCAGTACGACCTGTTCTGTACTACATTTTTTTCGATACTTTAAAGTTTGCTCATACTGTTATTGTGCTTTGCTTCATTTCGTAAAAAAACTAAAAGATTTTTCATATGGATGTGGTGATTCCTGTTTGCATGACACAAATTACTGGAACATGCTGGCTATCTTCACTATATGAAGAACAAAAAACAGGATATGCGATGATGAGTGTAATAACTTCACAGAAGAAATCCAATGAAGAAAATATTCACTAATGTTTGTGTGCTGTGCAGAGACAGTTAGCCGTCCACTTGAGATGTGTTCCAGAAAGACCTATTTTAAAACATTTCAATTAGCCTGTTAGTTAAATGAACTTTGCGAATTTACCCCAGCATTTTATACCATCAGACCCAAGCTATTATAGGTAACAGTAACAGTCAGTAAAACAAAAAAGATTTATTCTCGAAAGACAGCGATGAAAAGCACTTCCTTTCAAGCCGTTAAGCTTAAAAACCAATACATTTTTTCTTACTATTACTGTACAATTGAGAACCGCTACTTTTCTCAGACCTTCGGTGTTATCACGGTAATAATACTGTGGAGTATGAACAGAATTGAGTGATATAGCTCAGTAAATACTTGGTACAAATTTGACTTTTAGTTTTAGATCTTTTTATTTACATACATTTACTTAATGTCCTCTGGATAGGCCAGCTAAGGATGTGAACAAGTTTATTCATTTGAGAGCATATTTCCAACTGAATATTTAACCAAACCAGTCAAATCCTCCAATCTGCCAATTTCGACTGTAAGCTGAAAGGTTTATACATCTTCGCTACAACAGCTAATGTGATCCTTTTGTAGGAATAAGTTTCTTTGTCTAAAGAACTTCCACTATGAAAGCTGTCCAATTTGTTTAAATCGTATTTTCTAATGCTTTGTTTACTATTTGTAATATATTATCCTTTAGTCTTATGGCATATGTTACTTATCAGAAATACGCTCTTATGATAGGCGTTTGTAATATATATATAATTTTAACAAGACGCTTATGGTGACAAGTGACAGACTCCCTCTGACTGGAGTTATAAAAAATACGGTTAACGCGATATCGTTATATAGGAAATGCTTAGAGATAGCGAGAGCTACTTTGCTCTTCCGTGAGCTATTATAAGAAAAAACAGTATATATCGTTATTTTACTGAAACTATACAATCCAGACTGGAAAAACTTTGCCTAAGCAAAGTATTAGCATTTGTAGTTGAACGCTCTAAGGAATCCTCATCTATATTTTCAAATGGGACAAACTCTCTCCGAACCAGTCGTAGAAAAACATTCTAGTTCTGGCGGAGATAATTTTGTACAATATGGAGTATCACACATGCAAGGCTGGCGGATTTCGATGGAGGATGCACACAGTGCGGTTTTAAATATGTTACACCATCCAGGAAATCCTCAGATTAGTTTTTTTGGCGTTTTTGATGGCCATGGAGGAGATCGGGTTGCGAAATATTGCGGGCAAAACTTGCCAGAAATTATAAAATCGCAACACTCCTTCTGGAAAGGGGACTATGGAGAAGCGTTAAAGTCGGGATTTTTGGAAACTGATCAGGCATTAATGAGGGATTACGATATGCAAGAAGACCCCTCTGGCTGCACAGCCACGACAGTCATGATAATCAATGATCAAGTAGTATATTGTGCCAATGCAGGAGATTCTCGAACCGTTCTCTCAAGGCGAGGAATCTCAGAACCTCTTTCTTTTGACCATAAACCAAATATAGATGTCGAAAAGGCACGAATAAAGGCAGCAGGTGGATTTATTGATTTTGGTCGGGTCAATGGCAGTTTAGCACTTTCTCGAGCTATCGGTGATTTCGAATACAAAAAGAATAGTCTCCTTCCTCCAGAAAAGCAAATCGTCACAGCCTTTCCTGACGTCGTTGTTCATACTATCGGCCCGGAAGATGAATTTTTGGTCTTAGCATGTGATGGAATATGGGACTGCAAAACTTCTCAGGAAGTTGTTGAATTTGTTCGCAGAGGAATTGTTGCCAAACAATCTTTGGAAACAATCGGTGAAAATTTAATGGATAGATGTATTGCCAGCAATAGTGAGTCCTGTGGAATTGGCTGCGACAATATGACTATTTGCATTGTAGCTCTCTTGCGAGGTCGTACTTTGGATGAATGGTATGACTGGATAATCCATCGTGTCGAATCTGGCATAGGTCCTTGTGCTCCTGCTTCATACGCTGAATTACGTGGCCCTAATACCGTAGCTGATGCCCGAAATATACATCTTGAATACGATTACATTGCAAGTCACGAATATGGTAGTGGTGATACCTACGATAGTGATTCTGATGATGAATCTGTCATTTATGACCGCTATTTCTTGCATTAAAATATAAACCTAATTTTACACCTCGTCATTCTTCAGGGTAATCTCACTTTGATACCGTTCAGTTTTTTTGTTGTTCTATATGCTTTTCAGTTTGATCTTTTATAAATACGTGGACGTTATTAATTATCCCAACTCACCTCGTCATTTGTTTTAATTTATTGTCATTTCTCTTCTCTCCTTCTCTTTTTTTGTATCTTAACTTTTTCCTTTTGCCGCTTTATTAATAATGGTTTTACTAAAGCTTTGTAATTCTGTTGACATGCCATTTGTTTTCTTTCCTTGAAGGCTTTCGATGAAATTTTTTTTTTTTAGAAAAAGAAGCAAGAAGGTGAGAAGACAAGCGTGTTGTTCCTATTCTATCGCTTTGGTATTTTACAGCCAAGGATCTTTACCAAGGAATACACTCATAATTAATGTTTCCATTTAATTATGCGATGTTGTATTATATATCTCTTCCTTTGGTGATCTTCAGTTGGCGTACTTCTACTATCCTCGCTAATAATACTCATATGGAGTATTTATATCCTTTATTCGCTTCTTTCATACGCCAATTCTTGTGTTAGTTCTACACTGAGCTTTACCATTTGATTCCTATTGAAGTGTCGAAGATGAGTAATTGCATCGGTATCTTGTTTTCCAATCTATGAATGCCAAAGCATTATGATCAGCATCAGGTTTATATTAAGGCAACGGTTTTTGAATATTTAGCAAAAGCAAGGTATTTAAAAACCATCCGTGAATTCCATTTTCGTATATTATTATTTTTGGTACCTTTACTTCTGTAGTAAGAAGAGTCCTTATTATAAAAACTACTCCCATTTTCTCTGAGATTTCTTCCGTATAGATTTTGTTTACGTTTGTTAAATTTAACATCTTTATTTATAATAGATTTCATAAAGCCGAAATGGTATTTGAATTCATTAGGCCTTGGATGGATAAACTTTGTCTTTTTGTTGTTTTATTTTTGTACACTTTTCAATTTATTATATTCAATTTACAATTATGAAAAGCATGGCAATGTATGCACGAACATGGGGCTCGGAAATACTTCATAGCTAAGGAAGGAACTCTTCGAGCCTAATTTCTTTTTCTTTTTTTTTTCTCTAGGAAGAAGAAGAACATAAATTAGAGATGTTTGTTTGCTTTCATGTATACCTTTGGATTTAGAAGACGGTATCAAAATCTGAAAACCCAAACAAACTTCGGTTATATCTGTAGAAAGCTTTTTGAAGACTTTTTCTATTTAAAATTAGCACTTTTTATATCTGTAACTTCTAGTTTTCAAAAAATACAACTTCTCGTCTTGGGCAAAAACGAACTCCCACTGCGAGACTCGAACTCGCAACCTTCCGGTTAAAAGCCGGACGCTCTAAGCCGATTGAGCTAAACGGGACTTGGTTAACTAAAGCGTGTTAAAAAAGCCTATATTCTCTTGCTAACTTTTAAGAAATACTCTGATATTCATCTATTAATGAATTTGTTTCTTGCAATCATTATTACATTTCATCTCTAAAAATGTGTTTATGAACCGAGCAAGAGTACATTTACTAAAAAACCCTCATTCTCCTCCAAGCTTTGGCTGTAACCACTCCGGATACCTACAGTCTACTAAAATATGGATGTTATCAGGAAAAGAGATTAATATTATACTTCAGGTGATTTATTTTAAATTACTACTGTTCATTTTCTCATAATAATTGCTTTCATAATTGATAATCGTAAAGTTCGTGTTTGAGCTCTAATATTCTTGGTTGGATATAAGACTCATACTATGCAGGAAATTAAATAATGCTTTATGCAGTCCGGATGGATGACGCTTCCTATTCTTTTTTTCTTATTTTAGTCCCAGTTTGTCTTCAATATAAAAGTTGATTCTCACCAAGAAACGATAGAAGCAAGGTTCATATTTCTTGAGATTTTGTACAACCTTTAGATTCGTTTCATACTTCTTTCACGACTGAGGCAATTTAGAGAAGATATTCAAAGTAAAATGCCATAAAGACTAAGAAAGAAGCAATCATAATAGAGGAGGAAACCTTACTCTTGTTAGCAGCACTTTCTTGTTTACCTGACTTTCCCTTCGAGTCATTTGAGCTCTTGGAGTTATTTTTCGGTTCCTTGCGGCTTCCTTCAATTTCGTCCTCCAAAAAATCGTCATCAAGAGTAGCTTCCTCATTCGTTGGATTCTCTACGTTTCCACGACAGACAAATGATTTGCCTTTGATGACTCCATCGCTTTGACGGAATGGGCAAGAGAATTGATCAGAGGAGGATTGCAAATTCAAACCTCCCTTGACATCTCTAAGACTAGGCAAATCGACTTCAGCCAAGTCACCGCTGAAATCAATAGATCCAGACACTGTTCGCAACTTCTCAAATCCCTTGATTTTTTTCAGTTCTTGGTTATTGAAAATCATAAAGGTACCACCAATTGTTTCCAACTGCTTAAAGTTGATTGAATCCAAATTCGTGTTGCCAACAAAGAACAAAGATTGACCAATACGAGTCATATTGGGACAAGAGACTTCTTTCATAGTACTGTTCAAAAATCCAAGGAATCCTTCGACAGTTTTTAGATTTCGAAGATCAATGTTAGCGACTCTCTGAACAGTCATGTCTCCTACTTGCTGAAGCATGGGTAATTTAACATCGATTTCCCTGGCATTGTAGGAAACATAAAACTTATGTTTTACGACTTCCAAGTAAGGCATGTTCACCTCTCGGAGATAGTTGTTGTTGACAACAATCATGGTGTCGGTCTTGTTCAGAGATATACCATCAAGAGTAGATAATTGTGTGTCCTCAATGCGCAAACGGGTTGCGTGCTTAACACCCTTGTCGAATCGAATTCCCTGAAGATTTGGTAAAACACGCAAGTTCAATGAGCCAACAGTTTCCAAAACAGGAGCATACAAACTACCGAGTCTAGTGAGCTTTTCCAGGCGAAGTTCCCCGTGAACAGATTTCAATGAGTTTAGAGAAACCGAAGCCAAATAATAGTTATTCTGGATAATAACGTCACCGGTAACAGTTTCGATCCGATTCAACGACAGCGAGACGGCTGAACTTGAATTCATGATGATAGAACCATTGATGACTTGACAGTTACTTAAAACATCAAGATCGCTTTGGTTTTGAATAATGTATTCTGGTGCTCCGCATGTCGTGGGGTTTGCGAAAACAGTGGAAAGCATCCATGACCCCAGCAATGCCAGAGTATAACTTAGGGAAGTAATCTTCATTGTTTCGAGCTTAGAGGGCAATTGAGTTTATTGTTGCGATAGGAAATATGAAACAGTTTGCTTTTCGAAGTATTCCAAAGAGAACTGGAGTAGGGAAATCACAGAGAAGTTTCAATCCAACGGCCTTTCGATCTTTATCAAATATACAAAGCAAGAAGTTAAGGATGCAAAGTTGTATCTAAGCGTGATAGCGACTAAAGATACTAAGAATGTTAATTATGTTCAAAGAGAATTCGCTTTTTCAGCACCTTGGGGGATAAAATACAAATGCAAGGCAAAATAAATAGTATGTGTTTTATGCAAGTTTTTCTATAAAGATGCTGCCCCTTTTATAGAACGCAATCGACAAGGTAAACAATAAACAAATCTTCAAAGCCTCTTGGTTATGTACTGAAACGCTCAACAAGGATTTGTCTTTTCATTTCCCTGTATTTCTATGGACTATATGCGTTATGCATGCACGCCTACTTTTCCATTGAATATGTTTGTTGACTTTGTTTTCTTTGCCGCCTGCCTATGCTTCAAAGACCGATCGGTCATACACACAAATGTTTGTTTATTTATGTTTACAACAAGCATTAGGCATCAGGTTTCGAATAGCGAAATGTCTTACAATACCTTATATACACTCGTTGTAGGAATGGAGGCTACTTTCTGCGTTCGTTTAATGAGTCTGTGTAACATGTTCATGAAAGTGAAATTAAAGAACTCGCTGAACTACGCGGTGTAGGATTCACGGAATCGGTATTGACTACAGTAACGACAATTATGAGTTGAACGAGAAAATAAAAAATCTAAGTTTACAGCGGACATTTGAAAGCGACAACTAACTGCGTAGGTTGACTACGTACTTACAAACCTATAGTGCTACACTGTAGGTTTTGGTTCGTGCATGTATTCTAACTCCTGTTGTGGATTGGCAGGTACAACGAATCGTTCTTGGTATGTTTGTACGTTCTTATGAGCAGACGATATGAGACGAGATCTAAAATTAAAGAAAAATAATTGAACCAAAAAAAGTCCTAGGCGGAAAGCTATACTGATGGAGGTTGTTTGTGAATATTTAGAAAGCAAGAACCTTTTAGATGAACGCAACCTTTCAATCAATTCCCTTTTCACTTACGACTTTTGAAACGATGCGAAACAACGAATAGGCATTTTATCTCTTTCTCTTTCTTATTCCTTGTTCTTGATTTGTATTTGTTTATTTATTCTTTTTTACATACTTATTTAAGCGAGGTGTTTAGAACCATTTCTTGCAATAAAAAGAAAGACGAATTTCACATCTATTCTTGAGTCTATAGTATATGGTTACTGTTCACACTCGTTGCAAGAAAATAACCTATGAAAGAAGCTTCAGTTTGAAAAGCAAAAAAAGGTGAAAATTAACAAACCGGGGTTTTCGGCAATTCAGCTTCTTCAGCCTAAATGATTTATTGTGAGCTGGCGAAAAGCCGATTCGTCAAATTTTGTTTTTCACTTGTATGATGATTACTATATCATATTATTAGGGATTGTAAAGCATGGACTAGTGATACGCCTGAACGCGTTGACATAATTGATGTTAGTAAAGGAAAAAGGGGAAATTTTTTTGCATACTATTTTCCCTTACTCTTTCTGTTTGTTAAATTGGAGCGTGAAAAAAAAAATCGCTAACTCCGATGCCCGCTTTGTCGACTGGTTTCTCTTTTTCTTTTTTCTTTTTTCTTTTTTTTTCATTTGTCTACTTTTACCATGTTTACGAAATTGCCTGTTAGATAATGGTATGATCTCAAACGAATAGAATTTGTGCTTTAACATGAATTTAAATCCGTGTTTCAATTGGGGGGGGGGGGCATTGGATGTCGCATCCATTCACTGCTTAACCAGCTTCGACTTTTAAGTGGTTGTTTCGAGGGAAAGAAATGATCTAAAGTTAGGAACAACTAGAGCCTTGTGAATGCAGGGAATTTCAGAATTTGCTTTCATAGTTTTCTTTTTTTTTTTTAAAAAAAAAGATAACCCCAAAAAAGAAAAAAGTGTAAGGAAGAATACCGTACAGGGTGCTTCTTTGCATATTGGTGTCCTTACAATCTATGACACCTAGGCGTTTCAACAATCACTCTTTCAAAAAAATACCCTCTCCATCTTTAAATACCTCTTCTTATGATGCACAAAATCTATTCAGAACGTCTTGCTTACTTGTGGGCTCGGTCTAACAACTCTTTACACTCATCATCAGAGAAAAACAGTCCTTTTACTTCAATCCAAACATTTTCTGTTGATTCTCAAACCAATGTTTCTGATTCCTCCTCTTATTACCATTGATACTTTTAAGGTACCCAAGAGAATGATCCTAAAATTACGAAAAAGGTGAACACACGAAACGAGATAAACTTTGGGGATATTTCTAACCAATATGCATCTCCATAGAAGTTCTGGGCCGATCCCAATCAGCAGTCTCAACCAGTTTGCGACTCGCTTACTTATTCTGAAAATCCTTCTCATAATTATTCCACTATAAAACACCCTTTCCAGCCTTTATATCATCCTTCTTTTATCATTCATCTAATTTGTCTACTTATCCTGTCCAACGGACCATCTCAGAAGAAACGTCGAATCCTTCAAAAATTGATCGCTTACCCTAATCTCAGATCCTTCCGCAGAATACAACTTTCCAAATACGTCTACCTATAGATTTCTAGATCCTCCAGTTTCATCTATCCCTAGTCCACATCCATATTCTTACTACTCCAGTTTTGACCCGCAATTTCTTGAAATGACAACTCCCCAAAAATTTTACTTGCTCCTCCTCTGTTTATACTGAACAAAACCAATCTTCACCGAAGACGCCTTCCATGTCTTTGGCGACCACTTCTACTACAAACATGAATTCATCTTTTACTTGATGGTAGTCAACTACCATCTCACAATCTCGCGTCGGAAGGTGCCAGAAAGCATCACCTTCAGCAGCGTTTGGGTCTTAAAGCGATCTTAATGGCAAAGACTCAACCATCCTCAGAGTCCCTAAATCTACACGTTACTGCTCCTAATAATTTCAGAAAAGAGTCTTTGAAGTTAGAAAATTACGGACGCGGTCTTTTCTTTTATCGTCCTTATACAGATCAACATCAAGATGATCCATGTCTGAGTTTTCAATTAATGGACTCAAACGCTTACGGTAGTGAAAGTCAAAAGCACTTCCAATTTGCTGCTAACGTTACAGATCCTCCAATCCCTTCAAAACCTTTGGCCTCTAATATATACGGTTCTCAGCATAATGAGCCTCTTTCACTGAAGAAGAGAAAAAGCATGACTGACAACTCATTACCGCAAAATACTACCGATAGAGTCATTTCATCTTCAATTCCTCCTCGCATATATTCCTACTATACCTTCATTGAACAAAGACTGCGGTATGTACTATAACACAACGAACCTCTGTAGTTTTAATCTCTGCATGCCGTCTGTGTGCCAAAAATCTTATGGAAGCGAAAGACGATATTTATGTCCTCCTGTTGTGTTGTATTTTTTAGGATTAAATTGGTTTAATTATAAATCAGACGAAATGATTATATCGTCAAACGTAGTGAAAGATGCTGAGGATACGAACATTTCCAAATCAATATTTTATTATGACGTTGAAGGTAGGTAGTGAGCTCAAAAGAGAAGTGCTCAAAATACAATCCTGTTTGGGCAAGTACCCTATTGAGAACTATTTATTATACAGGAGCAGGGGAGCATGACAAATCATATCCATAGCAAAAAGAAGCAACTAGGAATCAATAAAGTACGCTTGGGCGTTATTTCAAAACCATGCCAAAAACGTGCTCTTGCCAAAGTTTCAGACGTGAGTATATGTCATGGTGATTGTGTCAGTCTCTTCAACCATTACCGTGCTCAGCATAATAATGCATTACTTTTGAGTACCAACAGAATGCGTCAGGCCCTATCTGAGAAAAGTATGCGATGAAAAGTTCGGGTGATTTCTTCCCTGGCATTCATACTCCAAATACGGCTGAGAATGGGCAGGGTAGACACAAACTGACTAGTGATACATGGGAGCCCTTTTATATTCTATCTTTTGACGAGTTAAAGAAAGGGAATGGAAGTGTTGCTGCTAATACTGAACGAGTTGTTTTGAGCTCCATATACTCTTGTATTCTTAGTCAGTCAGATTACCGGTGTCCAGTTACCGCCTTTAGTGTTGAAAAAACGGGAGAACTGGAAAGTTTCTATTTCTTGTACCAAATCACATGAATCCTTCAATTGTTTGTCTAAATTAGCATTTCAATGTCCGAGAACGCAAAAATTTTCATTTATTGATGAGTTTAATGCTGGAGAAGTTGGATATACGGAAAGTAAATTCGAGTGTAATGATATATTGGATCCTTCGGAAGCAACGCACTCTGTTCTACCGTGGTCGGCAATGTGGTCTATAATATCCACGCAGTCTTATAGCACTAATTTCTATGACGAGCCTTTATTAAAAAATCGCATACACTCAGTGCCTAGCATGCCATCAGTCAAATATATGTATGCAGATGAGCGATCTTTGCTCTATGTGTATGGAACAGGGTTGCTAGATAATGTACAATTGTGGATCGGCTATAGAAAATGCGAAGTTTTGAGAGAGTGAGTGACTCATTGCACCCAAGTACTATATCTGACATAGTTTCTTCATCTCGATTTTGTTCACGTTTACAAGCGTTTCCTTCCAATTTAATTTTCCTTGCATGCGTAATTGCCTTGCATTTAATGGAATCGGAACTCTTATTTTATCCAATTCTACTATTTCAGCATGATACCTTCTTTCATTCTGGGTTTGCATGGTCTTTGCATTAGGTATTAGTCAAAGATAAAAGTGGAAATAGGGGGTTGTCGTATTCATCTTAGTTTTTTATTTGTTGTGACTAATATTACTACTAATTTGAATGAACATAAGTTAAGGTTATGAAAGTTGTTTATGCATTCCTGTACAGGCGACATACATTTTGGTCATATTTAAGTCGCGTCTTTCGCATTTTTTTGCTTGATTATTTGCTAATAATGGAGTTGATTGTTTCTTTTTGTTTTAACATTATTTATACCTAAGTAGGACCATATTCGTTCTTCTTGAAATGCTTTCTGTTGGTTTTGAGAAGTTTATGTTTCATTCTCTCAAAAGTCCACTTATTACTAGACTATTTATATTAAATCTTTTTTGGCCGTTACTTTCTGTTTATACTAATGCTAAGTTATTTCAATTTCTATGAGTGGATCTCCTTTAGTATATTTAACAAAAAATAAAAACTTAAATAAGTGGTATATATGTCTGACTATATAGAAGTTGAAGTCTCGTCTTACCTTCTTATTTCATTTTTCTGTTTACCAGATATTTCCAGTTCAATTCATCGATATCTATGCCTCTACTTTTACTAGCTTTGGTGTACGAGATTCACTTATTAAACCAGCATTCATAGTGTATAGCAAGCAGCGAGGAGTTCGTATAACGTACAATGCTAGATCACACTAATCAAACAGGGTGTTTGGTTGATGGAGCCAAAAGGATCTTGGCTTTTGCCAATTTTTGCTTGGAATTGGGAAACGGTAATTGCTGATCGTTGAATCATTTTATTTGTAGAAAATAACAAAAACTCAAGATGTCGTCCTTTGGTACATTATTCAAAGTTACAACTTATGGTGAATCACACTGTAGAAGTGTTGGTTGCATTGTGGAAGGATGCCCTCCAGGCATGAATCTTGCAGAAGATGATGTACAAGTCCAACTTACTCGTCGCCGTCCTGGTCAATCAAATCTGACTACACCTCGTAATGAGAAAGACCGTGTTCATATCCAAAGTGGAACCGAGTTTGGCGTTACATTAGGAAGTCCTATCGGTATGATGGTATTAAACCAGGACCAGAAGCCTCATGATTACTCGGATATGGATAACTATCCACGTCCTTCACATGCTGATTTTACTTATTTGGAAAAGTATGGCGTTAAAGCCTCCTCTGGTGGTGGTCGTTCTAGTGCTCGGGAGACAATTGGCCGTGTTGCCGGCGGTGCCATAGCTGAAAAGTATTTACGAGAAGCTTTTGGCATCGAATTCGTTGCTTTTGTGTCAAGCGTCGGTAAAATCGCCATTCCTCTTCATCAAACAAAGACTAGCTCCTCTGCAATCGATGATGAGACGGATGACTATGACTCCCCTATTACTCCTGAGTACTTGAAGTTTTTAAACGAAATTACTCGGGAGGAAGTCGATAAAACAACTGTACGTTGTCCTCACGCTGAGACTGCTAACAGAATGTCGGAACGTATTGCTCGTGCTCGTGACAGTCACGATTCTATTGGTGGTACCGTCACTTGTGTCATTCGTAATGTTCCTAGTGGACTTGGTGAGCCTTGTTTTGACAAGATTGAAGCCAAGCTGGCTCATGCAATGATGAGCATTCCTGCCACGAAGTCTTTTGAAATCGGCTCTGGCCGTGAGGGATGTAAGGTTCCTGGATCCGCTCATAACGATCCTTTTGTTCGTAATCCAGTTACTGGCAAGCTCGGTACTTCCTCGAATAACAGCGGCGGTGTCCAAGGTGGTATCACTAATGGAGAAAATATTTACTTTACAGTTGGTTTTAAGTCTCCCGCTACGATTGGCAAGGAGCAGCCTTCCACTCGCTACGATGGTTCTGGTGGTGTTTTGGCCGCTAAAGGTCGTCATGACCCTTGTGTTGTTCCTCGTGCTATTCCCATCGTTGAAACAATGGCTGCCTTGGCTGTCATGGATGCTCTAATGATTCAACAAAGCCGAAATGCTGCCCGTAGCTTATTGCCGAATGCATTGTAAAGAGGCTTTAAGTGAAAAGTTACTAAGTTATAGATACCTGATTTTGGTTCCGTGTGTACTCCCTTTAACCGTTGATATCCATATCTATCTTTTATCTTTTATAACAAGCTCAAAGATGATTTCAATGCTCAATTTTTCGGCACCTTTGACTCGTTAATATTTTCGTAGATACCTTTTTGTTTGTCTGGTTTTGACGCAGTGAGTTCATTCCTTCTGTACAAACGTTTATTCTTTTCTTTTTGGTGTTAATAGAATTCCTTTTTTTTTATTTCTTGCATGAACTTGCTGACAAATTGAGAGTTAATTTACGTATATAGTTGCATTAGTCGTAAATTAGAAAAAAAAAGTGATATTTGTGTTTCATTTCGTTTCTTGTCTAAATTCATACAGCTTGTGCTTTCTTCTCTTGGTATTTAACACTGGAATTCAACTAGGAAATGCTTTGTTTACCAAATTACGTACTACGTTATTTATCTGTTATTATTATTAACGTACGTACGTAAGCTTCTACGTTGGTTATTCTTTGCTAAACCTTTTTTAACAATCTTCGCGTCATCTACTTCATAACAGCTGATCATAATAGACAAACTTGACCTTCCCCAACTACGGATTTTCTCAAAAGAACTGAAAGTTGAGGGTTTGAACTTAGCTGGATACACGAAACTTGTGTTTTTTAATAAAAAAGAAAAAGGAATTTATAAAGTTTGCTTGAGTTGGGCTGCTTTTTACCGAACATTAACAGCGAAGAATAGTCGAAACTTAAAGGTTTCATACGAGTGCATGCGTCGTTTTACTTGAAATTACAGAGTTCATGATTTAATTTTGAGCTGAAAGAATCTAACTTTTTGATCGAAGCGAGATTTATTCATGGGATCGTCGAATAACGATCAAAAACTCAACAACACCAATCTTCTCCGAAAGCATACATGGCACCCGGAAACTAATGAGTTAAAAAGAGAAAGGCGGTCTCCTGGCCTACCAGGAACTTTAAACGGAACAGTCTCCGATACGAACCGATCGGACTCTTTTCGAAAGCGGAATTACAGTGCTGGCGACTATGTCATTTCACCTGGGGCAAATGGTGGTGAAGGAAGCTCTCTTACCCATTCCTGGACGTTTCAACCAGGCCGACACAATCAGGGTTTATACTCCAATAATTTCCGAGAAGCTCAGCGTCAATGGAAACGTTTACAGGAGTGGGGTGAAGTAAAAGAAACAAAGAAAATCAAGAAGCGATTTGATAGATTTTCCGGCCGAAAGTTCATCAACGACTATGAAATTGTTAGCGAAATTGGCCGCGGCATGCATGGAAAAGTCAAGTTGGGGCGCGAAGTCAATACCAAGGCGTTATTAGCCATAAAAATAATCCCCAAGACGGAGCGTCGTCCTAAACTCGGTCGTGCCAATTCTTCGAGCCAAAAGGAGAAAGTACGTCGCGAAATTGCTATCCTAAAAAAATGTATTCATCCGAACGTTGTCCGCTTACGCGAGGTTATTGACGATCCAAATTCTACTAAAGTGTACTTGGTCCTCGAATACATGAATGGAGGTGAAATTCAGTGGACAGAGAACCAGTCTCCTCTTTTGTCTGTCGAGCAGGCTCGCCAATATTTCCGCGATGTAGTCTGTGGCCTTGAATACCTTCATTATCAAGGAATCATCCATCGAGATATAAAGCCTGCAAACCTTCTTTTGAGCTCTTCCACGTGCGTTAAAATATCCGATTTTGGTGTTTCGTATATAGCGCGTAGTGGTTTAAATGAGGAAAATGATGTTGAACTCGTAAAGACTGTAGGTACGCCGGCCTTTTTTGCTCCTGAGCTGTGTTGGACGGATTTAGACCGTCCCAGGCCGAAAATCTCTGAAGCTATTGATGTATGGGCTTTAGGTGCCACTCTATTCTGTCTTTTGTTTGGCCGATGCCCTTTTCAAGCGTCTACGGAATATGAGTTGTTTGATAAGATCGTTAATGAACCCTTACAAATCCCTTCTACCCCTGAGATAGGAGAGGATGGCCATGATTTGCTTAATAGATTGCTTAGCAAAGATCCAAGTACTCGTATAACTTTGGCTGAAGTGAAGCGTCATCCGTGGACAATTCGTGATATGCCAGATTATGAAGAATGGATTAAGGGTACAAACCCCGAAGCAAGCGGTCGCGTTGAAGTATCCAATGATGAGGTTGCTTCTGCTGTCAGTTTGGTGGGACGTTTGCGTAAGAAGCTAAGTAAGCTCTTTCGCTTTCGTCGTCCGAAAACGCAAGAACAGGAAGTCTCATCGTCTCCTTCTGATTCGTCTTTTCGCAGAGAAAACGATGCCAGTAATTCATCCCTTGCTTTATCCATAACGCAGTTGTCTGATTCATTTAATCACATGTCTATGGACAAGCAACAGAGAGATGCAAGCGAATCCGAAGAAAAATCTGGGGGCAAAGGTTCCGTCGAGGAAGTTCAGCATTTAGAAAAACCTAAAATTGATTTCAATTGGGACCGATCCCCGGCTAGTGAACTTTCAGACCCTGCTGAAGCCAATAACGAGGATGTTGGTGACGAAGATGATTATGATGAAGAATCTTCTTCTGAAGACCAAAGTCCAAATTCGTCAAAAATGCATTCGAGGGTAGCTGATTATGATGTCTATAGTCAAGCCTCCATGGAACCAAATGGTGATCCCATGGATTATTCCCAAGAAGTCGATTTTGACTTAAAGAAGGACCAGGTTCCGATGGTTGCTTGGCGTGACTATGAGCGTTTAAACAAGTCCCGTCCAGGAGATGATCCAGAGTACCATTCAATTTCAGGTTTTCTATCTTCCAATGGTCTTCCTTCGAGCCAAACACGGGCTACTCCTTCGTATTACTTTGAACATCCCATGACTTCCAGTCACTAAGTCTTTGTAGACTTTATCCTTGACTCGTTTCTTTTCCTTTTTTTGATATTGTGTTTTTGTATTTGTGTTTTTATATGTTTGGCTTTACAATGGTGAGTAAAGTTCCACCTTGTCATTCGTTTTTATTAATGTCATTATGCGTCCGTCTGAATTTGCTTGTTTTGAAAGGCACTATTATTGATTTGTTCGCCATAGACCTTTGCAAAGGATTATGGAAGAATTATATCGTTACGTAGTGCTTGATACATTCCATTCGTTTTATTTATGATTTGACTGAGAAATTAAATATATTTCTATGAGTTGAGTCTTTTGATCTTTCAAGTTAACACAATACATTAAAATTTAAATATCCTTTATAAAATAAAGCTATCTATCTCAAATAAAAAAAAAATAAAAGAGAGAGAAATGAACAAAGGTCATAAACGTTGTTTACATGTGTTAAAACCATATTATACCGCATAGTCTAACGCGAATAAGTAAAAGAGCAAATACTAAAAGGATAGAAAGGGATTTGTGGGTTTTTATTTTTTTTAATCAAAGAAGCAGGTTTTGAAGGAAACTGTTTTCCTCTTCAGGTTGATCATAGTGATTATGACTAGAAGCTGAGCCGTCGTCAAACCATAACTGATCACCGTATGATATACATAACTCTTCATTAGGATGTACCTGTCGCAAAGTAAAATAAGATATACAACGGTTCGGTTCGTCCTTTTTCCAATAAACATTAGGACACCGATCGTGATTAAACATGCTACCTAAACCGAGGGCTAATCCTTGCCTGCCTGCTGACCAAACATAGGTATACTCATTTAAAACAGTGTATTGACCATGGTTTTCATATTGCTCTTTTTGAAACAGTAAAACTGGGCTGATCTCGATACAAGTATGAGCAGGCAAATGTTCTAAAGCGAATACACCACGACCTTTTGTTTCTGTATCCCGGATCTAACAGGTGTTAGTGTTAAAAAATGGTAAGTTCAGTAGGAAATGGGTGTTTTTTTATTTTTTATTCAGGCGACAAGTAATCGAAAGATTGTTTTTATACATCGTTCACGAACAAACAAATTAAGAGAATCACAGTTAAAGTAATGAAAAATAAAAGAAAAATGACAAGCTTTCGTACTTGGTATGGAGGTGAAAATGTGAAGCATTGACAAAGTAACTTACCTCTAATGGACGGTCAAAGAGCGAAATTGTCTTCATGTTGGCTTCAAAAAGACATAGACGAGTTATGAATATACTAAGCTGTATTTTATCTTGCCATACACAGTCTTTTCTAAATGGGACTTTGAAATTTTCACGGCGTTTTCAAAGTAACGTGTTACTCTGTAACATAAATAGAAACTTGTTAGAAAGAGGTGAACTGCGAGGTTTGCAGAAGCTTGCAGGATACACTCTAAAGGATGAAAACTTCGAAATTTTTAAATGTTTTTGGAAGATGAAATGCAAAAAATGCAATTTTTCAAAATTTGTAAGGAACCGTTAAAGCTGTATACCAGTATCGCTCTACCTCGTAATTCAGTGATTTCTCTGGAAGTAGGCGAGGAGGCAGAGGCGTCTGTGTCTGTTTTAACCTATTCCTACAAGGTAGGTAGAATGAGAAAGGGTTTTATTTAAGACTGATATAGAATAAAATTGTACGAGCTAAGAGAATTCGTTACGAGATCAAATACTAGTTAGTCAAAAACCATATCGAAGGGATTGTTGGTTTCTGCACTTATATGATTTTATTTTACTCGCGCCTTCGTGTCTAGATCTGGAAGATTTTTTTTGGTAAATGGGAATCATGATTTAATTTGCTTTTGTAATGGAAACGATTGCAGATCATTTCTTTCTCGTAGGGTTGTCGAAAAAAACGTTCAGTGATGTAGTGACATTGCCAGAAACTGAAGATGATGTCTCCGAACATAGCAATTGTTTAGCAGCGAATTTGGCAAAGAACACTTCAACGAAAGGGGCATCGGGTATACCACAATTATTGTCCATTAACAAAGATCAGAACCAGCCAGGAAGCCTTTTCGTCTCTTCGTCTATTACCGGATCGCCGAAGCGAGCTGCATCAAGTTGGGCTTCCTCTCCAAAGGCACCAGATCCTACATCAAGAAAAAAGGACGGGTTTTCTGCATCTAATTCAAGCCTTATTCGTCCCAGTGTTAGCTCTATCACTCATAAACGACCACAAAATATACCTACTCCAAATATATCTGATTTAGATAAGGAACCTCTACAAAATCGCGTCAGTATAGGCACTACCTATACACTGTCTGAAGTATATCAGTCTTACGTTGCCTATCCGGAAAGTGTTCCTTTATCTCCCTCGTTACACCCCTTGGAAAAAAGTTTTCCTCCTTCTTTATTGCTCAGATATCCGACCACTAAAGATTTAGACAAAGAAAGTGCAAAAAGCTCTCGTTGTGAATTTCCCAACTATGTGCCAATGTTTGTGTTTCCTAATGACATAGCTATCAAGCAGTCCTGCACGCGTCCTACCTCAACATACCACTCCTTTGCTTTGACAAGCGAGGATAATTCTAGGATTTATGGAGTTTGTATGGTTGTTTGGGTAAAAATGTCTTTGGAGATGCAATCAGAGTTGCTGAAGGCTTGTGATGTTTGGCGAAATCACTACGCGTCCCCCGAGGATCTAGAAGTAGTTGATTCTTTGCTATTTAAGCTAGATGCAGAAAAAAAACGTCTTTCTCAGTTACTTGAGATGGCGCAAAGCACTGAGCAAACCCACTTTTCACGTGCGCATTTATCAGATCAAATGGCTATTTGCGAAGAAAATATACATCTATACAAAGAGATGTTACGTCCTATGAAAAATATACTTTTTGGATTAACTGACGTATTCACTGAAGGTCAGCACATCTGGTTGCCGAAATCATACGGCGTTCTGACCAGATGTCCTTATTTGCAATCTTTCTGCCGCGATTGGCTTCGAATTATATGTTCGCCTCTTCTTGTAGATGATCTTGATTACATTCCTCCCTTTGACATTGACTTCTTACGAAATATGTCTATTGAGGCTTATATAAAGAACATATGCTATGAAATTCCATTACCACCTAGAGGCCTTTCTCAGACTCGCGTTGAAGTTGGACCTCTCCGACTTTGTGTTTTTCGTAGCCCGTTGAATGAAATTCCTGGATGGTGCGATGTGGACTTGTATCCTCTTTTTCGAGCTTTAGACTCGTGGAACATCTTAACTCTTTTTGAAGCAGCTCTCCTAGAGTCAAAAATTCTGTTTATATCCAAGAGTATAAGCATGCTTAGTTATGCGTCATTTGCTCTTATTCATTTACTTTATCCACTAGTTTGGCAAGGTCTGTTTATTCCTGTTTTGCCACGTAGGTTGATATCGTGTCTTGAAGCACCTTGCTCATACATTATCGGTATTTTGAGCGATGCTATATCTTTGAATAATTTGCAGTTGGATAGTGTACCTCTAGTGGTATGCGACTTGGATAACAACTGGGTTAAGACATATGGCGAGTTGGTCACTTTACCTGCTTCTCTACGGCATAAACTATATGCGAATTTAAATACTGCTGCCCCCTTGCACTCTCAATATGATATTCCTTTCGGTGTTCCAAGATATGCATATGAAGCGTATCCTAATAAAACGGTGCCTTTGAGCACAACAACGAGTTTTCCGTTGCGAGAAAGATTCCATATTCCATTCTTCCTTTCTCGGCATCCCTGGGTTAATAGGAATTCGTATGTAATACCGCCGATTTTAAATGGCTTCTTAAGGTTCCAGGAAAACGTTTCAAGTATTTCTTTTCCGAAACAGCTGGATGTGTCAAAATCTTTGCCTAGACTTTCTTCTTATGGACGCTCAACCTCTGAACACACTCGTCACTTTTCTTCCCCGCCTTTGACTAGATCTGTTTCTCCTATGGCGATTGAAACTAATAAGTCGTTTTCGTCTGCCACTGAAAGCAGTCGGAGAAATTCAATGACAGCAGCTTATACGTATTCTGATGGACAACATGAAGAGCCCTTTAAGAGAAATAAATCGTTTGTGAACATTCCTCACTTAAACAATGTCGCCGAGAAAACAAGCAGACATCTTCTCTATAAGGAAGGGCACAAACTTCGGTATGTTTCCATCGATTTATATACGGTTGGTTCTCTTACCATCTGTGCTGTTTCTGGTGCTCCCTTAGAACAAACCCATCTACGGTGTGACAATTGTGGCTTACATATCAACGTTGAGTTTATTCGGTATGTATGTATGCCTTGTACTCCCGTTTGTTTTAATGGTCAATTGGTGTCGACTGTCTTCTTAAAGTTTTTCACTAAAATACTCGGTCCTTACAGGCAATTTTTTCAGAAAAAAGAAGAAAATCACGAACATGGTCAAAGAAGATTTGAATCATTCAATTTTAAAAAGTTTGCACGACATTCATCCAAGGTCCATGGAAATTGGATCCTCAGTTTTTGTAACACTCAAGCATTTTCCGAATTTGTGAGTGATCGTTCTCAGTGCAATCGCAATGATCCAAACATTGCATTATTCGATCAGTTACTTTTATGTGAAAAAAATAACGGAAAGCCTCGTATATTTGGAAAGTCTACGTCCTTCTTACATGATAGAAGCTTTGAAATCCAAAAATTTGAGATAGCACCCACACCGGATATTTCTTATGAAAATAAGTAAAGCTGTACAACTGTTTGTTTGATCGACTTGTGCATTTTTCGTCACGAATTTCGGCTTAAACGAAAAATATGTTTAATGTTTTTTATTTTTTTGGTTTCATGTATTTTAAAGGTAAAGGAGATGAAGTTTTTAATTCTTAATCAAATAAAGTTCATGATTTGCGATTTTTACCCCTTGATTATATTTTTGCTTATTCTTTAGGAGCATAGTAAGTATGAATATATCTTCATTAAAATAAAAGTAATTGTGTTTGCTATCAAAACTATTACTAGTCATAATATAGAAGCAAGATGTATATATTAGGACGATTTTGTAAAGCGGCTCTGAGCCATTTCTCGTAACATCTCTACTGTTTTCTTTTCCTTTTCTTTTCGTTCCTGTATCTTTTGAAGGATTTCTGCGTCTTTTTGGGAATGACGCATCTGTCGACCTTCATCTCGCTTTTTTTTTCGTAAATGCTCTCTTTCAACCTGCTTGGTAAAAGAGTCAGGTTCGCCAAACAAGTCGTTCTCGTTCAATTCCATTTCTTCATCCGACCGCTCACGGTATTGCTTCAAAGTATGTTGCTTCTCCTTCTTTTTCTGCAATAACGCTTGTTTACTACCAGCTGGCTCTTTAGGCAAAACTTCGTCCAACAGTTCGGTTTCACGTCTTACTCGCAGTTTGGTTTCATAACGTTTTGAAGACTGTTGCTGTTCTCGAATCTGTTCGCGTAGCTCTTGTCGGTCGTACAAGTCATCAACCGTTGGTTTGCTTGGTCCTACCGGTGATTGATCATTATGACCGGCCTCGGAAGTTTGCATTAGGGAATACCATTGTTGACGCATTTTTCCATCATTCCATCGTTTAACAAATCTTCTCCAAAGGTCATGCTGTCTACTATGACTGCACCTCTCCACGTCTATTTGTTTTTCCTCCTTGACAAATCGATGGAACAAATCTTTGTACTTTTGCTTATATTTTGGATTTTTATAGTCTATAATTTCTCTCATGTCTCTTTTTTATTGCAAAAAAAGGCATAAACCTGTAGGCGACCGAATATCCAATGCGATTGTTTCTGAAACATTTCCTACATAAACTCAAAGCAGTCTTAGAGGATATAAGAGAAAAGTTCTATGCTTGACTTGCTATGTTCAGTAATTCTTAATGATTCAAACGAGCCAAATTAAATTGAATATAAGTCTATTACTTTTTCTTTTCTTTTTAGATTTGAGCGAAGAAGCGATGACAACAGATTTCTATAATTTGAATCTATCGAGATAAAGCAATTGAGAATTATAAGTAAACAGATTTTATTATTTAAACATTTGCATGACAGTTTTCTGCTTATCATACAATGCTGAATTTTTTTTTTCTTTTTTTTTGCATGTAAGTTTAAGGCCTGCTACAAAACAACTGAAATTGTAGTATTGGAATGAAGAGAGCTACTTTGGGATGACACGCTTAAATTTCAAAAGAAAAAATGGGCTGTTATTTAGAAAAGAGTAATCATCGAATGACAGTCAAAGAAGGGGGAGATATGAGAAAGTTCTTGAAAAACAGTTTCAAGATGGTCATTGCATAACCCAAACTTTTCAATTTTAAAACTGTAAAGTAATAAAAAGGATTAAGTGCAAATAGAAACAAAAGAGGATAATGTTAAAAGACTGGTACATAGAGAAGGGAGGAAGTTGAGTACTGTATCACCATGGATAAACAGTAAGAAGTGGGACAGCCAGAATTGCATTGTTAGGTCTGAGAAAAACCAATGAAAATCTTGTACGTGATCAATCAGGCACTCAACTGAATTGAGCAAAGAAGGTTTTTGTCATTGACTGCATCTTACTGCTCACGTTTCGCAATTTTATGCATTACTGGAACTAAAGATCCAGCTTCTTATAAACATATCCCAATTAATGAGAAGTTGCAGATGGCTTGGGAGTTCTGTCGACAATGAGAGAGTCAAAAGCCTCACGCTCTCTCTTCTCCTCGGTCACACGCTGGACAACAGGACGAAGATAAAGAGTGTCGTCTTCGGGCTTAGTCCACTCAGATTTGGGCAAAACCTTGTTATTAATGTTCAACTGCATGGCGCGGCGGATACGATAAACTCTGTCAAAAGATTCTTGTTCCGGTATACGGTTCAAAGCCTTTTGAACGACTTCGTTTTCTTCTAATGTCAAATCATCGTAACGAAGACCAAATTTACGATAGCCAGCAAGGTTAATATAGGCTTGCGAAACGGGCTTCAAAAGCTTGTACAAAAAGGGAGATTTTTGAATGTACTTGGCTAAAGAGATGGGCTGCATGGTAATACAAAGTAAATATTTACCTAATTCACACTATTTACTCCTCAATTCAAGAGTTTTCTTTGCAACAATTGTGATCCGTGAGATTGGCAGATGGTAAGTTCAGAAGTATCTTATTGGTATGGTATACGAACATCGTCACTTGGTCTGTTTATTGTTGTTACCTGATTGTAATAAACAAATTAACAAACAATTCGCGAAAGAATTGGTTATAAAAAGCGCTTACAAAGATAACAGAAAACGACTTATAGAAAATATATTAATAAATAGAAAAATAAAACTAAAACGAGAATTTAATAAGGATAGAGTAATTTTTCTATGAAATCACTCCTTTATAGATATTCTGAGTTCGACTTTGACAAAAATTGAGTAATAAATTTAACAAATACATGATCACTCTTAAATTCTTGGAGGTAAAACTTCATTCTCATAAGTGTTTTAATATGCGTTAATAGCAAATATATAGCGACAACGCTTGGAAGTCCTTAGGCCTTAAAAACATAGCGATTGCGATACATATAAATACAGCAAGAGCTTAGTCCTGCAAGAAGCATACAAACAAAGTTCATCCTGTTTAATTCAAAGAGTCGTTGTATAGTCAACAAAAATGAAATGATGAAAATACTCATAATCGTGGCTAAAAGCCCATTTCTTCTCCGGATAGCAGTTTTGGCTTCTAAAACTTCAACATGTTCGTTGGTTAGGTTTAGCGTTTTAGAAAATAAATTTTCAATTCCAGAAGGCTTGAAGAAGCTATTAGTATCATCTCCCTGTTTACCCGATAACGGTACAGTCTCTTTATCTTGATCCAAGTTTTTGGTTTCGGGTTTCGAATCAGCAAAGGTTGGCATCATTCTCAGGGAATCTTTTCCTCTAATATTCGGGGAAGCATGCTGAAAAGGAGAAGATTTTGCAGAATATGGGCTTGAGGTTGGAAGAGCTTCCAACTTTTTCTGTAGATTTGAGATTGGTGAAATTTTAGGCATCTCTGACAATTTTCGAAAATGTGAAGACAAAGGTGTCGTTTGAGGGAAAGCAGGAGGCTTTTCATTATCCTTTTGTCTTCTTTTGAATGACTTTCCTTGTAATTTTTTTTTCAACGTGTTTAGAGTAGACTTGCTTCTCCTTGACTTTATTGGATGCGTCGTGGCTGTTAAATTTATTCTTCGAGGAGAACGGAAATCTAGGCAAGAAAAGCTAACAATTAAAAAGAAAATAGTAACAAAGAATAAGATGGTATGGATTTGAGAGATTGTGGAACGAACGTTATTAGCGTCTCGGAAATATTCAGCTTTAATAGCAAACTCGTAAAGATTCAGAATATAGACAGAAGTTAGTCGAATTAGAATAGAAATGAGCTGAGAACGAATGTACTGCTCTCTTCCATAGAGACTAGTAGAGGAATCTCGAGTAAGAACAAGCCAGTAAGGATTCCAAAAAATAACAAAAAAACCCAGCCAAGTGATCATTGCACCTTGACTCAAACTTAAACTCAACAAAAAAAACCTAGAAAGTTGGTTCAGTATTTTTTGAGCAAATAATGGGAAAAAAGTGGGTATAATGGAATGGTAAAGATGCCATCCCATCGCGTGTGAATAAAAGAGGAGAAACCCTATTCCTCTCAGGACCCATATAGTGACAGAAAATGAATTTTTACTTGAAGAGGGGGTCGAATAAAGCTTTTCCTTGGATTGAACGAGCCACTGTCCTAACACATGATTTTTTGCTTCGTAATTGTTTGCCTCAAGTTGTTTGTGGACTGGGTCATAACATTTATCACAAACAATTGGAAACTTTTCTTCCAAAGATTCTTTATACTTAGGAAAGGCAGCTTCATAAGCCTTATAATCGGGATGGTTATGCTCGGGAAGAAAATCCGCCAGCATGCGATTCACGAGCAGCTGGTTCCTCAAGCAGTTCTCGCAAAAAGGGCTTCTCATCTGTTTTCTTTCTACGGTTCTGGAGAGAAAATTAGGAGCAGACGTCTCATACGATGGCGGCGTTGGAGGACGATAATCCATGACCTCTCCATTTTCATCAAAGTGGTTTGGAGCTTCACAAAGAGGACAAGTCCACTCCTTTATGGATCCATTCTTTGACCTTCTTACATATTCATTACAGGAAAAACATCGTTTATACGTCTTGTCCTTCATGCCATTTCGGTTTTTCAAATCGGGTGTCTCTTTACCTACGGTACTTAGTTTACCCCAGACCATATTCCATCCTTTGGGGAAGAGGATCAGGATTTTATTTCTTTAAAAAAAAAGAAGGATTCAATGAAAAAAGAAAAAAGAGAAAAACCCTGGACGAAGGCAAAGAATGCGCTTCCTTCTTACTGAATCTATTTCACGTTGTCCAAAAAGCACAACACTTTGGAGCAACAAAAAAAAATAAAACAAAAGGGAAGGAAAAAGAAAGTATTTGTTTTGACTATGATTAAAGATGGCTAAAGATGAACAACATGGAAATTGCTGTAAAGGCCAAGTTGGTGGTTATTAATAGCGAGTGAAACAATCCCAACTTCAGAACGAATAATTCTGTGTATTTTTTCCTAGTTCCACATAGAATGGGGAATTTTTTTAGTTGTTTTATTAGATTACAGTAAAACTACACCTATGAACGCGTGGAAGATTCAATTGTTTTTCATTTTTTCGCATAAAAAAGTTAATCAAAAAACTTTATTCGTTTTTCACGAGAACAAGTCATAAAAAGAAGATATTGAAGGAAATAGTAAAAAGAGAGCATGAAGGGAAAGAAGAGAATGTTCATTTCTCTAAATCAACGCATTTTGACAAAGGTGAATGATTGTTTGTTTACTAACGCTCTGAAATTTTCAACGCTAAACTATCTTTTATTTACATTTCTGATTCTATGGCTTTTGGAGAGATCCCTCTGTAGTTTCTTTTAAAAACGAAAAAAAGAAAATAATTCTTCGTATAGGAATTGAGAAACCGCTTTGTTCGGTTTCGATATGATGGACGATGATTTGAATCTCAAAAGCTTTATGACGATAGCATTCATAAATGTAATTTGACATATCTTATAGAATAGCTATTTTATAAATTGAGAACATTGAGAATATATTCCTGTATAGGTAAAGTCAGCAGATGAAATAGAGCGTAGACATTTCGAGCCTACATCCCTAACGAGTCTCCAAAAGTTTCTCATAAAGAGAATATGAATTTTTTCTAGTTTAAGCTCTTCAGCGTATGAACTTTACATCGTTCAAATATCATATTGTTTTGAAAAGAATATGATATTTGTTTTGGTGCAAATTCCACGTACAAAATGCAATTCTACATACATATTTTTGAACAAGACATCAATTTAGGCTGGTAGCTTTAATGTTTCAAGCCCTTTGAGGAAAATGAAAAGGCCCATTGTCAAATCTGGCAGAGAGATTTATCTTTTCATGTTAGCAGGAATTATTCTTTGCGATCGCTGAGGAAACCATTGATTCTTTCATAATTGACAGACAAACTTAATGGAAATAGAGATTCTATGGCCGTTTATATCGACTACTCTTCGTTTCCAACCGTTTCGCTCAACTTTCACCGCAATTGCACACAAAGAAAAACCGATACCTCGAGACGAATTAAATACTATGGAACCTGTTTAAAAACATTCAACTGTCTAGTTTGCTATTCATATCCATCTTTTTTGTGTTTTCTATACAAGCATAACCCTTACCGTATACTCATATGGGGAGAGAATTGACTACGTACCCAGAGCATGCATCTGTGAAAACAAAAATCCATGGCTTATTACAACAATCCGGCAAATTTACAATATTATCAAGGGAGTTTTCCCGAAACAAATTCTTATACTGCACAGGCACGGTCTTCGGGGTTTTATGATGAACCATTAAGTGAATCTCTAAGTCAAGGCTGGCTAGCGGCATTTTCGACGAGTGGATACCCAGGAGAACCCTCATTACTTGAGGAACTAGACATTAATTTCAGTCATATAAAACAAAAGGTAAGTGATTCGATGCTTTTACTTTGTACACTGTCAGTTTGCCAATGCGAGAAACTTGAGAAAGGGAGTTTAGCGTATAGAATCTGCGTGAATTGTGTGTCTACTCTCATTAGAGAGATATGTTCTATCCCATTTTGCTTTTAAAAGAATATCTGCTAACTCGGTGACTAGACCACGCATGTACTGAATCCCTTTAAACATGTTGATGTTCATATTATGGACGATACAGATATGGCGGGCCCCGTCTTATTCTGTCTTTTATTCAGTACTTTCCTTTCCTTACATGGTCGATCCCATTTTGGATATATTTATGGAATAGCTCTACTTGGTTCACTTAGCTTGCATCTCGTTTTACGTTTAATGTCTGCGAAGAATTTATTTTATACCCGTACCGTCAGCGTCTTGGGATACTCTTTGCTCCCTTTGGTAGTAGTAGCCTTTTTCAAAAACTTGATGTCTTTTAAGTATGTGGGAAACACCTTAAAATGGTTTCATGCAGTCACGTACTAACTCTGTTATAGCAGAATCTTGGGATATGCCTTTGCTGCTTTAGCATCTATGTGGTGCACATATGCTGCTAGTGCTATGTTTGTTGCCATTCTCCAAGTCAACAATATGCGCTTCCTTGTCGCCTATCCCATTGCTCTATTTTACGCTGTATTTGCTGTTATTACTGTCTTTTCAAAATAATTGGATTCCTTAGCAGTCATTTTGTTATCATATTTTATTTAGCCCTTTGTTTCGCAAAAGACTGCCGTGTTTCCTACTTTGAAGATGTGTGGTTTACCGATCTTTCATGATATCTAGTTTGTAATGTGCTATTCGATTCTTATGTCCTTTTTATTCGTATTTTTCTGCTATCCACGTATAGGCCCATCTCTTGAACACTTAAAGACTTAAAATTATTGCATGACAGATACGTGACTTTTACAATATATGAATATATTCGGCAGGTAACTCTCTTATCGAAAAAACAAGCTATCTTTCATGTATAATGCAAAGTCCACAGAAGGGTTAAATGTTAACTATGCTCATTAAGACATCAAAGAGGGGTCCATAGTGAATACATCCCACTACCACACGTTTGTATTTTAAAAAACATCAATTTTTAACCAAAGTATCAAAACATCAAGAGAAAACTTGCATAATCATCTAAAGATCGTAGCTATCATTATAAAATTTAATAATCCTTATATCGTTGCAATGCTCATAATGTGTTTCAAATCTATTCCTTGACCATCTGCTCAGTTGAAGGAATTTCATCGTCCATTAAAGCATTGTAAACATGTCCAACATGACGAACCAAGTCACTTGACTGTGTTGCCCTTCCACATTCTTTGAATGATACACGGCTGCACCACCTAGTGGTGGCACAGGCTCCATATGCTGCCAAAAACAGGCATTCTTTAGCATCCATGTCGCCTTCGATATCCCACTGCTTATTCAAATAGGCATTTCGCCAAGCAAGGAAGGTAACAAGAATCCCTGTAAGAATATCGCCTTGACCACCACAACGTTTTAATCCCCCGGGAACAGAGCAAGCGTAAGTCGTACCTCCGTCGGAAATTAGATCTTCTTTACCTTTTTGGATAATCAAAAGATTCAGTTTTTTAGCCAATTGGTGACAGGCATCAGGGCCTTCGCTTTCAATATTTACTTTTTCACAAAGACGCTTAAACTCCACGACGTTAGGCGTCAAAACTACGTTATGATACCCGCTCACTACTTCAGGGCGCTGTTGAATCAAAAAGAGACCATCCGCATCAATTACCATAGGCATTTCCTTTTCTCGAGCATACTGGATTACTCTGGCAGTGGTTTCTAGCATCCATTCATCACGACCCAAGCCTGGACCAATTACGATGGCATGCAACCGTTCCATCATAGGTTTAACAAGTTCCAGGATACCATCAATGGAGTCACCAGGATTTTTGTTTTCCTTTTCTCGCAAGAAAGGATGTACAATTAGGTCAGGAGAATAACTTTTGATAACATTTGCGGCATTCTTTTCACAGAAGATATGACTCTGATCAGTACCAAAGAGCATAGAACTCATCGAAGAATAGTAAGGAGCTCCGGTATAATGCTGACATCCACCAAAAATACCCACTCGGCCAGCTTGTCCCTTATGCGCCGATCCAGACAATGGTGGTATAATACGCTTGACACGAGTCAAAAGATTTCCTCTTTGAGGTGATGACATTGCGAACGTGATTTATTACTGAGAGTTTATCTCAAACTGATTTAAAATATAGTAAAATAGAAAAAAGAAAATACAAATCCAAAGGTTTTACTAAAGAAATAAAAGCTGAGAGTTGGTACAATCTGGTTCAGTTGATGGGTATAAGTAGGACATTTACCGAAGCATTTGCGTATATATGATGTGGAACATCTTCATGATGAAAATGGATTTCTGTAGAAAGACATGTTAAGAATGCTGAATAATGGTTTGCTTCAAACTCTTTTTTTTTGATACCTTCCTTAGGTTGTCTGTCATATTGTCCTACTTGTTAGGAAAGTCTAAAACAAGCCAACATAAAGTGAAGCGATTAGCCCTGCAATAGAAGAACAATACAGACTAAGAATTGAAGTTAATAGTTTGGTTGGATCCCTTCTTATACAAACATTATAGGAACTTTTTTTATTTTGTTTTTGTTTTAAAAGTCTGAGGTTGAAGTTTTAGTGTACGCCAAAAACCCGTAGAATACTACGGTGGACTTTAGGAATAATAACGATAACAATAATAATATTAAGTGTAAAAGGAAGGTCCATTAACATCAAGGAAAACCGCCGTCCCTTCAATGGCTCCACTATTAGTAGGGTCATGAGCATAAGTAGTACATTAGAAAATCAGCTTTTTCAGTCATTCCCGTATTCGTGTATATTTCATCAGCAGATTTAGAAGGCCTAAATTAAATAGACTCTTGATTTGACCAGACCTCCATTGAAGCTTCTCATAGCAGTGTGTTTTTTGTTGGGAACTTGCAGTCGTCGAAAAGCTTCCAAAACATGAAATATTTGCAAAGGCGTCCTACCTTCAGTTAATCCATCAAACAAATAACGCTCCTTTGGATGATTAGGGACAGAATAACTCCCATGTCTTGTATTGTTTTGGATTTGATCCATCCTTTCCTTAACAGCCAAAGCCTCTTCCGTTAAGGTCGCAACGATCTCAAAAGTCAAAAACCCCAAAATATCGACTAAATCATTATCTGGACGGGTTTCTGTTAACAAAGACATACCACACCATTCGCGGAAGCGCTTTCCTTTTCGGTATGTAAAACTAGCTTGACGGCATTCACTCCAGTGGACATATTCCTCTCTTGTCATCTTTTTAGTTCTTTCATCTGCTGATTTCAGCCGCTCTCTAGTCGCATATGCCATCTCCATCATGTCATCATCGTCCTCAAACTCTTCAGTTTCTGGCACTGGCTCTGAAAACATATTTTTCACTTCCCATGGCATAGCCACGGGAGCAGTCAAGGTTTTTGTTTTAGATTCTACTTCTTCAAAAAGCTCTTTTGTATCAGCGGCGTTAGCATCTTGTTCTTTTGCCTTCTTTCGGACTTCTTTCCATGACAAATATGTCTTGAGTCGGTTGACTTTTGCGCGATCGTGTCGAATCAAAAAGAATAGATCTTCAACGTTGATGGATCTTGAGCCTCTTCGTATAGAAAGTTCGTTTGCTTGAATCAGCATTTCCATGACTTGTCCTCGAATTAATTCTTCCACTAATTGAATAGTCTCTGGGAGAGGATCCTGTACCTCTCCTAAAATAAACATCATTTGCTGAATTTCAACTCTGTATTTACTCATTCTTTCTATTTTTAGCTTTCAAACCTATTTCCCATATCCCCTTTCTAGTGTAGTTGGTACGAAGCACGTATGGAACAAATTAAGCTGTAAGTAGTATAACAACTTCAGAGGTTTTTCGGTACACAGGAACTATATTTGCTTTATAGAAAATTACTTTAGTCACATATTTACCTACATTGTATTTTCTAACACCGTTTTTCTAGCACAATGAGGAAGCTTTGTCTGTAGAAAACTTCGTTTCTGGCCTTTCAAGTCAATGCGAGGTATTTACACTTTCCTTTTCTAAAATGAAAAAACAAGATGATGCTAGATGAGCCAAAGGAACTGAGCAAAGACTGTTCACTATGTTGCTATCAGCCGTTCATAGTCCATAAATTTAGCAAGTAGCACAAAAATGCATATCCTTAATTTTAAGAAAAGAATAACATTAATTCTCTCTCACTTTTTCCTATTTACCTTTTCATTTATTTTCGCAATGTTTATACAATCCCAAACTCGCTTAGGCAAACGGTAATCCGAGAAAAATGGCATGATCTGATAAGACTCACAACTTCCTGTCCGACCCAAATCTGTCCTTAACCGATCTAGTGAATGAATCAGAATTATGGAAGTATGGAGAGAAATGATCCATCTGCTGATGGCTTTTACAGTAATCATTTGGTAGAAAGTCATTTAATCAATCAAGAAAGACAAGAAGCAGTTTCACCAAGGACTCAAGTCGATCAACACTCAGACATCACTTTGGAAGGAGTTTCAAAAGTACAAGCCATTGCCGCGACTTGGTCAAGAAAATCAATTATCTTTGCATATCTGGGGTAGGTTTGCTTTCCTGCAATAGGATTTTACTTTATCTGATTATACAACAACGCGCTAACACTGCTTCAGTCTTTATTTATTAGCATTTGCTTCCTCATTAGAACAACAAACTACTATTTCTCTTCAAAGATATGCCACCAGCAACTTCTCTGCACATTCTAATTTGGCTTCGATCAATCTTGTTAGCAACATTCTCTTGGCCGTTGTTCGAGCTCCTATGGTTAAAGCAGGTGATGTGTTTGGCCGTACAGAAAGCTTAACCCTAGCTCTATGCATGACTGTTTCGGGATATATCCTCTTAGCCTGCTCACGAAACATTGGAATGTTTACCCTTGCTTATATCATCTACATTTGTGGTCAAACTGGCATTGGGATTCTCTCCCAGCTTATTATTGCAGATACATCTTCTTTATTGAACAGGGGAATTTTATCCGCTATTCCTGAGCAGCCCTATCTTCTTACTGTCTGGATGGGTCCTGTCCTTGCCCAAGCATTTCACCCTGAGAGAACCCTTGGTTGGAGAATTGGATACGGCATTTGGGCTATCATCCTTCCTGTAGTATCTCTTCCTCTTTTACTTTCACTATATTTTAATCAGCAAAAAGCAAAAGCAGCAGGCCTGTACAGAGAACACCATCAATTCATGAACCAGTCTAATTTTTATAACTTTTGGCATGAACTAGATGGCGTCGGAATATTGCTATTTATTTCCGGATTTGGGCTGTTTCTCCTTCCTTTTTCACATTCTAGCAGGGTTGTTTCTCCCGATTCGAGTATATTAACCGTCCTCAGCATGGGATTGGGTATTTTTTTACTTATTGCTTTATGTGTTTATGATACCAAGTTCGCTGATTACCCCATTTTTGCGTTGCGTTCCCTGAAAGACCGTACTGTATTAGGCGCATGCATATTGATTTTCCTGTACTTTATGTCCTACTTTATTTTTTCAAACTTCCTCACTTCGTATTTACAGGTAACGCATGACTTTTCTATAGATTCTAGTGGCTTAATTGTCAATGTCTTTGTTTTTTCTATGACCACTTCTGCTATTTTCTCCGGTTTCCTAATGAAAAAGTTTGCAAGGTTTAAAATATTATTGAAGTTTTCTGTTCCCTTGTACCTTCTTGGACTTGTTGGATATATTCTTTTTGGATTCGATAATGAAAATACCAATGTTGAGATGATCGTCTTTATGCTATTTCTTGCTGGTGTTGGAGGAGGGTTGCTTACTCTTAGTGCTCAGGTGGCGGTTCAATCCGTCTCTTCTCATACAAAAATAGGTCAAAACTTAACACTGTATCTAACCTTTTCTTCTGTCGGTGGTGCCTTTGGGTCTGCTGTAGCAGGTGGTGTTTGGAGCAAGAAGCTTCCCTACAGGTTATTAACAAGCCTAGATGGATTATTACCCGTTCCTGAAATCGAATCTATCTTCCGAGATTTACGAACTGCTCTGTCTTACCCGCAAGGCTCCCATATACGAAATTTAATTAATGCAGCATATTCTTCTACTCAAAAGGACCTGTTTCAAGTCTCTTTAATTTTTTCCGTTCTGATGATTATCGGTCTTTATACAATTAGAGATGTTTCTTTATCCCCTGAATCTCGAAATGAACCAGCAGATTAACAACCATTATGTTCCCACATTAGATATACTGGATATTTCTTCCCCTCTTATGCATGTTATGGATTGTTATAACTTAAATACCTCCAATTTTCAACAATATTCATTCGTTTACTTTTTCAATTCCTTTTTTATTGGATTTTTATGAATATTTTACCTTAACAAATTTTATATTAGTCAAATACGTTCAATCACTGTACCCTTTTTTTTGTCTGCTTTTCTGACGTAGATGATTCTCCTTCCCAATTTCTTTTTTCAGTAGTACCACTGGTAGCATACAAACGCTGTATAGCTTTAGAAACCATAGACCTTTTTGCCTTCCATAAATCCCTATCTTCGTATGGATGATCAAAGTTGTGCAGATTATCTGGAGGATGAAACCAGTAATTGAATGCAACGTGAATACTGCTTTCACCTTCTGCGCTTGAAGACGTAACTTCGTGAAACCAACTCGCAGGCAAATAAAACATATCTCCAGGCTCCAAGTCTACGACTAAGGGATGTGTCTTTGATAGAGCGGTTCTTTCTTCTTCAGAAGGTATAATATCCTTGGCGTTGTCGAAGCCCATGTACTTGTGTAATCCAGGAACTGTAATTTTCGTAAAATGATCAGGTAGTGATGGCTTCTCATTTCCGGACTCAGAAACTTGTTCTTCGCTATCCAATTGATCTCCGCCATCTGCAGATGAGAAGCCTTCATCATTCTCGTTCGAGGATTTATCCAGTAAGCTATCAGCATCACCTTCTTGCAATTCATCCCAATCCTGTGCTTCTCCACCAAGCTGCATCTGAAGGACATTGTCCATTTCTGCTTCATACTCGGCCTCTAACCTTTGAATGATGTCTTCAGAAGCTTGGAGTTCTTTCAAGTCAGAAATTTTCATTTCCAGGAACTGAGTGTGAGCGATCGCAGCATCTAGTTCTGTTAAACCATCACTACGTTGAGGACGATCTTCACCTTCATAAGAAATAAGCCCATTTTGATGAATCTTAGATATTTTTCCAGCCAACTGAAGATGAAGCGCACTATCAGGGGAAAGAATTACAAATCGCTTGTGTCCTTTCACAACGGTATAGATGTTGTCATGAAAATCATGGTGAAGACCAGAAGACGTGCCGTTCTCACTTCTGCCAATCCAGATATTACATTGCTGGGGAACAAGATTTCCCATTAACGCAGGAGTCAAAGAAAAATCAGACAATAATTTGTCCGTTGGTGCTGGGCAAAGTGACTTAACAAGTAAGGAAACTTCGTCATCACCATCCAGAACATCATCTGAGTCATCGTATTGAGTTGTCAAATACAGACGCTCTCCTGCTTTTATGCGTTGTAGAAATTCTGCAACGGTCATCTCATTACGACTCATCCCCTGACCAAAAGTCCCAGTAGAAGGATCCATAGGTTCAATCTTGCATACGCTTTGACCAATCTTTTCAAGAAGGTAATCCTCTTGTTTCCAGAGATAGCCCTTCCAATCTGATTCTGGGAGAGAAGATTTTATAACCACCGGAACTCGCTTTGAAACATAATCTTTATAAAATTCTTCGGGAGAAATATGATCTACATTATCCAAAACAGGAATCTTATCGTCTTCCTTCGGGGAGAAACCTAGAAAAAAGCAAGTTAGTGAATGTCAATATTATGCTACTATATTTTTTACTTTACCACTGTATGAGGAAACGGAAGAGGACATAGTTTTTGATTTTCAATAATATAAACCCATGAAAAGCTCTACTCCGATGTCTTTGGTGAAAATAATCGAGAAGTAGTATATTAGTCGTCAGAACGCAAATTCTAAGAAGTATTCAAGAAGGTTGAAATTGAAAATCCTCGGTATTATCAGAGATGAAAAGAGCCCTAGGAATTATATGAGCATTGAGCTTCTACTCAGTTTCATACATACTATATCCTTACACAAGTTAATATTTCCCTGCTTTTTCGTATGCATAAAACAAACCACCTTTAATACACTACTTAATATCGATACATGAGAATACATTGTATTGCAAGGTTTCAAGTTTACAAAATCCAATAAACCAAATTACGTTAGTGAACTATTTGAGTATGAAACCATCCTTGTTCTAACCATCCATAAAAACTTGGCTACATAGCTACAAAAGCACCAGAACTAACCAGAATGATAAATAAGGTCCTGCAAGTGCCAAAAACAATGATCGATTTACCTATTGCCAAAGTTTACGGATTTAAAACTTCATCAAGTGAGGGCGGTCACCATTAGACAATGCAAAGGAAGCAGCAAGGTATTCCTTCATGTTAGGAATAGCCTTGATGGCAGGGAGAAGCTTGGCATCAACAGCCTTTTGGTCAGCAATACGTTCGGCAGGGAGAGCGTTCTTAGGAGCATTTTCAGCGAAGAAAGCTTCATCCTTCTTAAGAGGACCGTTACGCTTAGACTTAGCGAAGTAAGCCTTGTTGAACTTCTCGACAGGGATGCCAGAAACATCAAGCTTAGGGGCAGAAGTAGCGATCACATAACGGTGGTTGACACGACGGAGGGGAACACCGTTGACCTTGTAGGGACCAGTAACAACAAGAGTGTCTTCCAATTGGCTAAGGACGACAACACGCTTACCACGGAAGCGACCAGCCAACATTATGCAAACAGTTCCGGGTTGTAAAGAAGCACGGAGCTTGGTAGGGCGAACAGCCTTACGAGTCTTCTTAGGGACATTTTCGCGTAAAACAGGGTAGTACTTAGCGGCGGCTTCACCAGTAGGCAAAACCTTACGTTCTCCGCCGTTCTTGGCTCCGTTGACCTTGACTGTAGACATCTCTCTTATGTTGAGTTTTTGGGTGGTGTAGAGATTTTTCCTTGGTAAAATGGGAAATCTAGTGAAACCAAAAGAACAGTCACATAATACTCTGTAGGTTAGGGCTATTGTGCAAATAACCCTAAATCGTCGGCTAAGTATAAGAAAGTTGAACGAAGGCTATGTAAAAGAAAATTAAGAAACCGATCGAGGTTTAACGAACGTATAGGCATACTTTAGGAGAGAAAAGCGAAAGAGCCGTGTAGAATGGAAGAAAATGTGTAAAAAATAAAAATTACTAACTAATTTTTTTGTATTTATAAAAGACTAATAATGACTTTTAGACTAACGCTCATTACATTCGATGCATAAAGCCTAATGAACAAAAAGAAGCTTGGAAATTTGATAATGTAATGGCAGTTGAATAGCAGCCAATTGGCAAGCCATAGTCAGAGCGGCTGGATTAATACATGTCCAAGTCAAAAAGAGTGCAATATCAAAGCATGTCTAATATGGTATCCCTAAATTCGTACTGGATCATGATTCTGATGCTTGTACCGTTTTTCGTGTTCGTTTAACTGTCTTTATAGTTGTCTGGGCGGTAGTCGTCTCATCTTTTCGCTTCTTTTCACTCTGTTTTGCTTCTTTCTTTTCAAACTTACTCAACTGGTCTTTCCGTGATGTCTCACCCATGTCAGCTAGTCGCTTACTCTCCCCAAGAACATAAGAGTCATCAGCAGATTTTCCGACCAGTGTACGAAGGATCAGAAGCTCATTTTCCCATGTTTCTGGTGTCTTGGCGGGTGTCTCAAGGACCATGGGAATTCTATCCCACCTGGAATCATTCATAATTAATCGGAATGGTTCTAAACCCAAAAATCCCAAACCAATGTTTTCATGCAAATCACGATTACTTTTTAATGGGGCTTTTGAATCATTCAAATGCCATCCACCTATATATTGCACACCAACCGTTTTGTCAAACTCTTCTATGACTTTTTCATAACTTTCTTTTGTGCGCAAATCATAACCAGCCGCGAAGGAATGGCAAGTATCCAAACACACTTTCCAGCGATCCAGATTTTTAATCTTTGCTTTCAACGCTGCAAAATCACTAAAATTTCCTCCAAGGCAATTTCCTTGCCCTGCCATGTTTTCAGTAACAATGACCACGTCTTTTGTAGCTTCGTGAGCACGATTAATACATTCTGCTAAATTATTGATGCCTTCTTCTTTTGTACAAGAGGAAGTACTTCCTGGACTAGTATCATTTTGTTAGAAACAAATCCTAAAGCAAAGGAAAATCATGGCCGTCTTTTCTTGTTTTCTGTGTTTACTTACTGGAAATTATAATGGCCGACACCTAAACGTTCACATCGTTTTAAATCATCGAGGAAACAATAATATGCTTGCTCACGTTTTTCTTGATCTGCATTTGCCATATTAATAAGGTAACTACCGTGAACAAGAGCATGTTTTTTGGCATCAAATTTATATTCCATAGCCAACTCTCGAAACTTTTCCGCAACTTCTTCTGGCATATCAGCAGATGTCCATTTCCTCTGAGATTTGACGAAGAATGCGCAGCTCGTAGCACTAAACTTTATTAGTAAAAACAATTCCCTAAACATTTTGTCTTGTTGTATATCTACGGATTGGATAAATTATGCATGAATCAGTATCGTTTCTTATATATGTATAGATGCAAAAGGAATTGCCATCCTCGCAGACTGATAAAATCGTTCATTACATGTGTAAACAAACCGATTCTTAGCGTACCAACGCATAATAACATCCAACAAACCAACTTTACTCTGCACATACTTTATGTTTTTCATATTAATTAACGAATTGAACACGCCGCCAGCAGCAGATACATGAGCTCCAATATACTTTCCTAACATCATTTGGTCTGGTGCAGTCGTTTCCTCAGCAACGAAAGGCTTTTCCTCTTTAACTTCGACTTCAGCTACTGTTTTTGTTTCATAAACTTCTTTGACTTCTGACATCGCCCTATTGTTCTTAATTTTGGATCATTTGACTAGGAACAGTAGAAACTGAAGCCAAATTTAAGAGGTAACAACGAGTAACAGAAACGAGAACAGACCTCTATTTCACGAATAATGTATACAAACCGAAAAAAGGTTTCTGCATTTCATTTTGAGATTTAAACCGAGCAGTTGCTTTTTTTTCCTTTCTGTTTTTTTTTTATTACGTTAAGAATACTAAGTGTCTCTCGTCTTTGCCGAGCTTGATCGATTGAAGCGTTTCTCGAAACCTGAAGGCAGTACTTTGCAGAAGCTTACTTGATGTTTACTTCTTTCATGTTTTCTCTTGGTGCTTAAGATATATTTGGTTTTATTTCTGCGAATCCAGATTGCCAAACAATACAATCACATCGGCGGTTTCTTCTAGTAATTCCTTATAACAGCATTGCACTATTAGAAAAGGAAGTATTACGCCTCAACCCCTGGTTTATAGAAGTAATAACTCCCTTGTTTCTTTCGTAGATTTTTCTTCGAACCATCCATTTTGTTATTCATTCTAACTTTGTCAGCTTGTTTTGGAATGGATCCTTGGTTTCAATATGATGATATTCTAACCCAGGAATTCACTCAAAATGCTGATTGCCCGATCGTGTCAGAAGTCCAGGATGATTTAGCTTCTTTTGAAACTACATTTCAACCGTTCGACATATTACCTCCATCTCCTGAAGACAATGGCTCGTCACTAATTAATAATATGCAGAATCACTCTATCGGTCTCACAGAAAATTTGGATTGTGTGAATCCATGCCATATCAATCCTTTTGAATATTCTTCCTTATCTAGGAATTCTGAGTGCTACTATCCTATAAGTCCCAATCCAACGTTGTCAGAAGCTTCTACTCCCGAAATATCAAATTCTCAAGGACAACATTTGAAGAATAAACACACGAAGAATCGGTTTCATTACAAACTTCATCCTAATCATTATGCACTTCTTTTTAAGTCATTTGATAAAGATGCTTTTCCTCGCATGTCTACCCAAGACATAAACCTAGAATACCTTCGTCAAACCGGCTTCAATGATCCTATTATTTTTCCTTCGGTTGATACTCAAAATACCGACCAATTAACTCTTAGTAAAATTGCCATTCTCGTTGGCAATGATTGTCCTCTTCATATAGTTGATGTCTTCACTCAAAAACAGTTATCCAACAAAATGACTATGAAGCAATGGCAGCAGTATATGAGACAGAAGCCTTCAGAACGATCTAGAATATACGACGTTTTAAGCTTCGAAGTATCAACTACAAAGCTCGCTCTTTATGTTCGAAAGCCCGACATTGTACGCGATCTTGATCTTGTTAATATCGTATGGCCTCCCAGCGCTTTCGCTTCAGGGGACTTTCCCCGTGTTGACACTTATTGTCAAATGTCAGCCGAAAACTCATACATTGATTTCCATATAGAATTTGGCGGATCGAGTGCTTATTATAATATTTTGGATGGTTATAAAGTCTTTTACCTGATCCCTCCCAGCCAAAAACACTGGGATGCTTACGTGTCTTGGTTAATTCCCAATGGAAAGAAGCGAGATTCTTTTTTACCAGATATGGTGGATAAATGCTATCGTGTGGAAGTTCACGCAAAAGAAACTATTATAATTCCGTCTGGTTGGATATATGCTGTTGAAACCCCATGTGATACCATCGCAATTTCTGGTAATTTTCTCACTTTTCTCCATATTCAATCTCAAATTTATATCAATGAGTTAGAAGTCAATCTGGGTATTGAAAGAGAGTTTCAATTTCCATGTTTTGAAAGCATTATGTGGTATACTGCTGTTCATTTCTACTTTGCTTTTCCTGATAGTGGACCACGAGATGGTATTGACGACATGCTCTCAATATATGAAACAGGCCCCTTATTTGAAGTTGAAAAGTTTACATCACAAGAATTGCATGGATTTGAAGAATTACTAAACTATATATATATACGTGCTCAAATACTTCGAGAATGCGACTTCATTGTAGATATTGACCAAAAGAATGTTCAAATTCAGGAAAATAATGGATTTGAAATTGCATGGGCTATGATTCCGCCTTTATTAGAAGAAATATGCGTTGATTTTGTTAAAAAATTCGGAGCTTGGTTTACCTACCATCATGGTCGTAGTATATATATGCCTTTTCTCTATAGCGCTCAAAAATCGAATTCTAGGAAGAATAATAAGAAAAACACTCCTGAAAAAGTTATTATTACATGTCATCGGCCTAAGAAGCGTCACTTATTTTCAACGGTTTTGGTTCACACTCGCAAGTCCTTCATTGAAGCTTGCAAATCAGAAGAAGAAAGAAGCATGAAAAGGGAAAGGAAATTTGACAAAAAGGAAGAAGGGCAAAAGGGGAATTATGGTAAACTCATAAATCGTTCTTTTTATTCAAGGAGTAACATAAATATTTCGAACGCTACGAGTCCTTTTATTTCAACCTTTTCAAAGGCAGTAGTTGTGAATTTCATTCAAGGTATGATTCAGAATAGCTCTTTTGTGATCTCCCTAAACTCTCCAGTTATTCGGTTTCTGAAAAACCTCATTCCAAAAAGGCTATTGCTGCCGCTAATATTTTTTTCTCAGGATTTCTTTAAGAATTCTAGCAACTTTTCGAATACAAATACAAAGCTAAAATTGAAGGCATCCACTGATTTTAATGACCATTCTTTTATGTCGCAGGGACGTGACCTAATATTACACCCTCACTGTTTTCTTAAGCGTTTCAATAATTTGCTATGGCTTACTAAGTATTTTTCTTTGAAAGGATTTTACAGAATTCATTGCAATAAAATCCGTAATGAACGACTTTTGCAATACCAACTCGAAGAAAAAGCATTCGCACATAATTCAAGTTCTCAAATTCAGGATGCAAAGGAAAGTATGACTTTTGATGAAGAAGTCAAAAACGACGAAACTAGATTTACAAATAATTTTTCGGGGTTCTCAACGCTATTCTCATCACCATCAAGCAATGATGATAGCTCGTTCCTGGAAGATTATGTTCAGATAGCTGACACGATTCCTTCCACAAGTAAACAGAATTATTCAAAACGGAAACTAAATGAACAAGATACGAATCAAGAAAAAAAGCAATTGAAAACAACAACAACAACTCGTCCAGCAAGAACATCGGCCAGGATAAAGTCTACGTGCAGTTCGCAAATGAAAAACTCTAAGAACCTTCAGTCGGCAATTGATTCTCATTTTCACTTAACGAAACCGGTTGTTAAATCAATAAAGGATGACAAGCATATAATCGAATCTGAGAATAGAAAGAAAAGACATCTTGGCAAGCGGAATAGCAAGAATCTCCAATTCTTAGATGACCAAGATCAAGATAACATTTATGATTTTGTGGATGAACCACCTCCCAAAATCCGTATGAAGATAATGTAAAGGGACTTTCCGTTCGATCTATGCAGTACCTTTTTAGCAGGACATGAAGCACGAAACAATTTTTATTAATAGATGAACGATTGTGTGTAATATGGAATTAGGTTGCATGCTTACAGCATTGGAGAAGCATACAATATTGTCATTTTCAGTTTATGAGTTTAATGGGTTGGTATGGTTATTACTGATTTTTTATTATTATTGTATAATTAATGTATGTTTATACACGATGATTTGTTGTATATATATATATGAATTTAATCTTAATTTAGTCACTTTTTTTTTTCTTCATGAGGTATAGCGAACTTTTATTCAGTAAGTTGAATAAGCGAGTCTCTACTGATTTTCTTATGAACAAGAATATAATCATCATGGAATAGTCAAACCTTTGTCTGTTGTAAGTCATTTGGTGTCTCATACCATTTCTCTTCTCCAGGTTATCTATTTAAGAGAAACCTTAACTTCTTGAAGTTGTACCTTCATGCAGAATTTTCACACTGTATAATTATGAATTTCGAGTGGAATAAACAACTATAGCTAATACCGTTGTATACGTGAATTTGGCTTAGTTGCACTTGTATATAGACGCTAGTATTGTCAAGGAATCAGATTGTCGAAAAGAAAGCTGAAAGATAATCTTATTGAGCTAGATCAGTCGAATTTTTAGACTGAAAATTCGACTGAGAACCTATGAGTATATAAAAGTTTCGCTAACCTAGTAAACATACTTTATTTCTTAGTAATTGATAGTATCATTGCTTATCAATTTATTGCTTAACTTCACATTCTCGATTTCAAAGTTGTATTTTCCAATTGTCTGTTTACTTAATATGATGCTACAATTCTTGTCCATTAGCTAACATTGTAACTGCTTGCTTAATTTATAGTAAATTTAATCTAATGAATAAAACTCCTTTGTTTAAATCTCACATTATAATCATACAATGCGTGAAAATTTGCTAAAGTAATAGATAGAACCCAATCAACAAGATATAGTACATAAGAAAGGTTCTTCCAGTCAGTGAGAAGTCTCTTGGCTCCCAAGCATCATTTCATGATTCTACCGAAAGTACCAAGATAAATACACTTTGAAGAACATAAACTATGTCTACGGCCATACCTAGGCGAAAACACCAGCTCCCGTCCGATCACTGCAGTTAAGCGTCTGAGGGCCTCGTTAGTACTATGGTTGGAGACAACATGGGAATCCGGGGTGCTGTAGGCTTTTCTTTTGTTGCTCTTTACTTTTTTTATTTTGCTTTTCTTTTTTAATACGTCTACTACTGTTGCTTGCAACCGTTTTCTCGATAGAATTTTTGCAAGCTGTTCCTTTACAAGTGACAAAAGACTAATTACAAGTTCAATGAAAAGAAATGGAACGATCGTATTCAATTGCAATTAATAATAATAGTAATAATAATCATTAAGAACCTAGTATGATGCCAATGATCTCAGATTACGGTTCCTTTCAATGAGCGGATTGTATGCATGCCTTTCTATTGTCCACTTTTCTTCGTCATTTCCATTTATATTAATACAAATCAAAAGCATAGAAATAAACCTTCATCGGAATAAACCGCTTGTAATGTTCTCTTTTTCATTTACTGACTTTCAATCGGAAGAGTTAAGACTCGTGAGAAAAGAAAGGCAAATAAGTAGGCATTAACTTTGAGTGGTAGGATTGCTCTGAAGCTCGATTTCTTCATTCGTGTTTGTCGGCGGAGGAGCTAATGCATCATCTCTCTGTTGATATCTGGGAAGCGTAGGCGAACCGGTGTTTTCAGCTGAGCGCTCAAATCCCATTCCAAAGCCAAAAACAAGAACGTTATAAATTCCCCAAAAGATAGCACCAACGAACCATGCGAGACCTTCACCAAGAACTTTGAAGCCAGTACCAACGAACCATGCGAGACCTTCGAAGCCAACACTAACGAACCATGCAAGACCGTTGCCAAGACCAACCACGATAAAGATTATAACTTTAGCGGCAATCCGTATTGTCAATATGAAAGGCCAAATAAGTGCTAGGCTTTATTAGTAACACACATTCTAATAACGTTTGCTATTAACAACAATGCTCCACTTACCATAGAAAAGAGCAAAGAATATTGCCCATATCACAAGCCAAATGCCTAAAGGTCCAAGAAGGGCCAAACTGTATCCATTTTCCATATATACTTGTTTCAGAAAAGAAAATAGTTCGAAACGATAGGAGATTGCTAATGTACAAAGGAATGATAAAGCCAATATCAAACAGAAAAACATCGATTTACTTTTAACGACTACATTTTCAGGGAAATAATGATCTGTCTTCTTCCTATATTCGGTAAAGAAATCATTGAAGCTATCAAATTCAGTCATTATCGTTTTTTTACTTTGTTTGGCTTTGACAGAAGTTGAATTGGAAGTTTTGTTTATGTCTTTTGGTGTATACAGAGGAAGTCCCTTCTCAAGGTCAACATTGTAAACATCAGCATGGCTGTATGCAGGAGGATCGCTTGAATCGAATTTTAGCTCCTTTTCCGACATCCTAAAAATAAATAAAAAGAAATTTCACCGAATAATTAGCAAAAGAGCGTCAAATAAAAGCTATCGATCCGTATTCGATGTAAAAATTTCGCAAATGTTCAGAAGCTGCTAAGAAAGGCGAAATTGAAAGGGATTTAGCTCAAAGTAGACTCAATTTCAATCTTTCATCTAAAATAGCTCAGACTTTAATCAAAATCAGCCCAGTTGGCAGGAATTGAAGAAATAAAAAGTTGGCTCCAGCAAGAAATTTCGCATCACTTACGCAACATTTTTGCTCAGGATAGTGATGGGTTCAGTTACGCTATCTCTTATAGCGATTATTGTTAATAAATCGTTGAAGATACGTTTGAGTCACAAGGAACAAATAACAAGTTTCGCTAGTTTCGCGTTTGTTTACATAGCAGATCTCACTTTTCTGTGAACTGTTAACAACTTTTTACTTGAAAGTGAGCTACTAATTTCTCGTTGTACTTAATTTATTCACACAGAAGAAGTAACAAACAAAACATGGAAACTGCAGACGCATTAGCTAACTGCTTTTCATTAGACAATTGAATAACAGCCTACAACCAAAAAGCGGCTTTCACGGGTTCTTCAGGATCAAAAAAACCTATAAATTACTTCTTTGAACTGAAGGAACTGTCCACGGCCATACCTAGGCGAAACCACCAGTTCCCATCCGATCACTGCAATTAAGAGTCTGAGGGTCTTGTAAGTAATATGCTCTGAGACAACATGGGAATCCGGAGTGCTATAGGCTTCACCTCTAATAAGATTCACATAGCTGTGCTTTTTATCACACGTCCATTGATTAAACACTGCAAATGTAAGGGAACGTGCACGCAGAAAAACCGATAAATAGCAGGAATCTGAAGACATCAATCAGAGACCTCATTAATGCTATGTTAATACAACGGAAAGGGGCATATATCTAAAATTCCAGTACAAACAAATAAGAACAAAAGTGTAACAATGTTATTTTTTTTTTTACAGAGGGAATGAAGTGTCACGCAGATGCAAGATGTTATCCAAAAGAAAAGTGATACTCGTTTAGGGGACATGGAAAAGTCATCTCATAGGTGTCGTCCCGATCTAAAGTACAGATCACATAGCGAAAGGATACCAGTGAAATAACGACCATCTAATCGCTACCATGTTATGTAAACGTTCACTTGCCTCAAAGTCAATACGATTTCATCGTAGCATCAAGGATTATCACGTATTTAACGACATCAGCAATGCAAAGTACAAAATAAATAATTTATGCAAAAAAAAAACGGAAAAAAAAGGTTGTTGAAATGAAGAAACTTTAACATAAAAACACTGAATATGAAAGAGAGAATAAACCTTTCAATTTCTCACCTCGCCGATTAAAATATCGAAAGAAGAATTAAGAGGTTGAAAAATAAAAGTACGAAACCAAGGAATCAGCTGCTTTCCAAATTCCCAGTGCTTTCAACGTCCCTAGATTGACTTGGTTTCTGCTGTCTTTCGCGGAAATTGTTCAACGCATTCAGAAGATGATTGTTCGTCTGCAAGATTATTAGGGTCATTTGATCGGTTTTGAAACTCGCTTGGGATTGTATCCAGTGGGACGGGATTATCATTCGTCAAGTCGTTTCTTTCCAACGTCAAGTCGAAACCGAAAATTGAAGCAATCCAGAGATTAAGTTGATTTGGTAACAGAATGAAAAGATCCAACAAGTCTATAATTGATCCATTAGTAAAAGTCTCAAAACAAATATCTATGAATCAACTCACATGAAACAACCAATAAGCAAATCCAGAAAGCCAAAATGGCAAGAAGACCCGCTAGAACCAACTGAGTATTTGACGTAAGAAATTCGACCATTGACTTCTTGAAAAAGGAAAAAGAAGAAAGTACGAAAATACAAAATCCAGCACAAATGCAAAAATGCAGCACTAGACAAGTCGAGCAGTTTCATTTACCACTTTGACAGTAGCCTGTGGAATCCTAGCAACCTTTGCTGGACAGATAATCAACCATAATACAGACTTGATGGAATTTTCAGAAGCATTCATGGACGCTACTTGACTTTTCAACATGCGATAGAGCGCGAATTGGACGTAAACATAAACGACCTTTTTCCAAATTGTCCAGATGAGACGAATAGTCGATATCGCTGTAAGGTAAATCACTGTCGTTGCAATCAGACTCCCAGCAAGAAGACTTGGCTGGTTTGACAGCTTCGAAGTGTTTTTCTTGCTCTTTTTCGTTCATTTTTAAGAGAAAAAAAAAAACAAACATGTTCCAACGATTACTAAAAAGTCTGAAATGAACCGCGAAAATGATCCAAGTTGGTAGCAACGAACAAGAACTGCGTGGGACTTTCTAAGAAAGAGAGTGACTAACTCAACTCATACCACGAAAAAATAGAAACCCCATAAAAGCTCCAACAGACGCGAATTGAAAACGCAATGGCAATGACTTTAGGTTTGCTAAGGTGAAACTGTCATCGACCATTCAGGCTCTTTTGATGAATTTCGCTATATCACTTACCGCTTTTTTCTAATCGTCGTTATATTGATAGTCTGCTACCTCGTACAAACCAGGTAGCATGTTATCTCTGTTGGGTGGGTTACTCAAGAAGCAGTTTGTACAAGCCTGGTTTGTACTATGGTTGGAGAGGTGCTGTGGCCTCACCCTTTTTTGTCAGGCATAGTTTTGAATTCTTGTAATTATATGCTTTCACTTTGTTTTTTTTTCAAAGTTTTCCATTTAACTAGAGAGAGATCTGTTTTAACTTTTATCTGATCACCTCCATTTCTTGGAAATTGTTACTACTACTGCTATTATCTTTGAGTAATTGATCACTTTTCTAAACAAAGAGACACTATGTCAACGAAACAATGTTTCTTTTGTATAAAATAAAACAGTCCCCCATGTGTATAAAAACTCCCTTCATCTATAATCCTTGGGTTTTTCGGTTTTTTTTATTAAGTAACAGTAACAGCGTTCAGTTTGTAAATACGGTAACAGATGTCCCTATGGCGCCTTTGTGACATAAACAAATTGCAAGCTATAAACATAAAACTTGAATACAAATGTTTTTAGGTAGGTTTATATTCGTATTATTTCAATAAAACTTAATTCCACCATTGTAAGCGAGGAAACGTAGCTTTCGAGTATGTCGTTCTTTATCCTACGTTTACAAATACAACTACCCATCTAGCCATAAGTTTTCTTGGTGTCACTTATAATAGTTTACAAAAGTATCTGAAGAACAGTGATTTCTTCTTTCTTTCACCAATATAAATGCCGGTTTGATTTTGCAGGATTCATTCTTGACTTTTTTTGTTTATCGTCAAGCTTAGACTCGTAGATTTTTTTCGTTCTTTTCATTCAATTTGGCAAAGGAAATAAGATATACGAAGCCATAGTCTACTTTACGTAGAATTATATACGAAGTAACTTTCTACATTCTTCCTCTAAAATTCGCCTTACCCCATTATTCTAATGATATTGCCTATCAATAGAACAGGAGAATATATGTAGCATCTACCTGATGATTCTGCAATGACTTGTAATTTCTTACAAATTGTTCTCACAATAGAAAAGTCGACATAGCAAAAGAAATTCCTTTCATCCTTGGAAAAAACATTTCATCTTCAACTTTTCGTTTATTTTATCTTTTGCCAAACTTTTCATCATCGCTATATTTACAGTTTTAGGACGCATTACAATTCGTTAAGTACATTAAGGCTGCTTAAAGAGGGAATTATAATTTTTGCACTACCGTACGTAATACTTCTAACATTTACAACACAGAAACCGGATAGTTCATTGCGTAGAAATTGCTGGTTTTTACGTTCTTTTTTTTGAAAAATAATATGAATGAAAATGTATCTATAACCTCAGGTGAGAATATGCGAAAGAAGGAGTCCGAGCCGTTAAAGAATGAGACAAAAATGAACGAAAACATATCTCTAACCCAAACGAACGACGACACTGACTCTATCGAAAAGAAGAAATCTAATTTATTTCAAGAAAATAGTCAATTGCAAGAAAGTGTAGAATTGGACGTGCAGGAGGAATTTGAAGATACGTCAGTTACTACCGAACAGGATGAAAAATCCAGATCAGAAAGTGATTGTTACTCTCCGTCGAGAACGGCACAGTCAACGAAGCAAAAAGGCCTTCACATCGTTACTGGATTTCCAAAACCACTCTCAGATGGAAGACGTAGGGGAAAGCATGAAGATTCTTATTTTTTTCGCAATGGATCCAACCAATCTTTCCATCAGCAGACAGTCAGTCCGTTCCCAAATGTTCCCGGAGGATTAGAAGGGATTCCAATTACCGGGAATAGCCCTCTTACCCATTCATTCAACTACCCCATGTTGCATCCGTATATGGCTGGTGCACAATTTGGCCCTCCGCCTATGCCTATGAAGCCAGATATGAATCCGCATTTTCAAGGTTATCGTCGCCCCCAGATTCCTAGGACTCAGTATTTCGAGGAAAGCGTCCCAATTCAAGGCCCTTCGCGCAACAAAGATGGAAAACATTGGGATGGAAAAAGGGGTCAGCGAAGTATTGAAATTCGCTTGAATTTTGGGAAATCTTCTCCTTCCAAAGCCGTTCCTCTCCAATCAAGAAAGCGTATCACACATGTTGTATATAATTCCCGTCTTCATCAGAAAAACCTAAGGGTTAACTTACCTGGTGCCACTCCGATCACGGTTCCCTCAAAGTCGAAAAACAAATTTAATATGAACACGTTTCCTGTCCCCATGCCTTCTTTTCCAACTGCAGCCCCTCCTATCCCCTATGCATCGAATCTCCCCCCTGTACCCCCTTTTAATTTTTTTCCTGCACCCGCTATCCCTCCAAATCCTAGTCAATCGAATTTCTTTCAGTATGACTTTCCACCCCCGTTTGACCCGACCTTATTTCCCCAGGTACCTTCCCAAGAAACTCACGGAGCTGCAAGTCGCTCTCCGTCATTTGGTCCCTCCATTCCTGGTGTACCAACTTTCCGTCCTGAGATTTCTTCAGGTAATGGAATTTTAAACCCCCCGGCACCTCCTCCTGCTCTTGGTGTTGGTAGTGACCCTTCTGCTTTTTACCAGCCGACTACTGCTCCTCTTGGGGCAGTTTATCCTAATTCTGCTTTCCTTCCTTCCTCAAGCCCTGCTCCTCTCCCGGCCTATCCTATGATGCCTGCTTACTGGCCTTATCCTGCTGTTTACGATCACTCTACTCAATCCATGCTTCCTCCCAACGTTGCTCCTCCTTTACCAAGTAATGATACGAATTTAATGTCAAGGATGAATACAGATAATGTTCGTCCATTCTCTCCATCTACTTCTACTTCTACCCCACCTTATGGTTATGTTTACTACTATGATCCTAACCAATACTACAATGGTCAGGGCAGCGGATCAAAGCCCTCGTAAGATCAAAAAAAAGATAAACAGAATACTTGGAGAACTATGCCATTATGCTTAAAGGGGCTTAACCTTTCATGACGTTTTGACTGAATGGGTGCATCTTAGAATTTCGTTTTGCGTACTCAGCAAATAATATTTACACCCTTTCCCAATTTCTTGTAGGATTTAGTCCTTATACGAAAGAAAAAAAGAAAAAAAAGAAAAAAAGAAGAGTTAGAAAAGTAAACGGAATATGTTTACAATGAATAATTTAATAGTAATGTCTATTTCTAAAATTAAAGAGTAAAAAAATCAATGAGTCTTGATTCTACGTATGTACGATAAAAAAAGTATGGTATGTTTGCATTTCTCATGGGCAATAGCTTGCCTAATGGTTTCTATCATCAACATATCCATTAAAAAAGCCGAAAGAGAAATCCCGAGTTTGCATTACTTCTTAATCCCGCTTACGTTCGGTTTCTTCTGATTTGACGACAGAAGAATAAGGGGGTGGATTATCGCTATGATCATCGTTATGCATTAAAGAATCGGTAGCATCCATAGAGGTATGATGCTCAGAAGCAGGCTGTTGAGAAGAGGCATCTGTTGCATGTATATTTTCATCAATCATGGATCGGACCTGTTGGTAGGTCTGACGAGCGGTCGATTGAGCGGTCGATTGAACGGAGGAAGATAACGACTTAGCGAAACCAACATATTCTTTTCGAATTTCAGGAGCCTTATGAAAGTTAGAGAAAATAATCATCAACGAAGAAAACGCTTACCTTTGCAAAGGTAGATTGGACGTATGTTTTATTAATGTCCTTCACTTGTTGTGAAACAGATTTTGAAAACATGCTCCACCCGTGATTAAAGGCAGAAAGAGGATCTCTTGAAAGCTCCTCCATGAAGGAAGGACCACTGTCTCCATGACCAGAATACGTAGGAGATACTGAGTTAGTACTACCAAATCCAGCGTATCGACCTCCCTGAGAAGGAGGTAAGTCAGCAGAACGTTGGGCATTGATAGAGCCTAATCGGTTGAAATAAGATTCATTATCTTCCTTACTTGGAATAGGAACTGCGCTCGACTCAGCTTCTTGCTTTTTAGGTCGCTCTTGTTTTATCCATTCCCGGCCTTCAACGTCTGCAAGTAGTTTTTCTCGATAATCTTCAGCAATATCAGTGTTATACTAAAAGAAATTAGTTTTTTAAGCCTATAAATTTCATCCAACCTTATCGCGAATAGTTTTCGAAAAAAACTCAGGGTCAGCCATAAGAAATGCACGAGCACGATCATTTCCGCCCTTTTCCATCATTGTAACTTGTCTTTCATTCCAATTATCCATTGTGACACTGCGTACAAAACTCTTCTCCACACCCAAACCACGGTGCTGTCCACTACATTCCAAACATATAAAGATACCAAGGTTGCAAGAAGCCCATTGAGGGTTTGGAGAACCGCAATCAAAGCATGTCTTGTTTGCAGGATGACGGGCAATTTCTTCTAAGGATGCTGACATGATTGTAAATTGTAAATTAGTCTAAAACTGTGTAGAGAAGACGACGACAACTGGATTTTGGGCCCAAAACAGTAATATTATATATTGACAAACTATATAATAGTACTTTAGATTCTAGTAATATCATATTATAGACGGTTTTAAATTGAAAATGCGTTTGCAGCAAAAAGACCTTAATAGTAAAAGGAAATAGCATGTGGGTTTGAATATGAGAAAGGCAGGCTTTTATTTTACCTTTTCTCAGCTCAATTGTGTGACACAAATGCACTATTGCAACGTGCATATGACTGAACATTACACAGACCTTTGCTTTCTAGATATGAGAAAGGGAATCATCAAAGATGAATTATGACATTGAGCTCTTCTATCTAATGTATTTTCATAGCTGAAATCAGTGTTCTGTTTCGAATTGGAATCCATATGAATAGTAAATACAGTCTAAGTTCGTTAGTAAATAAACAAATGAGGGCTTTGAACGGACAAATGAATATCTAGTAGTTTGTAGTTTGTTCTTTTCTTTATTGCTTCTTCGCTTCTTTTTTTTTCGCCTTGCTATCGCAAAATTGAAAATAAACTCCCTTTGAAGAATTGTGGCAGAAACGAGAGCTGTCCTTCAGTTCCTGCATGCAAATTCATTAAAGAATAGCAGTAGATATCAATTGAAATTATGTTTGAGACTATTGATGAACTCGTTAAACAGGCTTCATTGAAAATATGCGACATGCTTCATAGAAAGTATGCGACATGCAGGAAGCGGCTTAACCAACTTTGGTAATGAATAAAATATTTGAATGTTTTTTCTTTCTTAATATAGGTTTGAATTAAAGCTATAGCCAAAAGAGTTTTAGTTTTTGTCATAAACTATGACCTTTGAAGAGAGCATACTGACAGCAATTTACCATTAGGTCAACTTTAGAGGAATTAACAAGGGAAACGAATTATAGAAATTTTAATCATCTTGTTCTGGTATATTTAAAAGACTGAAGTTATTTCAAGTCGTCGGCTTGTATCGATTTTCCCAGATTCCTTACATGTCTCACGTTCAGACTATTTTTAGCAGAATTCGCGGCCCTTTCTGCAAATTAAGTCAATATAGTCTTCCATTATCCTCATCCGCGTCGATAATTCAAAAAGAAAACCTAAAGAACGCCCTTGGAGAAGCAAAAGATGCTTTAGCACAAGCCTTAAGTGACCCTAACCAAATCTTATCTGCTAATTTATGTGATTATTTATTTTTTCCTATAGCTCCAATTTTGAAATCTTGGAGTCGTGTTCCTAGCACTGGTCTTGAATACGCTTTAGAGTGCATTCGATTGATATACAATCACGGGTGGAAACATATTCATAATGAAACACTTACTCTTCAACTCATTTTGTTAATTATGAACATTGCAGACGGCTGGAAGTCTCCGTCCGAACATGCACAGCAAGATCCTTATGTACAAGAAACTGCTCTGGAAGTACTAACGGATTTAATAGTCGACTTTCGTCCTAGAATGGAGGATCAAAGGCATTATTTACTATTTGCTAAATGTTTTTCCTATAGTTTGGATTCGTTTTCTAAAAGCAATAGTTCTGTAAGATTACAAAAAGCAACCCTTGGATGCATGGACGCTTTACTACGTCTGCCAGTTTCTCTCGACATATTAACTACTTTTCTTCCTGGAATTGTTTCTGGATTAGCAAAAGGGCTGAGTCCTAAAGGACCATGCCGATATTTTCAGTGCGTTTCCCAGGCTTTACAAGTATTGGATTATACTCTTGTCACGATTATCGGGGATAAAGTCACAAAAGATTTACCAGAAGTCAAAGAGTCTCTGGATTCCTCTAGTTTTATGGGAGTCACCAAAAGAACTGCGGCTTGGAAGCGAGCTAGCTGTCAACAGATTAGCACCGCTGTAAAAACGATATTGCATCACCGCTCTTCCCAAAACTTGCACATTCAAACGTCTCTCTTCCGTTTTTGCTTTTCACTCTTTACTAATTGTCTAGAGTCACTAAAGGATTGTCGCATCCATTTACTGGAAACTATGCTTCTGCTGGTAAATAAAAAAGAAAATCCACAACTTGCTAATAATGGAATCGAATTATTATCGAATTTCATTTCTTCTCAAAACAATACGCTGGTTATGGAAAATGTCCTATCCGATTGCCTGCAATCATGGTCATCTGCCTGGTCTGGTATATCAAATTTAGCTTCAGAGGACGTTAAGTTGGAAAAGTTAAAGCAATTACGATGCCTTTTGACATTTGCCGGACAAGTTCCCAGTGTCTTACAGTCGACCGAGCCTCTCTTTGAAGATATTCTGAGTCAGCTGTCCCCAAATGCTTCAGGTATAGAAGCAAACCATCAAAAAGTTCTTACCACAACCTCTTTAGGAAAAAATATAATCAACGGATTTTTCTTTGGAGATCATGAAATGGAGCAGGTTGTCAGGTCCATTCTGCTTCAATTTGCCGACTCGCCCCAAGCCAAATATATCTTGCAATCACTTTTTTTGAAATCTACTTCTCTTGTAAATAGTTCCTCCCTAACGTCATTTTGGGCTGGCTTGCACATTTTGAAGCATACTAATTCTACGAGCGTTAAGGTATTATTCCTGGAGTCTTATGAGCAAAGGTCTCTAGAAATTTTACAAGAAATATCTCAGTTAAATACCTTTCACGGGAAAAATATGAAGGAAGAAAAACAAAGAAAACAGTTTGGAATACTTTGTGCTCGGGCTTGTATCGCGATGGATTGTATTAGTTGGGTAGCTGCTGAACAAGGAGAAAATTTCCGTCCAAAGCTTATGAATGTCCTTTATCCTATTTTAGAACATTTGGCGTTTGCTTCTTCGTTTGTCTCTACATTTGCTGAAGCTTGCATAGAATCCATAGTTTACAATTGCAAATATGGTTCAGCTGCGGAAATGCTACGAGAGAACATTGACTACGTTGTAAACTCTGTCGCATTAAAATTAAATACGTTGGACATTACACCACAGCTTCCTTTGGTGATGGCTTATGTGATTAGAAATGACGATGGTAGCGGCGTACAGTATATTGGGGACGTTATTGAGTCTATCTTCACAATCCTGGATAATTACCATGGGTACACCAGACTTACAGAGGGACTTTTAGGGATCCTGTATGAAATTATTAAGCAACAAAGTACACAATCGCGTGAAAAGAGACAGCAATTGACTTATCAACCGTCGAAGGAAATTACAGATAAAGAAGAAAAGGGTTCTCAAGGATCCATTTCCAAGGATATCCAAGAGTTTTTGGAAGCTTGTCAACGAAATCCAAAATACCCTTTTCCACCAAGAAAAGAAGGAATGGAATTAGGAGAAGCGGCGGAAAGCGGACAGGAAGGTTTCAAAAAGCATTTGGAAGAAGAAAATGAGAAACAAGAAAAGGAAGGGGATGAAAATGAAGAATTAATGGAAAGATCTAAGGGAGATGAAGAGGAACAGAAAGAAAGTACTGGGATGATCAAGATGGTGCAACAAATAGCAGAAAAAGCACAACTGTTTTTGACACATGAGCAAATAACGATTCGAGTTCAGATGATAAGGCTTTTAGGGTATGCAAGTCAAGTACTTGTTGAGGACCCCAATACCTTTTACCCCACAATTCACACATGCTGGCCATTGCTCATAACGCAACTTAACACAGGCGAGGCAGTGCTGGTAGAACTGGCTTTAGGAAGCATTGCGCAAATGTGCACATTGGCATACGAGTTTATGGGATCGCGCATTAGGAAAGACCTAATTCCCAGATTGAGGATGCTCGTGAGAGAGAATGTGTTATGGGAGAAGGCACCTCCCTTTTCGAAAGAGCATCGTTTACAGAGATCCATAGCATGTGTGGGACTTGCATGTATGGAAAGCCGGCAGGGTCCGTCGGTATATTTAGACTTGCTAGACCTTATCGCGCCTATCTTGCGATGTTTAGAGAAGATGCCACAAACTTATAGTGATGATGGGGAATTTGTGGAATCAGTGTGGAATGCATTTTCACGACAAAATCCCGATGCAGTGTATTATGAACGAGAAGTGGTCAGACATCGAAAAGAACTTTTGGAGGCGGGAACTTTAAAACTGAGACAAGGCGAGCTAAAAAGACGGCCACTTATGTATCGTGGATCTGAGCGAGCTACACTTGAACCAAATGACAAAGCATCTCCAGCGACCTTTTTGGAAGAATTGCGAACGCAACCTACGGCAATGACGAGAGACGAAAGCCAGCGGGAGGAGGAAGCTGAGGAAAAGACTACTGAAAAAGATCACTTACCCTCGCTTAACCATTTACTACAAGGTCAATTCGCTGAAGATCCTCGAGACAAGAAGCCCAAGAAACCATTGATTTCAATGCTGTAAAGAAATAGTTTGCAAACAAAAGCTACTTCCTGCGCAAGTTAAGAAGTGAGGAAGAAAAACAGTGAAGTTTTGTTTCTATATTTATTTCTATGTTAAGGATGTTAAGTTTAATTTAATTTTCTGGCCTATGTCTGACAGTCTATGGAATTGAAATAAAAAGTGAAAGCAACAGAATAAAAATAAAAACTAATTTTTTTCACTACAGATGATTTGAATCTTCATCCCAATGTTGTCCATATTAAGCTATATGTTTTGGATTCACCTTCTTGCAATTTTTTTTTTTTTATCTATGATGGGGTTGGTATGAGGAAGAAAATTTTTGGTCTATCTGATTAGATAAACATTCGTTATCTATAGTCCCGCAAATTTTTGGTTGGAGAAGCGACGGATCCACATATGACGCACGAGCAAAAGTTCAATCGCCGGAATCAGGAAGATCAACGCTAAAACACTGTTGCCGTCCGATGTTCTACTTCAATCAGCGTGTAAAGAAGCGGATATTGTGACTGTTTTGTCTAGGGATGGTAGATAATGATCCGTATATAGAGGCTACGTTTGCTCGTCTTGAAACGTCTTAAAAACAGCTTGTTTACACGTTTCGGTGTGTCTGTTGTTTTTATAGAATATAAAACAAAAGGTTTCCTGTCTGGTTAAAACTATAATTTGTTATATAATTTTCGATCCTAATTCATAAAATTTGCAATATGGTCTCTCCTTACGAACCCGAATTTGAACAAGCTTACAAGGAAATTATTAACTCTGTTGAAGATTCCAAGCTTTTTGAAGTCCATCCTGAGCTAAAACGAGTCTTACCTATCATCTCTGTCCCCGAGCGTGTTTTACAATTCCGCGTTACTTGGGAAGATGACCAAGGCAATTGTCGTGTCAACACTGGTTACCGTGTCCAGTTCAATTCTGCATTGGGTCCTTACAAGGGCGGTCTGCGTTTCCATCCTACAGTGAATTTGAGTATTCTCAAGTTCTTGGGTTTTGAACAAATCTTCAAAAATGCCCTCACTGGACTTCCCATAGGTGGTGGTAAGGGTGGTTCGGACTTTGACCCTAAAGGCAAGTCGGACTCTGAAATTCGTCGTTTCTCCCAAGCCTTCATGCGACAACTCTTCCGTTTCATCGGTCCTCAAACTGATGTGCCCGCTGGTGACATTGGTGTCACTGGTTTCGTCGTCAATGCTATGTTTGGCGAGTACAAGCGTCTTCGTGACGAGTACAGCGGTGTTTTGACCGGTAAGCACATGCTTACCGGTGGCAGCAACATCCGTCCCGAAGCCACTGGTTATGGTGTTGTCTACTATGTGTGTCACATGATTCAACACGCTACTAAGGGCTCCAGGAGTATCACTGGCAAGCGGGTTGCTATCTCTGGTAGTGGCAATGTTGCCCAATATGCCGCTCTCAAATGCATGGAGCTCGGTGCTGTTGTTAAATCTTTAAGTGATTCTAAGGGCTCCTTAATTGCTACTTCTCCTGAGGGCCTTACTCCTGATGTCATTTACAAGATTATGGAACTTAAGGAAAAGCGTCTCGCTATCTCTGATTGTCCTGAGCTTACCAGCAAGTACAGTTACATTGTTGGTGCTCGCCCTTGGACTCATGTAGGCGAAGTTGACATTGCTTTGCCTTGCGCTACCCAGAATGAAGTTAGCGCCCAAGAAGCACAAGCCTTGATTAAAGCCGGTTGTCGTTACGTCGCTGAAGGCTCTAACATGGGTTCTTCTGCAGAAGCTGTCGAGGTCTTTGAGAACTCTCGTGCTAACGGCGAAGGTTGTTGGTTAGCCCCTGGTAAGGCTGCCAATGCTGGTGGTGTTGCTGTCTCCGGTTTGGAAATGGCTCAAAATGCTCAATTTAGTACTTGGGCTCGTACTGAAGTTGACGACCGCTTGGCTGGTATCATGAATTCCATCTTTACTCAATCAACCGATGCTGCTTCCAAATACTGTGAAAGTGGAGTTAATAATATCCCCAGTCTTGTCGACGGTGCCAATCTAGCTGGTTTCGTCCGTGTAGCTCGTGCTATGGAAGCTATCGCTGACTGGTGGTAAAGTACCTGCTAGAATGATTGCTTTATATGTTTTATTTATGCTATGAAAAGGGTTCTTATACATAACTCATAAACTCCCTGTCCATATATGCCCCAGTTTTCCACTCGCTACTCACGACTATGCATTCTCTTTGATTCGTATACAGCACTCTTTTATGTTTCATTTTTGTATATTGAATAAATAATATATGAATACTTTTTTTTTGAATGCAATTCTTACTTCTCATTATACTCTTCACATAAAGATCAATGAATTCATAAGTTTTAAATATAAAGTAAAAGTTACGGCGCGTCAGTAACTTATAAAGGAGGAGTACTAAAATATTATATCATGCAATCATACCAAATTAAAACCCGAACATGAAAGAACATAAAATTTTTTAGAGAGATGGATAATTTGCACTCAAAAGAAGAGCTCTACCTTCAGCCAAATACGATGGAGATGTTTCATCGAGAAAGTTATCTTCCGTATTTGAGGATTCTGTTTCAAGTGAATCAATCACAGGTGACTTTTGAAGTCCATAAGAATAAATAATGTGTCGAAGCCAATATTTCAAAGAAAACAACGAAAAAATAACAGGCATGAGAATAAATACTGGGTAGCGCTTGCTAATTAAATTACCAAGAGGTAATAGATCTATACTTTCTCCATAAAATTTGTGAAACTGCGTAGGAAAAAACTGTAAGGACGTAAAATTATAGCATAAAGGCAAAGTTAGTCGGCACAGTTGGGAAGCAAAACAGAGCAATGACGCTGGCCCTGTAGCACGGAAAGGAACGACGGCATAATGGTGGTAAGATGCAAATTGGGTGTTAATCAAAGATTTATAAGTGCAATATCTCATATAATTGATAACAATAAATGATACGAAAGCACAAAGGGAAGGAGAATCTTGAACACGATTTAAAAAAATGCCGACAAGAGAGTGTTTTGAGTGTAAAAACAGTTCAGACACAACGATAACAAAGCTTAATAAAGCAAGAAAACAAGCTAAAAAGATCCGAAAAACAGGAATTACCCAAACATAAAGCGCGTAAGCAAAAACAGGATGCATTTGAATATACGAGTCAGGCAAGTATAGTCGATAGGAGGAGGATGCTTTTGCGAATCGTATTGTGTTTATCATGTTATATTCTTTCACCATTTGTGTCCATGTAGTTTGTAAAGGCAAAACGTGAGACATGGCCTGTGATACAGCAGAAGAGGTAAAGTCACTGTCGGTGGCATAAGAAGCTCGAATGCCTAGGCTGTAGGATTGATCCATGTTGAGCGTGCTGGAGCTCGAATAAGCCGAAAATTCGTCTATCCGTTCTTGCAACCTAGAATAGATGTTCACTGCTTTTCTTTCTAACAAACGAGCTCGTTGATTAAGAAAGGCTTTCCTCCAAATGTTCCGAGGAACGTAAACGAGTCCATTACCGAGGAGAAAGATAACAAACAACAAGCCCCAAAAATAAGTAAGGGAAATAATCAATTCCTTGAAGTTTGCAAAAGACATGGTACGAAGGGTAAAGCGCAAATAAGCTATCACCACCAACGATAGGAATGTCAAAAGCGTATAATAGCGCAAGTTTTTGTACAGAGAGTCTTTTACCCTCGTTTCAACCGTTGGGAATTGACTCTCGATATATTCTTGGATAAATGGAAGTATGAACCATGTCGCTGTGAATGTAGTCCAATATAAAACTCGCCATTTGAAAATGCTGACGTCCTACAAAAGAACGTTAGTTTCAAAAATTTTTTGAATTAATATAATGAGAATAAGGAATGCTGATTTGTTGACGGTCCTTGTTTGCCCTTCATCCTATGAGAACCCGACTGTTTCATTATTGCAAAATGTCAATCCCAACTTCCACAAGACATCCTGTCATACAATTCTTTTTTCTTTTACTAAACCAATTTAACAATTCATTCACTTACCCATACGATATCAAGAGGAACTAGTAGCACGACTAGAAAAGGTATGTAAAGACCTAGAAATACAAAAGTCCCAGTGATCCAGGTTAACGAATGCTGTTGAGAATATTTATATATCCATATAATCGTCCATAAAGCCGGTACTGTCAAAAACAACAGTTGGCCCAGCATGTTGGGTGTGAACAAAAGTAGTATCGTTCAAAGGGAAATCATATTTATGATATTTACGGAGAAAGAAAACAAAGGGTAAACAGCCCTTCCAATCTTCATAAACCAATGCAAGAAACAATAAGTTCTTACTTGCGTTTCTATATCCAGGACGTTTTTGACTCTAAATAAAGACTACTATGAACGGGTCCAAATTCTAGTACGCGACCATGATGCGAGTAGTTAGTTTGGAAGTACGTTTATGCTTTTAACTCTCGCTTGTTCGTACATTCAATTGAGTAAAAAAGGCATGTGTTAGTTCTTGTAAACGGTAGAAACCTCGGTTTGTTCAACCCTTGTTGTTTAATGATATTTCTTAAGGTAAAAATAGATGAAAAAGAAGCATTCTATAAAAAAGGTTGAAATCTTGAGCAATATGCATAACTTTTGCTAAACTTGATGATTTCCTATTTTCCTTTGTTTGTTTACATACGTGTAAACATGAACGTTTACACGCCTTTCATACGAGAGAAAATGTTGATCTTTTTAGTTAAAACTAATCTTAGAATAAATATTTGTTTCTGCTTTCTTAGTGTTTCCATTCCATCCTCAATTGCTTGTATGAATAAGTTCTGGTTTCAAGGTAGTGTTGTCAATTATGTTTATGTTTCCAAATCAAACGCTTTTTTCCCTTGATATTATCTTTAGGTAATGGAATGAAAGCGAAAAAATAAATGAATCCAAGGCGGCTTTTGCTGAAAACCTTGGCGAAAGGAACAGTGGAACTACAAGTGCTGCATGTTCGAAGTAAGATGACATAAAGAATGAAAAGATGCAAATGAATGTTGAGTATTGTAGTAAATAATTGACTTGGATATGCTACGATCTCATTATTTGCAGCAGAAATTAAATCATTCGTATCCCTACCAACTACCAAATTACCCAGGGGAGGTATCTCTTGGTAAAATGAACGAGGATGAAGAAATTTTAGCTCATTATGGATTAAAAAGCTTTCATCAAGAGTACTGGACAGAGAAAAGCGATTTAGAACTGCGAGGTCAGTCAGCTCAATTGTCGAGTCCTTTAAACTCAGCGCATCATGGACGCAATCGTTCTGACGATGTTCTTCGAATGAATGGGTAAGTAAGAAGGAATAGAAAATAGAAAAACTTATTAAGAAAATATAGCTCAGGATCTGATCCTTACTATCCCAATAGTGTTCATGGAAAACCTATGACTCATCGAGCAATGAAAAGAAGTCAAACGAGTGCACAGCCATCTATGACTATGCCAATGTTGGAAAGAAGCAATTATAGCTCTCCATCTTCAAATTTGAATCGCGGATCGCCTTCTGCGACAACTGATATCAACGGCAAAGGACAGTCCAAAAAGCCATCGAATGGGTCACGCTTGCTTTTAGGACTGATGGAGACTAACTTTAACAAATTTATCACAACAAAGGAGACAATTGATAATGTTTATGCACAGATAGTATCTACACTTGGCGAACATGGTCAATTAAATACAATGGAAATATGTGAGGAAAGCCTTAATGAAGCAATCAAAGATTTTTACGGACTTAATGACGAATCTATGAAGCAGTTGGATGTTGATTATGGGAAACTTCTTGTTTTACAACAATGTAAAGCCTTTTATTCCCTTCCAGAAAAGTTTCAGCAGTTTTATGAACAGGAAAAGTATTCAAAATTATTGCAGGAGTACAAAAAAGCCAAAAAGCATTATGAAAAAGAACACGACAGAGCTTTACGAAACAATAAAACTTTGGCTACCCTAATGGAACATGCTTGGCATGTTGCTCAATCGTCCCTTGACAGTCTTGCTTCTTCCATATGGAATCGTATCTTACATACAGAAGGCGATTTTTCATATATTATTGAATCCTTAGCGGATTTATTAAAGATTAAACCGAATCCCATAAGCGGTCGTGATCCCGTTTTGTATGCCATGGTTAGCCAGCAAAAATATCTTTACGCATTTATGAAAGAGAAGTTCTCATATTATGAATCCATCATTAAATCTCGACAAGAGGAATCTGGAAAGATCGCCTATGCACGGGCTTCTCCTATGCTAGTTTGGAAAGCTGTGTCTAGAGGTGGTGATTTGGATTATGCTTTGAGGGGGAGACCAGAGGTATTTGCAGGTATGCAATTAATTGAATGGGCGGAATTTTGCGTTGGTACAATTACCCAAGAAATCAAAGAAATGGAACTGTTAACTACAGAGTTTTTGGCTGGGACAATACAAAAAGATTATCCGGAAGATGCCAAACGTTATGGTCATGATCCCAAACAAATGGGAGTCATTATAGAAAAGCTGAATGGTCAATTTATAGAGTTGCTATATAGTTTTGTTGGAGAACGAGGAGAGCGATTAGAATTGGATGGGGCTTATGTTTTGATTCAGTTGCACTACTTTCAACGAGTTGCCGATTTACTTCCGAAGAAAGCTCGCTCAATTTTTAGCATGTCGGCGACGCGTTCTCTCGTGGACACTTGGATCCTACAACATGCATCTCATGCACAGTCATCGGATCTTTCTAGCTTATTCACTTTGAAGGGTCCTAATAGCCAGTATTTGAAAGCCGAATTGCTAATTATCGATATCTTGAAGGGTTTGGAAAACTTATATCAAGCTCCCCAACGCGATGAGATTGTAAAAGAAATTCATGAGGCATTCTATAAAGTGCTGTATACAGCAGCATATATTCCACCATTGGATACGTCAACTACTTCAAGCTTCGCAAACTGGGATTCTAGTATGGATTCTCTAATTGACAGCTGTGTTGAAAAAACACAACAAGGCAACATGGCTGAATTGGCATCCCTTACACAAAAAGCGCGAGAGAAATTACCTAATCTTACGTTTTCCCTCTTTAAAGAGGACATTTTCGAATTGGCGAGTCGTATATTTTCCATTAAAGACCGTTTACCATCTTTGCAAACGTACCTTATCCATAGCTTCCCATTGAATCAAGCAGCTCCTTCGCTAGACAACACATTTCATAATTCCCTTGGGGCACTCATGCAACTATATGCCCTGGTGCTTTTACAAGAGATTATGTCTTCGCAATGGCTTTCAAAGCAAACTCATGTTTCTTCAAACTCGAATTCAATTCATCCGTTTACGTTTGAGCTCTGCACCCTTCTGGAAAGTGTGTATTTAGAAGTTAAAGAAGCGTTGCCTGCCGAGGAAGCTCATCGATGGATGTCCTATGTAACATCAAGTCTAACCAAGCTTTACCTTGTGCAGTGTACAACAGCAGCACTTCAAGACCTTCCTGTATTAGCCCAAATATTGCAAAAATGTCTGTCTACTTCCAGTATGAGCAAGCTACAAGAAATGCAAGGAAAAGTCTCTGTTGTCGGAACATCAACCACTACGGAAACTAAACTTACGAATCTACTTTCACGATACAATTTTCAATTTCCGGAAATGAGCTTTTCATAAACAAATTAATATATTATTACTTTACAATCTTTCAGCATATAAAAGCATTTGCAAGCAAATACCGTAGTACCCAGCCCATTGATGACTCACAGCACAACAAAATCATGCAAACATAAACCAAGGTAGGAAGGGATCATCAACTAGTGAAGTAAAAGGGAATTAAAATAAGAAACCTAGCTGCAAAGTTCATCTGTGCTTTAGGTTATATACAAGAAATGACAAACAGTAGAAACAAATACTCATCTTTCCAACCAGTGGTAACGTAGCTAAAAAAATAATAAAAAGGAAATGCAGAAAGGGAAAAAGCAGAACGGGGAAATTAATAATCCTTGCAAGCGTCTTGTAATTATGCAGCGTTGAATGAATATAATTTGTTCTATGGGCTTCCACACGAACCTGCCATGTTTATCCAATCATAAACCCATTCAAAACCAAGATAACTTTTCAAGGCAAACCGTAAACCAAAGAACGTGTTTTGTAAACACGTAGTAACATAATTAGAAACCGCAGAGTTGCGAATTTATCTACCCAACAAATTTTTCAATTTGCTAGTTTCAAACTGAACGCATTTATTGAGCAGAAGAAGAGTACTTGGTGACGGACTTAGTACCCTCAGTAACAGCATGCTTGGCCAATTCACCAGGAAGGATCAAACGGACAGCGGTTTGAATTTCACGAGAGGAGATAGTAGACTTCTTGTTGTAAGCGGCAAGCTTAGAGGCTTCAGTGGCAATGCGCTCAAAGATGTCATTGACGAAAGAGTTCAAAATACGCATGGCTTGGTTGGAAATACCAGTATCGGGGTGGACTTGCTTCAAAACCTTGTAAATATAAGAAGAATAGGTTTCCTTTCTGTTTTTACCACGCTTCTTGTCGGCAGACTTCATAGTGTCTCTGGGAGCCTTACCGGCGGGGGCTTTGGATGCGGGCTTCTTTTCAGCAGACATGGTTAATCTTCGTGTTTTGTTGTTCGCGTTAAAAAAAGTGAGATATATTCCACAATTGAACGTTTAGCGCTCTAAATTATAGTGGTTGGTTCTTGGAAAGCTTCGCTGTTGACGCGATATATGTATACTAAATCCTCATCATGAACCCTAACCCTCAAGTAAACGACGCGTCGCGTGGAGCGTCATTTAACGCGTCGCGGCGTGGTATGCTAAATGAGGACTGTTACTATATATAGGAGATCCGTGCCCATGTAATTAGCTTTTTCTGTGTATTGCGTCCAAGACTTTAAGGTTTTCACTTTATCTTGAGAAAGAATTGGATTACAATAAGAGCTCAAAGAATCCTTGTTTCTCTAACTTTGTCTCTGAAAAACATTTCTGTTTACTTTTCATATAAACTTTTCTACAATTACAATGTCTGGAGGAAAATCTGGTGGTAAGGCAGCTGTTGCCAAGTCTGCTCAATCTCGTTCTGCCAAGGCTGGTTTGGCCTTCCCTGTCGGTCGTGTTCACCGTTTGTTGCGTAAGGGTAACTATGCTCAACGTGTTGGTGCTGGTGCTCCTGTCTACTTGGCCGCCGTTTTGGAATATTTGGCTGCCGAAATTCTCGAATTAGCTGGTAACGCCGCCCGTGACAACAAGAAGACTCGTATTATTCCCCGTCATCTTCAACTTGCCATCCGTAATGATGAAGAATTGAACAAGCTTTTGGGCCATGTTACTATTGCTCAGGGTGGTGTTGTTCCTAACATCAACGCTCACCTTTTGCCCAAGCAATCCGGCAAGGCTAACCCCAGTCAAGAGTTTTAAAACACTGTATCTGTGTTGTAAAAAATCATAGAACATGTTGGAGCTCTAGATGATTATGTATGTATATTAATGAGCATTTCTTTTTTAATATAATTTCCTTTTGTGGGTATATATATAACAGCTTCTAAAATCGTATGCCTTGTGCAAATGTGAAGCAACAAAATTCATCATCCATTGTATATTAGGGGTTTGAATGTAGAAAAGGATTCCAGTAAAAGTACATAAATAGTAAAAATGAAATGGAAATGAAAATGAAAACGGAAACGGAAACGAGATTTGTAACTGAACTTGCAACGTCTGCTAGTTCGTTTTGGAAGTTGGTATAGTGCATGTGGAAGATGTAAATAAACAAATACCTGGAAAAGTCTCATAAAAACCTCATTCTTGAAAACCGGTTTTCAATGACTAAAAATTACTCAAATTTTTATTCTTTCATTTAGAAACTTATTATGAAAAAAATAAATTTGATCGATTCCAGAATGTTTAACGGTTAAACATTATCAATCATCAGCATCGACTCGAAAAATGGTTAAAGCTTTCCGCCGTTTCGGTTTTCGATTTTTTGTTTAAAAAGAAATATATATATATTTTATTTATTTCCATGATTTATTTTCATTTAGCATACAGAAGTTTTCTAGTTTAACAATTGAATTCCTAAAAATAAAAAAATAAAAAAATAAAAATCAAATTTTTTAAAAAAAAGTGACTTTACGAGTATGACAGGACTCGAACCTGCAATCTTTGGTGCCGAAAACCAACGCGTTAACCATTACGCTACATACCCATTGCTTGGTAGTAAGTATATGAAAAAAAATATATATTAAATAAAATAAATATCACAATCTTACTTCCTATTAATTTCGATTCTGCTTTTTGCCATCAGACACAAGGATAGCTATGTCTGTCGGTTTGCTGATGTTTCGAGTTTACGAATTCATAATGAATATTGATCTAAATTCCCAAGGGCGGTTTCATGTGCTGTCTACACCATCATCCTCTTCCTCAAAATATCTCGTTAATAACGTGTTTGATTAATATATTAAAAAAAATCATTTTAACTAAAGATGCATATTTTTTTTCTTTCTAATACTATCTGCTATCTGTATTGGCTTTGCCCAGGCTCAAGCTGATAATGTCATTTCCTGGTACGAAGACATCGGCAGTAATACCACTGCTAGTGTCATAAAGCGATGTATCACCCTAAATACTGACGATAAGGCTGTGATACAACGCAACACTGTCCGCACTGACGGGGACTTCACTGTGTGGCTAGACGCTGGCAACAACTTTAGTCATGAGCTAAACACATCTCTAACCGACAGAATAAAAGACTGTGTCTCCAGGTCAAGAACAAATACCACAACCACCATCCGATCACACAATGATTATGCAGTGAGTGGTCCTCGGAACTGTCATTCTGATGTTGAAGAGTTTTACGACTTCTTTGGACTAGAATACCCTCAGGATTATGATCCCGGGTGGACAAGTGAGGAGTATGGCTCAGAAGACCAAGATGATGTAGTATTGTCTAAACGAGTCGTTGATAAGCCTGACTGGCGCAGCGAGACACCTCGATACAGGAGTTCCCTTAATGTAGCATGGTTCGCTGCTATTACATTACAGTACTGGTCAGGGAGTAGTAAAAACTGAAAGCTAATAGAACTTAAGTGTGGTGTATGTTACAGTATACTTGGCAAAATCATGAGCTCTCTAGAGATCAGAGATTATCAAGGTTATGAGGTTGACTTAATGGTGTGGCCTCATCATGAATGCAGATCTACGACCAAACAAGGCGACAAATGTGGACCGGGAGAGGTGTTACACATTGCTAATATCGTAAAGAAGCAGACGAAACTAGATGCTTGAATTTCTACTCCTTTGATTTTCATTTTGTCTTTCTTTGCTTTTTTCTTCATATTTACAGTATATATATTATATATTTATATTCTATTATTATTATGTTATTTAAATTAAACAAAAACAAACCATTTGGTTGATTCAAGTATAATGGCTTCACAAGATTCTTGGTATTCTTTTCTAATTCAAACAGTATGAGCCATTGTTTGATAATAAAAAAACCCACAGACCATACTGAAAGTAACGTCCTGTCTATCGTTTCCAAATAAGCATACCGAAAGTATCAGAAAAGCGAGTTTAAGAAAACCCTCGAATTCCTTCGTTATAAACCAGATTGGATGACTATTATATTACGTTTACGTTTATTCTTATCGACTACTTCCTCTCTACACGGACCTCAATATTTACGTACCTTTTCTAGCATTATCAAAGACCCAAGAGAAAATTTTATAGACTGGACTGTATTTAAAGTATTATCAAATATAAAGTATAGAGTATAGAAATAAATTCATTTTCTATTGTTCCATAAAAAATAGAGGTAACATTGATTACTCATGACACAATGCTGATTCATTAGTAATTCCCACTAAAACGACTATAAAACCAGCTGCATGAATGCTTCGAAATTATGGTAACTTGTTAAAGAGGCAAAAACATTCAATTTTTGCGAAAATGTCTTCAGGAGGTACAATTACAAACTGGGCTGGCCAAGATGGTGAATTTCGACGACAGGTTTCATCCTTTCGTGAGTCCGTTTCAAAAGAACATCCTGTGTTTCAACCAGAAATAGGCCGTTATCATTTATACGTGAGTTTGGCTTGTCCTTGGGCGCACCGTACTCTAATTGTTCGCAAACTTAAAGGACTAGAAGAAGCTTTGCCCGTACATATTGTGGGATGGTTGATGGGACCTAATGGCTGGGATTTTGAGACGGACCATGGAAGCACTGGAGAACCACTTTATAAAAGTCCATTTCTAAGGAACTTATATTTCCGCGCTGATCCTAATTACAATGCACGTTTCACTGTGCCTGTATTTTGGGATGTCAAACACCATACAATTGTAAACAATGAAAGTTCAGAGATCATCCGGTTTCTAAACTACGAATTCAATGACTTGATTACCGACCAGAAAAAGAAGGAGGTAGATCTGTATCCAAAAGACCTCCGTTCTGAAATTGACAAATGGAATGACTATTTTTATAACACACTAAACAACGGAGTGTACAAATCAGGATTTGCTACCACCGCAGAAGCATATGAAAGGAATGTAAAGGTGGTTTTTGAAGCCTTGGACAAAATGGAGGACTTGCTGAAGCAGACTCGAGGACCATACGTTTTGGGGGATCGCTTAACAGAAACCGACGTGCGTTTGTACACCACGATAATTCGTTTTGACCCAGTTTATGTACAACATTTCAAGTGCAATATTGGTACCATTCGCCACGACTATCCACACATCCATACTTGGTTGCGTAACCTTTATTGGCGTCATCCAGCATTTTTTGAGACTACCGACTTTGACCATATCAAGTGGCATTATACTCGTAGCCATACTCAAATCAACCCACTCCGCATTACTCCATTAGGCCCTTTGCCTCCAATTGAGCCTTTGTAAAGAAAGGAAGCTGGATTTGCCAGTATAAATAAAATCTATGATCCTTAAGTCAAGCTTTCCACATAAGGAATTTAGTAGCTTGTTTATTCATAGAAATTAGAAAGAAAGCAAACATAACTCAAAGTGATCTAATGAAAAGGTACATAACCATGTTACAATTCTTACTAATTAATCATACAATTCCCAGGAACAACAACCAAGGATTCGATGCCTTGCATGATTCGAGAATTCAGCAGATCCGACAGTAATGTAAAATTCACATAGAATAAACCTCTTTGCAAAGCAAAAATTAGCAGCATAAACTGAATCAAAAATAGCATAGCAAACGAAGCATTTTAATATTCATATACTTAATCACATGAAGCCACTTGCATTTAAATTCATCTTACAACCGCTTTTTTATACCCAATCTCGACTTTGGATTCTTCTTTGTTTATTGATTACTGCAGTCAGACGCAATCCACCAATCCTGCTTTATCCTCATTGAACAAATCCTTATAAGCCTCTTATGCAACGGAGTTCGTTTACCAAAGCCTTTAAAAATGCACTGCGGTACTTTTGGCCTCGGTGTAGTAGCACAATCTTTTTTGAGGAACGTCCTTCTATTCGTTCTTTTCCGGTATCTATTCTCACGGTGGTATTAACTACTGACGAATCACGGTGGCAATCTTAGGTAGCTTGCAACGCATCGCCTTCCGATTGGGTTCCGAGCCTAAATTAGCATCGCTCATTCTACAAGGAGGCCCGTTAAATGATACTCTCAGTGTTTTCGTTTTGTCGGTTTATGGTGATTTTGAGACGAATCCTTGTGCTTTTTTCGTTTTTATTATGTTTTGAAATAGATTCCTTATAAATTTCGTTTTTTTCTATGAAGTTATCTTTCTTTTTTTTTTTTTTCACCTGTCTCCTCTGGTTCCCTCTTTCTTGTTTTCTCGTTTCACATTTCCTATTCTTGACGTTTAATCTAGACGCCCTGTGATTGGTTAAAATTCCCCAGAGATTACCCAACCAGCAATCTCTTTCCTTTTCTGTCTGTTGCTCATTCCTCCCAGGCTACGTTTGGGTACGACCCAACCCTACCCTTACCCTACCCTATACATCACCCACCTTCACACGGTAAGGATATATAAGATTGGGAGATCCGCAACTTGAAGACCACACCAAAACGCCTAACCTCCTTGTATATTTCTTGTCGCATATCAGAAACTACTGCCGATAGCATCAAATTTTGCTCTTTTGGCATTGTGTAGTTGCGACTAGGTTGTCGTCTTGTACTATCTTCCTATTTTCTAGATTTGAATCCCTTTGTGTCTTGTGTTTCCTTTTATCCCTTTAGTTTTTTTTTGTTTCATTTTCGCTTTCATTCCTGGAAAGCGATTCCAAGCTTTTGATTTAGATTATATAAAAAGCTGGAGTTGTTTCCTCGATTCATCTCTCTACGGTTTGTTGATTCCTTTTTTATCTCTTTCAAGTTTTGTGTTTACAACCACTTTGCTCTTTAAAACCGTAAAAAAAAAATTATGTCCTCGAATGTGATTCCTCAAGGCTCCAATGCCTCTTTGAACCCTACTTCTGGTGCGGAAAACACTCTTCGCCAACGTAAAATTCCTACGGTTCCCGTTGTCCCTGAACGTCGTTTCGATCCAAAGGCTCCCAAACACATTCAGGAACAGCCATGGACTCTTAAGAACTTTTGGCGTCACTTTAACTGGCTTCATTTGACTCTTCTGTTTAGTTTTCCTTGTATCGGTATTTATGGTATATTAACTACTCCCTTGCACACAAAGACTCTTATCTTTTCCTTCATTTACTATGTCTTCTCTGGTCTCGGTATCACTGGTGGTTACCATCGTCTTTGGGCTCACCGTTCTTACAAGGCCAAGCAACCCCTCCGATGGTTCTTTGCTGCCGGCGGTGCCGCTGCATTCGAAGGTTCCATCCGTTGGTGGGCTCGTGACCATCGTGCTCATCACCGTTATACTGATACCGACAAAGACCCTTATAACGTTAAAAAGGGTTTCTGGTATGCCCATATAGGTTGGATGATCATCCTCCAAAACCCACGCCGTATTGGTCGCACTGACATCTCTGACTTGAACACCGACAAGTTTGTTGTATGGAACCACCGTTACTTCATTTACTTGGCTACCTTTATGGCCTTTGTCGTACCTTCCCTTGTTTGTGGTTTTCTTTGGGGTGACTTCCGAGGTGGTTACTTCTACGCTGGTGTCTGCCGTCTCGTGTTTGTTCATCATGCTACCTTCTGCGTGAATTCCCTTGCTCATTTGATTGGTTCTCAACCTTTTGACGATACTAACTCTGCCCGTAACCACTACATCACTGCCCTCGTTACTCTCGGTGAGGGAAACCATAATTATCACCACGCTTTCCCTAACGACTACCGTAATGGTTTGAGATGGTACGAATACGACCCCACCAAGATTATTATCTGGCTTTGCAGTCTTGTTGGTCTCGCCTATGATCTTAACACTTTCCCTCAAAATGAGATTGAAAAGGGTCGTGTCCAACAAGAGCAAAAAGTCTTGGACCGCTGGCGTGCTCGCCTTAACTGGGGTACTCCTTTGGAAGTTCTCCCTGTCATGGAATTTGAAGAATTTTTGGAGCAAAGCAAGACTCGTCCTCTTATCCTCATTAATGGTGTCGTTCACGACGTGACCGGCTTACAACACCCCGGCGGTCAAGGTCTTTTGCGTTCTGCCTTTGGTAAGGATGCCACTGCTGCTTTCAATGGTGGTGTATATGAACACACCAACGGTGCTCATAATTTACTCTCCACCTACCGTATTGCCGTTGTCCGTGGTGGTATGGAAGTTGAGGTTTGGAAGTCTGGTGCCGGTGAAAAGATACCTATGAAAGATACTTTCGGTCAAAGGATTGTTCGCGTTGGTGATCAACCTACTCGCCTTCAGCCTCCTATTGAAGCCGCTGCTGCTAATTGAAATGTCTTGTATTTCTCTTTTTTCTTAATTTGAAAGTAAATTCCTTGGGAGGTGATGCTACGTTAATACTATAATGCATATTTAATAAATTATAATTCACAAGCTAAATTCATGGTCGTGTGTTGGTTCCCTTGTAAGACAGTACTGTAGAGGAAAACGGGTCGATAAAAAAAGGTATATGCAAACCCTTAACGTACAGATTGAATTTACACTTTCTATTGAAACATTCTGCTATGTTATAACCAAAAATTCTGAAAGAATTCATTAACTATACACTAACCAAATTCCATACATAACAACGTTCAATTATTAACAAAAAAGCATGCTCATTGCTAATCTTAAGTAATGATGCCATCAAGTCTAAACCAGATATCCTTTCAGTTAGGCTCTTTATAAAACGAACTTTAAAAGGAGAATTAACATGCATTGGAAGAGAAATTCTTCCAACTTACCACAATGCACCGTTCAATCTGGCTTGTAAAAGTTCTTGATCTTGTCGCCTCCGAATCGCGTCTTGTATATGAGGAGGACAAGAAGCAAGTACAGAGGAGGGAACATTTATTAACGAGACTTGAGGAGCTATATCGGGATTTAGAGCTACTAATACATCCATCTTTGGAGTAATGTACCCTTCTTGGTTAGAAGTAACTTGAGTCCACTCGGTTCTCGATGGCTGCGAGTTTTGAAAAACGTGAAGTAAATTTGTATGCGGCTCAAAACAACCGGTTGCTTGTTTTCGTGCGATATTTTTAGTTATATCATTATTGTAAGCAGAAGTGGCTTTGGCATGCTGAAACAACCAGGTAGCATCTTTGGGAGGGTCCTTTTTACGTTTTCTGACTGCCGATGGTAATTGTGCTTCAAAAGAGGGTTGGGAATGATATACAGCACTGGCACCATGCCAAGCGACATATTGATTTCGATTATATGGCATACCCGGAGGGGGCAACTTGTCATCTGGATCTGCTAGTTCTCCTTCTTTAAAACCGCGAGCACGAAATTCACCTTCCCAATAATCATCGACTATTCTTCGACCACCGACAATGATTTTAGCACCAAATTCACGAAAAATGGAACGCGCAGCGACAATTCCCACAGCTCTTCCCTTGTATGAGTGAGGAATAATATTTCGTTCAATTAAGTCCCATTTTTCTGCATCATCCACAATAATTTTATGCAGTGAGCGATGTTTTAAGAACAGTAAATATGAGTCCCTATAACCCATGGCACGAGCGGGTTCTGTGGAAAGCATGTACAACCTGCTTCCTCTACCCAGACAAGTGAATGTTCGACAACGATACTCGCGTCCACCGTTCAAATAACCAAGCTCGTTCACCTTTTTTTCTCCTTCTGGATCAACCACACCAAAATTGAGTTCGTCGTCTTCTAGAGTTGCACGATGTGTATACAGGTCTTTGGGAACGACGGTAGAACCAGAGGATTGCGTTGCAACCTTGGGTCTTGGAGCACGATTTGTCCTCCTACGCGAACGACCACCGTAATATTCATCGTCGTCTTCATCATCACTGCCAAACGCCGCATAACTTCCTTTGGGAGGACGTCCTCTACGTTTTTTCGAGTTGACGGTAGGATTCGTCGGCGTTGACTGATCTGATCCTATTGGTGATTCCATTGCATTAATAATTGAGCCTCCTAAACCAAGAGTTCTCAAGTAGCGAAATCGATGAAGACAGTTACTTTGAGAACGCGTTCGGTGGTGAGGTCGTAGAGGCCTTACCCTTACTGTTCTTAAGGAGAGTCGTAAACAAGAGTAGAGCAGGCCACGAACTCTTCGAGGTTTGAGCTACAATTTTTTCGTATCAATCGATTGTCAAGAGGAAGTTCTCCTAAACTTCTGTCACAAAAGCTATGGACGAAGAACGCGTTCATCAAATTATATGACCTAGCCCTTAATAGCGTACTTGGGCGAGAGATGGACGAGTTCCGCCTTAGTAAATAAAGGAAAAGGAAAGGAATTACAGGAACAAGGGGCCAAATTCCTAGTTATAACGGACAAAAGCGTGCATAACAAAATCATTCATAAATTAATTTGAAGGAATCAGTTGCTTTGGATGACAGCGTTGCTTTTCTGCGTCAATTCCTACCAAACATATTTCGCAAACGAGGGGAGACACGACACGTCTTTCAAGAAATATTTCTATAACTTTTAGAACCTATGCGTCCTCATTAAAAAATAGATCTCATGGCTTTACACTCTTTATTTGCAAAACTTACTCCTTCTGTTTCCTGTTGGTCTTCATTACCTTGAACAGTGAAGGAGCATGGATCTCCAATTTTTTTTCTTTTCGCTAATATGACTATGCATTAATTGAGCATCCTTTTCGGCTTGCATGGAAACAAGGGAACCGGCCTGATTTCCCTTTTCTTGCCATTCAGAAATAAGAAGGTAAAGCCAAGCAATTGCTTTCAAAAACTTCCAATGTTATGATTATTTAAGTTCTTTCATTTATTCAGTCCTCTCAAAATACACTTTTGCGAAATTTCCTAAACCTGTGCTTCATGTAAAACAGTGAAAATAAAGGACATGCAACTGAATAATGAAAATGAAACACAACTTAGCTATTGTTTTATCCTTTATTAAAAGTTTCATACATTTGTTTCATTTTCTACTCTAAGAATTCTTTGCAATACTTCAACCAGACTCAACCACATTTCCTCATAAGGTAAATCCATCTGTAGAAACAAACAGCTAGAGCTGAACGGCTTTTGAAATTTATATAGATACAAACTTGAAAGGTAGTAAGAGTTCGTTCCAGAAGTGAAACTTTGTCTTTCTTACTCAGGTGGTTGGAGAAAAAATTTCGTCGTCGAGTTTTCTATCTGTTGATTGTGGATTCATTCGTAACTCATAGACTCGCAATTTCGTTTCTTTTGAAAACAACCTTTCTTCATAACACATTCTTTCCTCGGCTGGATTTGAAAATCCTCTCTACTGGAGAAACGCATTTCAACGAGAAAATATAACATACCTATTTTCATTTACACCTTTAGCATGCCTATCAACGACGAAACAGACTGGTATCCAGTGCTTCAATCTGCCATACTAAAGACTTCCAAGGGATGTGTGGACACTTCTGAAAAGTATCCATCCCCTCGAGGCTTTCAAGTGAATTCTAACTCTCTCCGGAAATCTAATAGGGATCAAACTTCGTCCGAAAGTTCTGCCATTGACGTCCGAAAGCAAAACGCCGAAAAGGCCCTTATAATGAAAAAAGCATGGGAGCTTGCGTATTCTCCACTCAAACAGATCCCGATGAATTTGGTTTTCGCTTACATGTCAGGTAACTCTTTGCAGATATTCAGTATAATAACTACCTTCATGTTGTTCTTGAACCCACTGAAAGCAATCTCTGCTGCTGGTGATGCCTTCTCATCTTTTCGCACCATCCATCCCAATGCCATGTGGCCACCGATGATAGCTTACATCCTCGCACAATGTCTGCTAATGGCTATTGGTATTTACAAACTACAGAAAATGGGTCTATTACCTACTACAACTAGTGATTGGCTTGCTTGGGAAAATCCCAAACAATTTCTTGGACGCTCGTTTCATCCTTCAAAATAAAACATCTTACTTGTTTGTTAATTATTCATGTCAACTGAGTTTGTTTATGATCTGTTGTCTCTTCAGACTTTATGGAAGGTGTCTTTAATTCCTAAATTCCTTCTTAAGCGTCCAAGGTTAAATTTCATTACCTTAAACATTGTTCTATACAAAGCCCTTTCTTTCTAATAGGTTGTCTTTTCGTTTTCTTGCTTGGACCGAAACCTGCTTTGTTTATAGTCTTTTTCAATGCTATTTATTTCTCTCTGATATTAACTTTTGGCTTCGCCTTTTTCTTACATTGGTAATTTGTCATTTTCAGCGACTTTCAATACTGTTCGATCCTATATTCCTAATACTTTGCATAAATGCCGTGGTATACAAAAAATGCTTTTCTTAAAACTGTATGAAGGCTAAATTTATAAATCTTAGTAATAATATCTTTAAATCACTGTTCGAGAATGGACATTACATTTCACCTTTTTGTTGGACTAAAAACTCAAAGACACTACTACTCATCATAGACAATTTTCAAATCTGCCCTGAACACCACTAATTCAGCATAGAATAATTACTTTTATTTCTTTTATTATCTTTTCCTAAGTATATTGGTACATATTCTAAATGGAGGATGAATATAAACAGTATCAAAGCCAACTCGCGTTAGTAAAAATATCCCTCGAAAAAGACCCAGATAATCAAGAATTGCTTGCTTTAAAGAATGATTTGGAAGAACTAGTTGACCTGACAGGAGAAGTAATAAACGAAAAAGGTCAAGAAACCCAAAAGCAAACAAAACTGGAAGAAAATGGATTCTCAGCGGTCGACTCAAAATCTATGGCGAACGCTCAAAATTTAGAATTTTTTCCTGGTGACTTGGTAATGGCAAGGTGGACTTCAGGAGATTATGCATTCTACGCTGGAAAAATAACAGCCGTATCAGGATACGGCCCGAACAAAAAGTATACGATTCAATTTTTGGATTACCCTGAAGTAGAAACAGTGTCTTCTAAGAACGTAAAGGCAATGCCGGAAGCAAAACGCAGGAATATGCTTGTCATGTCAAGCTCTTTGAACAAGGCTCCTCGTGCTGGCTTTTCTCCGAATCCTACAGTATCGATGGCTCCTTCTCGAAGTATCTCGCCAATGGCAAATTCCAGAATTCATCCTTCTATAGCTTCTCCGGAACGTGCGTTTTCTCCAGCTACTGCGGCAGGAGCCGCAAAGGTTGCACCAGTAGGTTCATTCCATACCGCTTCCAAACCTCCTCCTCCCACCACTGTTCCTGAACCTCCTGCTATTTCTACGCCTCCTCCCCCTATTGCACAAAAGCCAAAGACGCAACTTAAACCCAATGCTGCTCTGGAGGCCTCTAAAAACTCTTGGAAACAATTTGCCTCGCGAGGTGTAAAAACGGGCCGTGTCGGTAAACGGAAAAAAATAGGAGAGACTAGTATGTTCCGTAGTCCTGAAGACGCTGCTGCTCGAGTGGGATTCATGGGCAACGGTCGAGGAGCCACCAAACCGGCTTCTCGAGAAAAACATGTGTATAACTATAAAGAAGATGAGGATTATGAATAAATGAAGATAGCATGTTTACTTGTAACGCATGCCTTACGTTCAATCATAAATGCATTTATTTGCAAACCAAACCCAACCTTTCTTAATGGGTTCAATATGTACGTTTTACTTGTGTCCTATATTCATGAAATCATCTGTAATTTTCACGAACTGTATGGATTTTCATGTTGCACTTCCTGTAAAAATTGTTGAAACACACCACCTTTCATTTGCTGCAAATGTCCTTTACAATTAACTACCAATTACCATAACAAATAAAAAGACTATTTAATACATTTCGTATACGCTACTATCATGACCAGATTATACCAATGCAAAGTAATGCTTATTGACTAAAACAAGGGTTCTAATGCAAATTATGATAATATATGTGTATATATAAAAATATGAAAATGTTTTAAAGTAACTTAATTGTTTGCTCAATCCTTGGGCAAACATACATACATTGGTTTTGTAGAAAACTTCTTGTTTGTAAGACAACGATCATAAGTATATCTCAAAATCAACGAACAAGGTCATAAGTATCATGAACAAATCCCCAATGAAATTTAAATTCTTGATTAACTTACCAGTTAATCATTACCATTCATAGCCTTATTAACAGTATTTAATAGGAAATCTCAACATGAAGACAATCATTCCTTCCACTAAACTTCAATGATAAGAATGTAACATGTAGCGTACTGCTTCTTAGGCACAAGCGAATTATTTTCGTCTTCATGCATCATCATCTCTTGCTAACATCATTTGATAAGACTAAGGTCGGTTAAGGTTTTCACGACGGAAGAAGGCTAAAAATCCGACACAAATTGCAAGTTGGCAAATTATGCAAATCCAGAAAGGAGCGCTTGCAAGAATCGCCGAACCATCACCTCGAGACCATTGAGTGAAATCAATAAAGACATTAGCAGGACCAAGACGATTAGGAGCGCCTGCACGTCCAATCATCGTAGCAACAGCACCAATAATTTGACCGGTCATCAAAGTGCTAGCAACATGGCGACGCGTAAGTGTTTGTAGCAAAATCATACCAATACCAACATTTTGAACGGAATCCAAAACACCTAACCAAAGCCAAAGAGTACGGCCAAGATACGGTCCCGCACGACCAGCCCACGGCAAATACAGACCGATATTTGATGTAGCCCAGAATGTTTGAACCCATCTAGGAGCACCAAGCCCAACACCAAAAACGCATATAATCCAAGAGTGAGTACGTGCAATCCAAGCTAAAACACCAAGTAACAACGCCCATAAAACAATAAAGAAAGCAATCATTAACAAGAACATTTGCCATTGAGGAATTTCACCAAGATCCCAAAAGTATGACCATGAACGAGCATTCAACGTGGAAAGCCAGAAGTTTTGAAGGAAAACCGCAATGCAGAACCAAACAACAAGTTTCCGTCTTAACAAAGACTTGTAAAATGCCGGAATAGTACCTGATAATTGCCTATAATATTGAGGCAATCCCTTATAAAGGATAACGGAGATTATTATACAAACCACACTCAAAGGCCAAGTGATCGCAGGGATAGCAGGGCTTACCCTATAATTGTTCGCATCACCTTCGTTTACTTTATTATTCAAATGTGCACCCCAATACCACAAAGCTGCTGACCAGACTTGTTGAAGTCCTTGCACTAAACAAGCACGGAAAACCCATACGCGTGTTTGAACACTGCCTTCTTCACCGAAGTTAAGGGAGAAGAAGATTGATCCACTAGCAGAACCAATTGAATAAACCCAGGCACCGACGTTTGTAATCCATACTCTCCCACCTGCTATGCGGTCAAAAGCAGGTAGACCAACCAAAAACAATGCAAGGGCGTAAAATAAGAATGGGCAGGACAAAACATAGTAAGCCGGAACCTTAGAATAAACATACCACCAAAAGAAAGAAGCTGCAATAAAAAATCCACATATAGCATACAATTGGTATGTTTTTATACTGCTAGTACCAGTGAAAAGGGTCAATTGGTATGCGGTTGACGCAAGGATCTGACCTAAAGCAATAAAAAGGGAATACACAGGCCAGTCGTATATCTTAAACAACATGAACTTTTGCAACCCATGAATAGTCTTGTATTCTGACTCCTCTTCCAGTTGAGTATAGGATGGGGTTTCATCAGTTAAACCGATAATATCATCATAAGAAGCATGACCATTGCTTAAAGACTCCTCATCAGTGCCAGATTGAGACGAAGCGGCATTCACATGCAACTTATTTGGCTTTTGCAAACCAAGTTTGATTGCACGTTTTTCGTGATAGAACATCCGCTCAGATTTCATAATGAACTGCTCAATACAGAGATCATCCTTGGAATTCTTAGCAGTGAGTTTCTGTAACTTATCTTGGAATGCTTTAAGAGCTTTACCATCCTCGTCTGTGAAAATTTCTTCAACTTTAGTTAACGAGAAGTCCCGCTTTTCTTTTCCAGACATAACAGAAGCAAGACTTAAACTGGAATCCGTCTGAAGGTTGCCATAAGAATATGGATTGTTTCGTGAATTGTTGGCATAAGGAGCTACTGGAGGACTAAGTGCTTCGGAGTCTCTAGGGTGAGAACTATCAATCAAATCATCCTGACTCAAAGTAGCACCAACTCCATGTTCCGGGTTGAAGTTGCCCATTTGCGGACGGAAGGAGGGTGTGTTTCTAATTGTAGTTTCATCATCGAATAAATCATCATAATAGTAGGAGCGCTGGGGATCAAATTCGTAATCAGCAGAATCAAAACTATACTCAGAAGGCGAATGGAGATTCTCATCATCAATTCCAGCAGGAGAATTACCAGAGTCTCCAGAGTGGGAATCACCACCATTCATGCTCTCTTCCTGAATGGTATCCAATCCATCACTAGAATCATCATTGCCCGTATGACCAGGGCCACGATGACTACCCAAAGATAACGATCTTCCAATCTTAGCACCACCTGTGGGGGCAGAATCCTCATTACTCATCATTATCATTTCAGCTTCTTCTGCTCGCTTAGCAGCTAAACCGTTATCACTAGCCTGAGGCAAAACATCTGAAGAGCGACTGAAAGACTCGTGAATTAAGGAATAGAAAGAAGAACGAGCACGTGAGTTCTTCCCAAACTTCTGATTAGCCTTTATACAGCCATCGGTAAGTGCTTCCAACTTTCCAATCCACTGAGAGACTGGGAAACGTTGCTTGGCAGAACGAGCGCGAAGCCTAGCTCTAGTACGCTGTGATGATGATAAGGCCTGCTGACAAGCTTGCTCAAACTGTTTCAATAAATGGGGAGTCGCACTAGATTCAACAGAATACCACCAGCCGGGCATTTGACCCAAACCACCGACTTTTGCACCAATACCCAAAGTACCTTTACGTCCAAATTCAACAGCAACCAAACCAAAAGGTTCATCACGACTAGGAATTAAAGCAAAGTCAGCACCAGTGAAGATGTAAGGAGGTAGCTGGGTAAACTTTGGACTGGAAAAGACGCGATTAGGATATTTCCTCATAAGAAGGTCAAGCTTTTCCGCAGCGAATTTACCATACAGATCAATGACAGGACCGACACAAATCAATTGAACCTTGTACGATTCCAATAAAGGAGGGGCTATGTCGGCAATCAAGTCAACACCTTTTTGAGAAGACCAGCGTCCAACAAACACCAGTAAATCATATTTATCATTAACTTCTAACCCGGCCCACTCTTGAGCAAGTCTCTTATGTTCAACCTTGGTTTTCTCCATATCCGGATCGACATCAACTACCTTTTCAGGTGTATCCGAAACATCATCAGTGTCAGTTGGATCAGGGTTGGGAAGCTTACCAATTTTCTTCAGTCCCCAGAAAATAGGATAACGAGCCCATGAACGCTTGCCATATTTGTTTGAGACACCTACTGCACCAAAACCCTTCTGATGAATTCTAATATAAGAAACAGCAGAATGCAGCAGGTTAAAAACGTTTCCGAATTGAACATATCGGGAGCAGATTCTTTGGGAAATGTTATATACCGCACATACTTCTTCCTTCTCCTCGGATGTACGAAGGGGCCATAAACCTTGAAATTCAGCATTGTGCAGGGAAAGAGCGATGGGAATCACATCAGGCAAGAGATAACAGGGGGCAAGGGCGCCATGATAATCGTTAATGTGATAAATATCGATAGGATTTCTACGAATAACCTCAGCAATGCATTGGTTCCAAGCAGAATAAAAGATCGCGGAACCAAGGTCATCCATACGTGCTGGATATGGCTCCACAGTGGTCTGTCGTCTGAAAACTGGAGCATCGAGTAGAACGTATTTGATATTATCCAAGTAATGATGATAAACGTTTATGGTGTAAGTCTGATCAATGATTTTAACTTCTATAGGAGCAGCCTCCTCAGCTTCCGGGTAGACGATATCACCGACGCATGGAACAACCCAAACTAAATCTTGATGTTTGAGATTCTTAGCCATTAACTGAGCCATCACACCCAAACCGCCAATCTTGATTCGAATTTGCCAATCAGTTATATCATATTCCAAAGTGGCAATCAAAACACATTTCTTTTTCCGGGCTAAACCACCTCCGGCAGTTTCAGAAGATCCAGTTAATTCAGAATCGTTCTTTTTCTTGAAAGGTACCAAAGTTTTAAGAGGATAAAATTTTCCAAAGTCCCCGTTACCATGCTTATTAACTTTGACAGTATAAAAAGAATTTTTGAACATCCATGAAACAAAAATAGCGCAAATTGGAGGTACCACAATGCACAAAACATAAATTGCAATCGATACGCTCCATTCGCCAGCAGGATACAGTTGAAAAAACATTGCATCATCTCTGAATTTAATTTTGTAACTGAGACGTGTTCCATTAGGACCTTCCTTAATTGTAACATTGTTTGATATGAAGGAAGCAGGATCACTTCGACTCAAAACAGACGACTTACCTTGACTTCCGTAAACATGAGTTCTATCAGGCTTACCGTCTGGATTCATACCCCAGACATTGAATTGGACAGTTGCAGGATACTTAGCGCTAGTAAAACCCACTTCCCATAATGAGTCATCGACTTGTTTAAACTCATTTTGAACACCGGAATCATAACCATACTGGTTAAAATCACCTTCCAAGAACATGTGGGGGAATAGTCTGCGATACTTGAAATCATAATCGCCTTGTTGCATGTAATTAGCAGAAGCGGTTAAGTCACTCCAGTATTGAACATGAACATGCTCCCCCTCCCAGGCTTGTTTTTTGGTACCAGTCCAATTAGCTGGTTTTAATTTCGTCAATCCACCGTTATAGTCCATCCAATCGCTCCAACTGGATTGAAAGTCCGTACTATACCGGAATTTTGTAGCTCCGGATGCAGTATGATTAACGTAAAGGCTGTTATTTTGCTTCGTAAGCAAATTAGATGAATAATTTGCAGCATAAAACACAAGAGGATTATTTCTACTGCCAACTCGAAACAGAAAATTATCTCGAGCCAACGTCCCAGAAGAATTATCAGAAGTCCTGACTGGTCCTACTGAAACACGATGAATTCCCTCATAAATGTCAGTAAGTTTGGCAGACCATAGGAAGACACCAGGTGACTGAACATGTAGTAAGTTTCTGTTAATCTCCGAATCAGAGTAGTTTCTACAGGAAGCAGATCCATCCATATAACGAGCGGTCTTGTTCTTGGGAAGAGTGGACGATTGGATCTTAAGGGAATTTGTTATTGAGTCACAATCCATGGGGCGGGAAAACTCAATTTCGATGGGAAGTTCGGTACCATTATAATCCATTCTATAGTCATGTGAAGGATTCAATCTTGTGATCACAGGATCATTTTCAACAAAATCTTCTTCAGGCACAAGCAACTTGAACTGATAAGGATCGAATGTAACGCCAGGTAGACAACCCCATGTCTCGTTCCAAGATTCTTGAAGTTTGTGCTTATCATAAGGGTAAATAAGATTCTTAACTATAGTATTAGCCTTCCAAGGACCAATAATCGCATCCTTGTCTTTGCATGAGAAATTCCAAGTCGTAGTGTCGTTTCTGTTAGCAAACAGGCTCCATACTATAGTCTTTCTATTCTTATCAGTCTCAACTATATCGTCGTAAAATTGATGCTGAATGCCTTCCATTGGACCACGCAAGACGCTATATAAACCCATGGTAGTGGCATAAGGTTGGCTATCAGGGAAATAATAATCATTGGTCCAACTCCCGATCATCTCAAAGCGATAACCATCGCTCAAAGCGTAATAATGACGGCGGATAGAATTCATATTCATATAAATATTGTGATGAGCTGAAGCTACATCAAAGTGATCGAGATAGTTCCACTCATCTTTACATCCATTATTGGCAGGAGTCCAATCAGCTCTCGGATAAGAAGCCGCCTTACCATAATAACAACCATGAATAAACCATGCTCTGGCACTATTCATAGCTTGACGGCCGTATAGATAGTTATCTGCACTATTATCCAAGACATACATGCCTTGCTCGTCACCATAGTATAACAATGGAATACCAGGGAACATGAGCGTGGTAATCATGGTTCCCAGAATGGCCTTTTCGGTACCATTTAATAATGAGCCCCAACGGAACAAATCGTTGTTAGTTATACCAAGCATATGGCGAGCATCAATTATACCGCTATTAATATTAACGGCATCTTCGTTTACCTGAATTTGTTCCCACGCATCGGTGAACCTAGAAGGGACATCATACCCAATTTCGACCTTTGAGTCCATACCGAGGAAACGAACAAGTGCGCGATAAACGGAATAATGGAAGGCAGAAGCATCAAAACCTGCATGATCCCTGTCACGCAAGGAATACTTATTATCATTAGCAGTAAGGTTATATGCGATTGTACCATTGGCAGGACGCTGGTCTGGCTGACGACCACGATTATAGTAAATGGAACCATAGCTGGAAGAACCAGTAACTTCACCAACGATGAGAAAGTTCTCCTTCCCGTATTTTTTTGCACATTCACGCACATGCATGGACCAATCAGCGATAAAATCAACGGTCATTTGAGTGGCCTTGTCAATACGGAAACCATCCACGTCCAACATGGAGATGACCAAGCAAGACAAGTGTTGTAACCGCACCGCAACGTTTGGATTCCAGTCACGAAGACGATCTTGTACAGAAGCAAACTTGGACAGCTGACGCTGCCAGTCAGAGTGAGCACCAAAAGCTTCAGTATCACCGTATTGATCAAAAAAAGAATCATAACAGCCTTTATACTGCAAAACGACAGGACTACCGTCTTCACCCCAGAATTTAGGATATTCACATGATGTGTTATAGACATTGGTAAAGTTAAAGTCGGCGTAGTGTTGATGGGTCTTCCACATGGCATTATATTCGTTCAAGTTGAATGGGACACCGCCGGTATCATTAAGATGACCAACTATACCAACCAAATCAGCAAGGGTTGCAACGGTAAGATCAAGTATCAAATACATGCCTCTACTATGAATAGCGTTGATGGCAGAACGCCATTGATCAATAGTTCCCGTATGATGATCCAAAATGGTGTAGTCAAGAGGAGAAAACTGATCATAACCCCATGGTTGATTTTCAAAGGGAGTACCAGCAAGATAGATACCTTTAATACCAAGAGCTTGGATATAGTCTAAAGAACGTTCCAAACCAACTATATCACCACCATTACGAAAAGAAACTTCAGAAATATCATTTTCGAATGGGGTACCTAAAATATCATTGTTGGTTGGGTCACCATCGGACCAACGATCGAGGATAATAGCAATAAAGTTCATACGCCAGTTCTCAGGGCTCTGGAAAAAGGTATGATCGGACCACACACCTGAATACTCAAGAATATCCGTGGCATGTTTGTTTGTATTTAAGTTCCACGGTTCTTCTTCCTTAGAGTATGGCGCAGCATATGCAAGAGGAAGAAGCAGAAGTAGAAAAGCAATGATAGCTTTACAGATCCATAGTTCGCGAAGACTATACATAAGAACTAATTTCGTAAAGAACGGAGATAGTAAATCAAAAAATTAGGAGCAAATATGGAATGATAGTTTAAAAAAATAGCAAACGAGAGTAGAATGATATATGATTCAAATATAGGAAATTGGGATTTGACGGATTAAGACGAACAGACTTTTTAGATGCAAAAAGGTATATAGTTCCAACTCGAAAGAAACCCCAAATTTTTAAAGAAATATGGATAGGAAAGAAAGAAAGAAAGAAATGCAAAAGAAAAAAGAAGGAAAGTAATGAAAAGAAAGTGAAAGGACAGATGCAGAACGGTTTACAACCAACCAAACAAAGTTGCAAACTCCCGAAAATGAAAAAAGGGATGAGACAAAGATATAGCACTTCGTTTAGAAGTGAATAGTAACCGTAACTTTTATACAAAAGTTGAGCTGCAAAACACAATGCTAGTTGCTATTTGTAACAAACCAACGATCAAAAAGGGGAGGAAGAAAAGAAATCTATTAAAAAAGGAAGAGGAGAACGGGAAGGAATAGATTTTACTTCCAAAGCTTTATAGAAAACGTTTTGTAAAAAAGAAAAGAGAGATGAGAGATATTAAGGGAATCAATCAATCGACGCTTGAGCGTCCTGTTAGTATTTTGAATGCAAAGGAGAAATCAGCAAGGAATTGCCAATAAAAGAGAAAGGAAAGTAGAAAAAGGAAAAAACCTTAACAACCAATGAAAAAAATATGAAAACAAAAAAGAATCCAAAAAGATGAAAGATATCTATGCAAAGAAATAACCGGAAAATTAGATATGTGCAGGAGGAATACTTCGTCCTGCAGGAGCAAAGGTTCTCAACTTGAGGAAACGAAAGAAACCACTAAGCTGAAGAAAAAAAGTAAAGAAAGAAAGCTAATTTTCTTAGGACGGCAGAGTTTCAAAAACAAAGAAATATCGTTTGAATCCTCTTGAAATCGCCGTTATCCTTTGTATAGATTTTTGTAGTGTTTGGTTGTGGTGGAAACCAGAATATCCAAGAATAGATGAGAGCATAGCCAACATACAGTTTTTCAATAAAAAGGAATAAAATAGTTCATTTTGTTAATGTAACCTACGCCCCGTTTCCCTGACAACAGAAAAAGCGGAGAAGTTGGTATACCGAGCTTGTAAATTTGGTTTGTTAAAGAGCTTGTAGGAAGTTTATTGAGGGAAAGGTGATATGATATGGTAATAAACACACAAACGTAAGAACATTCTAATCTCATTCTCTATACTCTAACTAGATATAGATAGGATAGAAGCTATGGAAAACATTGTAAAAGAAAGCGAAAAGAATATTTTAAGCAAGGCAGGATGTCAAGTCGAATGAATTTCATTTTATTTCGTTGGAAGTAAAAAAAAGTCGCTGTTTATAGAAATCTTATAAAACTCCATTCCTACTATTGGAAGCTGTCGATGGAATCTCTTCTTACTGCTTCTAACTCTTTAAACGACATCGTTACCCAGTTTATAGGAAGGTCGGGTTAGCCTTTGTGACGACCAGTAGATTGCTTTCCGATTCGTTCAAGTCATAATGACGTAGAGGGCATGGAAGCACATTGTAACATGTGCAAATCACTTTAGGTAACAGGAGATAGTGTTTACTTCCTGAAAGTAGCGTTTGAATTTAAGGGGAAAGAGAAACGAGAAGCAAAGCGAAAGAAGCCAGAAGGATCGTAGGAAGGGATCTTGAAGAAATACAAGCTGACTTAAGTTTAGTATTAGGGTCATGTATTGTATCGACGATTCATATTTGTTTTTTTTTTTTTTTGATAGGCTTAGAGTAGATCATAGAAATGTATCAGGATTTGATGGAAGAAGGTTTCATGGAACTCGGTTTGTTTATTTTTTGGCAATGTCAAAAATGGCAAGAATTTCTTTCAAGTCAGCTTTATACAGAGGTTCAAATTTTTGCAGTTCCTCGTTAATACGTTAACGGTAGGTAGGAACAACAGCTAAAACCAAAACCAATCAACAGAATTTACAAGATGGATGGATCGGTTTCTCTAAAAAAGGAAAAATTCTTTCCATAAACTATTTAGATTCTTTCTTTCTTGTTTGCTGTTGGCATGTTGTTGAGTGAAAGGCACTTGGGGCCTGTAAACAATAAAAGTTTACATATGTCAGAAGTATTCAGTCATTTGTAATAATACTCTTAACAGTAATAAGTATGTTTTTACGACGCTACCTTTTAGATAAATTAACAAGTAAACAAATGGGGGAATACAAAAATAAAAGTACTAATTATAGTACTAATAAAAAAAAGAAAGAAAAAAAAAAAAAAAAAAAAGAAAAGAAAACCAAATCCACTGTTGATCAACTTGGAAATTCTCACTTCCTTGTTAGGACGAAAAGCGATGTAATAGCAAGACTGATTCCAAAAATGTTCTTTCTTTAGGGATGATTTTGCTGGTCAAACGAATTGACTTGTCTGCTCACGTATCTCAATCCATTAAGCAAGCGTATTGAAGCATTCCTACTATTATAAATATAACTAGTTCAATTCCATCTCAACTTCCTTGTTTTTTGGTTTTTTGTTCCAGTCGCAATTTCATGAATCCTCCCAAGTATGATTCTTAAGACATCGAAAGGTAGAAAGAAAAAACAAGAGATTTACATTTTGCTACGATAGTTATTTTTTTTTAATTCAGAAAGTAAATTGATAAAACCATCTGGTTTCGTTTCGAATGTTTTGAGTTTTATTCAGTACAATTCCAAGTCCAAGTCCAAATCAAACTCGGATTCGGATTCAAAACTTTCGCTTGCCACAAATACTTTTTAATAATAAAAAAAAAAACCAACATGCCGCTTTTCATCATGTGCCTTTCGATGACTCTTCCTTCATCAATGACTTAATGACTAACTCATTACGTGGATAAACATCAGAGAACTTTGCTAAGATATATAACTACAGACAATGTGAAACACAGTGTTCAACTGAAATTTGTGGATACTTATTTAATTCCTTTAACTTATCCATTATGACAGAGCCTGTCCCTACGAAGAGCACTCAAGAATATCCCGGCCAACACAAAGATTTGGATCCTCAGCCTGATTTATTGAAATTCCGTGATGGGAGAGAACATGTGGGCACTGGTAAGCTGCTAAATAAGCGCTCAATTATCACAGGAGGAGACTCAGGAATTGGTAAAGCCGCTGCTATTATGTTTGCTCGTGAAGGCAGTGATGTAGTTATCACTTGTTTTCATCAAGAGCTTCCTGATGCCGAACATACTAAAGACCTAATTGAAAAAGAAGGTCGAAAGTGTCATATCTTTGTTGCCGATTTAAGTTATTCTGAAACCTGTACAAACCTTGTTCAATTTGCAGTCGAAAAGATGGGAGGCATCGATGTCCTCGTAAATAACGTTGCCTACCAAAAACTCGCAGAGACAATTGAAGATATATCTGATGAACAATGGGATCACACCTTCAAAACCAATATTTATTCTTTCTTCTGGATTACCAAGGCTGCCCTTAAACATATGAAGCCTGGTAGTGCAATTGTCAATGCTGCTAGTATCAATGCCTATGTTGGACGACCAGACTTGTCTGATTACACATCCACTAAGGGTGCAGTCGTTAGCTTTACAAGGGCTCTCAGTAATCAGTATGCCAGTCGTGGCATTCGTGCCAACGCTGTCGCTGCTGGCCCCATTTATACTCCCCTTGTCCACTCAACTTTTCCTTCAGAGATGATTGAAGTCTCCAACCAAGTACCTATGGGTCGCATGGGTCAGCCTTCTGAAGTTGCTTCTTGTTATCTTTTCCTTGCTTGCTCTGACGGTGGTTACATTACAGGTCAAACAATCCATCCTAATGGCGGTACCGTTGTGAACGGTTAACCCTGTTGTAATTTTTTTAAAAAAAAACAATTAGTGTAATTGAATGTACGTGCATAATATATAGCTTTATGTTTTTGGAATAATGATTTGATTTGACCTTTCAGAATATGTTTTTCTATGTGATTCCCAAATTCAAGACTTATCGTGCTTAAGAGCTAAAGAGCTTAAAATCGATATAGGGAAAATATTTTGGATATACTGAAGGCAGACTTTTGGTAATTATTTTACCAATTGTCCACTCACGAAGTCAATAGAAATATTATAATCTTTCTATTCTCTTTTTTATTGCTTTGTTGCTAAGCTACAAAATTCGTAAAAATCTGCAAGTAGACAATGGAGCTTGCATGCTTATTTCAATGACTATCTATTATGAAAATCTTCAACACTGAAAAATAAGAATGAATAAAAAGTACAGAGGATAATTAATGGGTTCATCATCTGAATCGTCCGCCATGATACTCCATAGAAGAATTATTTGTGTATCCTCATCATTTGTTTATTTGTTTACCCAAAGTTGGAATCAATGGGGAAGAGGTCGTTGCTTCTACCAAACGGGATTCAACCGATTGAATTTTAGATTTCTTAAGTAAAAATATATATATTGAGGCTATATATGCCATTAAGAATATCTGGTATTCAGATCACAATTTCTTCATTTGGTAAAGAGATAAGAGAGTCAGCTTATTGAAAGGATTTTCACACATTAAGCCTTTATAATAAATCTACTATACTGTCTTTTATTATCCCTTGTATTCATTCGATTCGATGAGTCCAAAAGAATTCTTTCTATGGATTCTCTGCATCGTAAAGAACTTATTCACAAAAACCGCATGGCTTTTCAAGAAAAGTAATCCAGCAGCGAATTGTGTTCAAGATGACATTGGTTTACGATCGCTGATCTTTCTCTCTGAGGATTCCTCTGCAGTGGCATTAACTCTGCCGAGCGATGCAAGCGAAGAAAGGACTCTTACAGCAATGTCTGAAAATGAAAAAGTTAATTCGCTTTCTGTAAAGTCTCAGAAAATCAATGTTTTTTTAAGCTGCAACAACACTATACCACAACATGCGGAGGTTTGTGAGCCAAGCACTGAACGTGAGTCTCCTCGTAATTTAAAATCCACATAATCCAATAGAGAAAGAAAGGAAAGAAAAGCGAAGCGAAGTTTTCTGCTTGGTTCCAATCGCCATCAAGGTAGATGCATCCAATTTTCGCAATTCCAACATTTCTATAAAAGGAATTTCGCTTTCTAAAGAATTCAAAAAGGGCCAAATAATCCACAACTCCTTACATATACCATAGATATAGGGAAAACAAACAAAAGACGAATACTTTTCGAGTTCCAGCTTCAACCGTTCATCCTTTAATTTTACTTTTTGACGTTCATTTTAAATAGTTTTATAGAAAAAACGTATAAAAAAGCATATCCTGGACGTTTTCTTACACCAAGACCATATGCCTTTCACAAATTCAACAATGCCTTTCCCTTTGCCAAAGTTATGAAGAGTAGAACAAATAACAATTGTAAGCTTCTAGATTGTAGGAAGAATCTTTTATAACAACAGGCAGCTTATTTTTCTCAAATCAAGTACTGAGTACTCTTCCGATTCATTACATTCTACCACTGGAATAAGGCTCCCTTTTCAGAACAAATTCCTTTAATCAAATCATCTAGAGTTTAAGTGAGATTTTATTTTCCAAGAATAATGAGTGAAGAAAAGAGAGGACTTTGCATGAATATTCGGTATTTAAAGAGTATGAATATTACTTTTGGAATTATGACTTAAGGTCAGATCTGCAGAAGTCACTAACAGGTGTAATTATGTAGATGTTTTAAGAAAGACAAGGAAGATGGACGATACAATTCAACTGTCTCTTAATTCCGCTAAATGGGAATCACCAGGCCAAGCCAGGGAATCTCAAGAGCAGCGATGCTATCGTGTCAAACGAGAGCTATTTCAAAGCTGGCTAAATAGAGACCAATTTTTGAAGGAATGCATCTCAATTGCTGAAGAGGAAATTCACAAGGATACCCCTTCATTGAAGAGCTCAACATTTTCTCCCGAAGAACCGTTGGTTTCTGAACGGTTAGATCCCTACGCTAAAACACAAGAAATAAGAACTTCTCCACCAGAAGAGGTTCGAATGGCGCTTCAGTCTGAGCAAGCTGTTGAAAATATTATCCGGGGCCAGACTTGGGAAACGCTTAAGAATGCTTGCCCGGGAATGTTTGGCAATTGGGAAGCGGACTATAGTAAAAATATATTTCAATAAACCGTAAAATTCCAAGACCACGACACGTTCTGCTAATCCTCATTCATTTTTATCTACCTGCTATCCATATCTTTATTTTATCATTTACAAGTTTGTCATTCACAGAGCTCACATTCAAATCTTAAGAAAACCAAAGAGGCGAATATTCTTTAGGTAAAGTATATTTATTGTTGAAGATGTTGAGATGGTATCTTAATAGACATAACTAAGGTCGTTGCTGAAAATTGAATATGTGGAAGCTTTGCATTATGGAAAGTCCTACATCCAAATAGAATCTAAAATTTTTCCTTCCTAAAAGAAATCCAGAATCATTGAAACGGGATCGTTTTATTCTCACCTACTCATAAGTGCTACCTTCAGCAGGTTGAGGTAATTTACGGTTCGATGAGGAAGCCATCTCTCTAGTTTCTGTTAGTATTCCATTACATTACATCCATCTATCCACTTACTTTTTCAACTCCAATAGAATTGTTTCCATTGTATAATCTCGTTTCCAATGACGAAGGCAACCAATCTTGTTTGGATTGATCTAAGAAATAGTTAGTAATGATCTTTGTGCAACTGAAATATCGATGTAAAACGCTAAGACTCTCGATTTTCTTTATGTGCATAATCTTTCCTTCCTCACTGCATAGAATAGTCACAAGAAGAGTGTTTTTCTTTACTTACCTCACCGGTTTCACCGTCAACACCTGGTAGATTGATTTTAGAGACGAAAGTTACACGAGGAGGTGCATCTGGATATTTAGCATCACAGTGGATTTTTAGGCTATAAATGCGATTCTCATGAACACTCTAAGGTTCGAACTGTTAGTATAATTCAATAATCAAAAGTGACAGAAACAAGGTCATCGTTAGTAAACCATGCACCATATATGTACTGAACTTTCCCTAAAGAGAATAAGTGCAAACAGTTTCTGTTTCATTCAAACATACATGAGCAGGGCCAAGTATGGTGGCATTCCAGTCGGACAAGCTAATGTCATCAGCATTTGTCAATCCATAAGAACATGAATTGTCTCCAAGACCTTTTTCGCCTTTTTCAAGTTCTTCTAAAAGTCGAAAATTACGAGGACTATACATGATATTAGCGTTTAATTGGGGTTTCGAAGTTTCTTACACTTTAGCCATAGTTGCAGTGTTTGGTAGATGACAAGATGAAGCAATGTATCTGAACTTTACGGGATTCAAATTAATCTTCAGAATGCTCAATTTCACAAAAAACAAACAACAATATGAGATTTTGATTACTTTGATCATTACTCATGGCTGTCTTAAAAAGCTAGATTATTAGAGAAACTTATTAAATTCACAATACAGAGAAAATCAAGCTCATAGTTTATAGAATTAATTATAATGATAAAAATTTTTTTATTAAAACAGATACTGAAACACCAGAATATCGATGGAAGCTAGTCATTGAAAGCAATGAAAAGATACTATTTTTTCTGGTTGGGCTTCTTCCATTGACAGTTTATCCTTTTGATGAATCAAAGCATGTTATAGGCTTTTTTATTGTAAAGAGGTATGCAAACGGTACACGCCGAATTGTGCTTTCAACAAGAGAAGTGTACTTTTGCAGTAAGAGTTCGTACTTTTTTTTTTTTTTTTTTTCGTAAACTATTCATAGGACGAAGATAAATACACAAAATAATAAAAATCGCATCTGCAGCTAACTGCATCTCTGTCTATCCAAGTGTATCACTCTAATGATATTTATAAATATTCGAGTGATAATGTGCTTTCTTAGTCTTCAACAGAAATACTCCGTAGCTAGTTTATAGAAGCGAGTGTCATTAAGCCATTATTAAGGAAAATTTGAAGCTTTCATTCATACCGATAAACAAGTGATAGATTTATACCATCCTTACTTTTTTCGGACAATGATCATTAAGGAGGAGGAGGAAGAGAAAAAAGTTTCTACTTTTACATACCTCACTGAATCTCAATAATTCTTGTACTGGACTCTACCTCTTTTTTGTTCATGATGATACTGAGTATGCCATCTTTTAAAGAGGCCTGTACCATCCGATCATCAACATGTTGAGGCAGAGCTATGGTTCGAGAAAAAGCGCCAAAGCATCTCTCACTCCAACGAATGAGAGGACCAGATTGAGATTCATCTGGTTTGCGCTCTCCGGAAACAGTTAATTTTCGACCATCCAAATCTATGTTCAAGTTATTCTTAGGGATTCCGGGAACTTCCACGTCGACTTCAATGGTGCTATCTGTTTCCCTTAATTCAAAGGCAGGCCCCCAACAACTAAACCAAGCAGACGTTGCTTGCTTCGAACGGTCATGAAGGTCAAAGATATCATCAAAAATGCGGTTTGTGAAAGCATCAAACAACATTTCAACAAAATTTCTTCTTGTTAGCAGTAATTGATACTAATCTTAGTTAGTTTTACGTTTGTCTCAATGCTTGCTGGGTATGGTTGTAGTAAAGATATTCTAAATGTTTCCATCTGCTTTCCAGAACTCAACTTCGGTATATATATATAATAATCACACGGGATTAATATGGAACGTTCTAAAAATCTACAATAAAGATCAAACAAAGAGGTATCATATAGTCCTGTATTACATTTCTCTCATTCCCTAATACTTACTATAGAATAATACATAGCGCTATGTTTGTTGTTATAGTATAAAAACATTTATTTTTCTTAAATTCTAATCTCCTCTAGCGGTCAGGGATTCTCTTACTTCTATGATAGACACATGATCCTGACCCAAAATTTGGGTTGCCTGCTCCAAGTAGCGATTCGCAGCTTCTAAGTCACCCTGGCGACCATATAATTTTGCAGCCAAAAGTAAAGTTTCTGAATTTTCTATGGGGATTGACAGTAATTTATCCATATACTTTTGGGCATCCTTCAATGGGGTATTCGTAGCAACCAACTCTTCACCAAGAGGATCTTCGTCAAACTTCACAGGCGTACCATCCTCTGACTTTGCACGAGCCTTATCTGTTTCTTTGATTTTCTCGGCACGCTCTTGACGCTTGGAGAGGTCTTTCTTCAACTTTTTCATTGTTTTCTTTCTCTCTTCCTCGTCCAAATTTCCTTGCAATAACTTGTCATAATCTGCAGGCTTAGGACCATAACGAGCAAAAGGATGATCGAAGAGATCCAAATAAATCTGAATAGCGAGTTGAGAAGCTTCACGGAATGCAGGATTATTGAATACCCCGTCTTCCCAGGAAAGAACATCCAGGTAAGTACGAAGGGAATTCTTACGGAAAGCGAAGAAATGAAAGTCAAATTGATCATCAGCCCATGCTTCAAAGATTGAGAAAACGGTACTGAATCGCTTTAGTGCCATAGCATATTTCTTCTGGCGATAAAACGATTTCGCGTCTTCCAACAAATACCAAACACATTGCATATCTGCAAGATCACCCACAGAACCACCAACAGCTTCGTTTCTAGTAAATAATCCGACAGTTGTTGCGGCAAGTTCATTTTCATGATTGCGCAACATGTACTTTGCACACTTATTGTTTACAAAGCGATCTTGTAAATCCAATTTGCGGGCAAAATCCATAGTTTCCATTGCTTCTTGTAATTTTCCTTGGTGTTTAAAGATCCTTGCCTTTGTCATGTACAGTTCAACAAGGGTAGGTGTATGTTGAATTGCTAAAGAGATATAGTGTTCAGCTTGACTTAATTCTCGTTTGTAATCAAAGTGTTGAGCCAAATAGTAATATGTCCAGAGCAAGGTAGTAGGAATTTGCACTTCAGTATCTGTAGTCGAAAACTTTGCATGATCCGACAAAGAAGAGGCATAGCCAGAAACCAGCTTTTCAACATTTTCACGCTTAGAAGCATCCTTATACAAAGACTTGATGTCTACAAACACCGAAGGAATTCCTCGTTTAAGCTTGGTACGCAAATAAGAATCTGCTCTCTTAGCAAACAAGTCACCAGTTAGCGAATCCAAAGGCATTCTTTTGGGACAATCCGATCTAGGGTAGAGCGCAGCAAGCTTATCATACAAAGAGAGCCATTTATCGAGATTGAGCACATTGTGCTTTTCATCTTCATAGCCATAGGCTTGTTGCAACTTATGGAAATAACCATGGTTATCAGAATTACGATCCAGCAAACTAATGAGAGTAGTTTTTGCTTCCTCAAGTTTTTTCAAAGCTAACTCGTATTCAACCTTGATCTCCAAAAATGTAGTACGATCTATAATTTTCTTTTCTTCGGAAAGCAGGTGATCATACGCAGCACTAGCTCCATCTTTCTTTAAAATAACCAAGTTGATAAAAAGTTGAGATTCAGACTCCTCTTGGGAATCAACAGGAATTCCTTGGCTAATAGTAGACTCAAAAGCATCTAAAATTTTGAATGAACTAGCATATTCGCCGCGAAGATATTGGGCAACAGCCAATGCGCTCCAATTACCGCGGACACCGGGGTTTGATTGCAAAAGAGAGTTCCTTGTATCAGCAAGAGGTTTGAATTGTCGAAGTTGACTTTGCAGAAGGGCAAGGTCACGCAAAAGGCTAGTATTTCCTTTTTCCAACTTTTGAGCATTAATGTAGCACTTAGCAGCTTGCACATAATCTTTATCTGCTTTGCAAACGAGGCCATATATATGCCAACAGACACCGGAAGCAACATCGTGACGAAGACCGAGTCGAACATTTTCATAACCTTCTTTAATTTGTCCTAGCGAATGAAGAAGAATACCTTTGAGGGCGATTGACTCGCCATGCTCAGGATGCTTCTCAATTACAGACTCAATAGCCTTAAGACCCTTTTTGTACTGCCTAGTCTCATAGCATTTCTATGAACGTTAGCGATAATTTTCATTATATTATTTTCTTTTGTATATAATCTTACTAAAGCAGTACGAAATTGAGTAATATCCTTTGGGCTCAGTTGTATTTTGGCCATTCCAGGGTACTTGTTGAGGACAGAGGTGGTGTCTAAGAACCAGTTCCTCCAGAACCATTCGTGTATGCAGTTTTCCAACCCAAAGATTCAACCATTTGCTGTAAGTAAATTTAAAGAAAAAGGAAAAATTTTAAGGATTCCGTTCTTCAACAGAAACAGAATGTAAAAATTGGGAAAAGCACATTTTCCATTGTATCACTCCTCTCTGTGCGAAGCTTTTGCTGAAATCTGAAAAACAAGAGAAAACCATATTCAATAAGAAATTGCCAAAGGCCTCTTGGAAATCTGGGAAACGAATGGCTAGCGAGACTCAAAACGAAGCAACTTTAACAAGCGTTGAAATATAAGAAATAAACATGCTTTCAGGGATTGAGAACAAAAGGTAAGTTTTCAAATTTGAAATTGTGTTGGACGTGACCTACTCTTAGTTTCTACAGACAGTAATTTTGGCTATATTCTTGTTGTATGGTTGTTTCTCGTTGAGAACGAGAAAACCAAACCAGCTGTTCAATTTCTACTTTTTTCCATTATGATTTCGTTTCCAATGTTTCGTTCGATATACTATTTCTTTGCAAGCAAAATAACTTTGTTTTTCGTGTTCATTACGTTGAGTATGGTTTCAAATTCTGTACATTTATCTTCATCCGAATAGTTCCATGCCATAAACAAAGTATCTTTTCTGACTCAAACTGAAAGCGATTCACAATGGAATACACTGTCCATACCCATAAACAGGAAGCCATCCAACATTCGTTGGCTACCCTGAAAAAAGCAAGGGTTTCTCGTAGACACATTACACATTAAATCGTCAGCAAAAGGCAGATGTACAAGGATGATTCATCCTCGTTTATTTTAAAAACTACATTGTTCCCACATTTCATACACGGCCATATGCAACTTTATCCAAACATATACCTTCCATTCATTTACATATATCTCTTAATTTACATGCAATCAGATACAGCCCTTATGGCTTAGTGGTACAGCATCGCACTTGTAATGCGAAGATCCTCGGTTCGATTCCGAGTGGGGGCATTCTTTTTTTCTTTGTAAAAGAAAATTTCCTCTTGCAAAGGGGTTTGTTGCAACTTAGCTGCATAATCCCAGTGTTTCCTGCAAACAACTGAAGAGAAATGTGTAACAAATTCCTCTTCTTTCGTACCCTCCTTCTTGTCGATAGCTCATTATGCCTTCCAGATCCGAACTACATCCCTTGTATAGACTTCATTCATATCTCGATACTAATGAAACAAGTGCTCTACTCAGAACATAGCTTTTCTCTTCGAAGACTACATTACCATACGAAGGATACTCATATAAACTGATTTTGATAAATTGTTTTCCTTATTATTAGCACGAAATATCTATTCTAAATACTACAAATACTATGAGATAAACATGTAGGCTATCCTCTCATCTTGCAAGGCGTAATTTGCACATATAATACAAGTCGCAAGAGTTCAAGCGCTTCCTCTTTGCATCCCGTAGCACGAGCAGTTGACAGCTGCTATTCTCGGTATGGAGAAAACCAAGTTCGTGACTCTGTGGGATGCAAATGACATTGTAGTGTTTTCGTAAGTTTTGAAGCAACTATATATAGCATTAATCCTGTGACTGCTTTATCGCTTAACACCCTGCAGTGAACTGGAGGGAGACGTGACGCGACGCGTCGCGGTCTTTTTGTTTACATTTGGTATAGTTGGCAAGCACTTGACTTTTCCCAATCACCAGCTGAGAGAGTGAGGATTGAACGCCAACTGGGACTGGAGACTATCTGATCCATTCTTGTTGAAGATTTAAAAATTAAGCGGAAACAAAGTTCTGGTGACGCAGACTCTCCTTTTGAGGAACGTGGATTCAAAAGGATAAGACCTCTGGAATCGCCAAAGCCGGTTGAACCCGAATTTCAGCCTTATACTGCAACCAATGCTTTGTTATACTCTTTGCATGTGGAACGTGAAAAACGGATTCAGCGTGTAGAGCAAGAAGAATCCAAATTTACTGAAGAATATTATTCACATCAAAATCACGTCCTAGGCGAAGCAGTCGTGCATCGACAAAAACGGTCCGCATAGTTGTTTGCTTGCTATCACCGTCTCCTTCAAGGTAAACGTGTCCTACCTCACTTATGAATACTGAAAAAACAAGCTCAACTTACCGACACTGGAGCAGCCTCTACCATGAATTAGGAAACGCCATTGAACGTTTAGAGGAAGAAAATATTCGCTTAAAAACGGAGTTGACTTACGAGCAAAGAATTCGTGCTCAATTAGAACAAGAGCTTAGTAATGAGCGTTCTCAAAAAAAGACACTTCCTGCTACCAAATCTCCCATAAAGACAACCGCCCCACCTGCCCTTTCATTACCTCCTCTGCCCAATTCTCAAGCTTCCACGACTGAAGAGGAAGATGAAATCCCAGGGAGTGAGACTGCTGAGGAAGACTTCGCAGGTCACGAAGTACCAAAGCAGGAACCTATGTCTCCCAAACTCCCTTTTCAGTCTAATGTCAAGCCCGAGCAGAACCAAAATATATCTCTTTCAATCTTTAAGGATGAACCTAATGAGGATACCATATTATCAAGTGAGAATTCCTATCAAAGTTCTCCCGGCGAAGCCCGTTTGCAAGCCCGTGCTCCAGAAGACATGGCTTTGTTACGAGAGACCCAGCCTTTGGCTCCATTAGACATCAACAGCCTGCCTCAATTTCAAGTTCCCAAACAACCTGAATTTGTTAGCAAAAAGAAGAACTCGCAGGATGAGTTTGATGATGTCGTTCGTGGAAAGAAACGAAAGGCATTACCAGCGTTTGATTGTCCTGATTGCGAAAAAGTAAGATTTTTTAGGTAAAAAAAATCATTTATCTAACCAAATTTTTTTTAGTTTTACAAGTTACACGGCCCTATAAAAGATACTGGCGTTGCACTAGAGTGGAACGACGAGAATCGAAAACCAAATAGCTTGCCTCATACTTGCCCACACAGTACACTTGTTCAAAAAGTTGGCCGTCATCGACGTCTGGTGCCTCCAAAAAGGATCCCGGATGGATTTTGGGAAAGCGACTTCGTAGATTAATATTTATAGATATGGTAATAGGTATCATTATGGAATGTCATATATAATGAATTTTCTCTTTAATCTTTATCGAATACCTAGTATGTCTTTAGGAATTCACAATCATGTTTGAGTATGGAATTCTTATAATGTGTTAAATTCGTATTTAGAAAAGGGTTACAAATGCCAGCATTCATCTTTACAGCAGATTAGTTTTACAAATGATGACAACGAATGATGATATGTAAAAAATGACTATTTCAATGTACTACTATTCGTTGCATCAAATAGCATATTTATATTTGGCTGGTCACCATACACGGACCTGGATATTTAAATTCATGAATTTGTTCTTCCTTATTCACTTACTTCATAATGGCTCTACAAATCGGATGGAGTAATGAGGAAAAAATGTGGTAGATGTCAAGTAAGGGGGATCAGATTTTTGAAATTAAGGAAGAAAATAAAACAAAGAAAAGGTTGTATTCCAAGACAATTGTCTTCATTCTGTATTCGTAAAGAAACAATCGAAAAGAAAATTGATACTAAGCTCCAATTACGAGTAAAAAATAAAAAAGAACATGAGTGTAACAAAGCAACACCTAAAACCAAGAAGAAATCTTCGGTTACGAGAGTACAGAAAAGAAAGAGATAATCAAAAGTGAGAGACAAATTAAGCTTGCTTGCCAGAAGGAGAGAAAATACCACCGCTGATTTGACCACGTCCGGTAAAGCCCTCACTAGCTTCACCACTGATGGGGTTAATCTTGTTCTCCTTCAAATATTCGTTGGATTTTTCTTGCCATTCACGAGTCATGGTATGAGGGGCAGGAGCGGCTTGAGTACGAATCAAAGCAAACAAGGCAACGGCAGCAACAACGCCAGCAGCGGTACCCCAAAAGACTTTCTTTTGATTAATGTGGCTGTAAGCACGGGGTCCATGTTCACCGAAAGCAATCCAGTAAGCAGCACGCTTTTCTTCAACCGACAAGTCCGCCCAAGGAAGCTTTTGACGAGCATACAGATCAGTAATTAAACTATCCTTTTCCTCTTGAGGCATTAGATCCCATCGTTGTTCCAAATCGACGAGACGAGGACGAGCAATCATGGCATCGGCCATGGGAGTTTCCTTTTGTAAAGAGGTAGTGGTATTGGCACCAATGGTAGCCGCGTTACGAGCACCAAGTAACTGCTTGGGAAGTCGCTTCATAAACAATTTTCCGGATAACATTATTGAAAGAATTGAAAGTTATTAAAACTCTGTTCCTGCTAATGAGAGGAGGGTTGGTCGTGGATGGGAAAGGATCAGTTGTACGAACGGACATTGGGTGTTAACCTTCCCCATATCTTCTCTGTTAGGGTAGGGCTAAGTAAACAAAGACACCAGTAAATCAGATAGAATAAAAAACTAGAAAAGAGATATAGAGAAACCAGTTTTCAAAAAAACTAGCTTGTTCATTTATTTATTTCTAAGATACCGATATTTTTTTTTATGGGAAGAAAAGCATCCGTAATCAGTAAAAGCAAATTTGAAAGGAATGGGTATGTTTAGATGCTTACCCATTGCCGAACTAATTGAATCACGCACATAGGACAAGGATTTATGAAAATGAAAGACATAGTTTGAGGATAATGATAGGAAATAACTGGTGGACGACACGAAACTTACATCATTGAGGCCTATTATACCTCCATTGACTCCAGCGGCAAGTGATGGGGTATCGCGAGCCAAAATCTTCTTGCCCAATTTCTTCACCAGTTTCCCTTGAAAAGCCGGCCTGTTGCATCCCTTCTTCGAATTCGGCAATCTCGTCTAAATGTGTCTCACGAAGAGGATATTCTGTGATTGCAATACCGTCCTTCGCTAGGTACTTCAAAAATAAAGCGATTGCAATTTTTCCGAAATGGGTTTCGTACACACAATCACTAGCAATAATTCGTTGAAACGGCTGGGAAAGCCAAGGTGGAAGGTCATCGTCAGGAGGAGGATTCAACCAGTCCAATACATGACACTCCATAGAACCATTGTTTTCATGGATCAAATCTTCATTTTCGGTAACATTATGCCTCATATTTTCGACAATTTCCGGCAAGTCAGTACAAACCATCTGCCATCCTAGTTGATGGGCAGCACTAATCCCCAAAAGCCCCGTACCGGATCCTAGCTCAAGTGCACGAAGGGACGGGTTAGGAGTTTCCCACTCGGGAAGGTGAGCAGATAATAAAGGAGCAGATCCCCATGTCTTAAATCCAAGGGTATCGTAAGTGAGACTTGGTTCTAGAATACGAATTTCTTTGCTATTATTCATAACGAAAGTTCGTACTTTTGTAGGAGCAGCCATACGACCGCTGCGTTCAGCTATCATTTGACAAATAATAACTAGTAATTCTTCTTTCTCATCCACATTTTCAATCCATTCCAAATTTGTCGCGACGAGCCCTACCAGCCAATTCAAAACAGGCTTTTCCTCGTCGCCGGCTAAATCCCAAACATGGTCTCCAGATGGGATTCCGTTTAACACATCCTTTATTTCTTGAAATGAAGGATGAGCTTTAATTAGAGGGAGGTCCATTGGATTTTGATTGTTTCGATACTTCTTATAGTACTTGTTGCTTAAATTAAAAATTTCACTAAATATAACCAAATGATGATTTCCTACCAACCTTTAAAAATAGACCCAAAAAAGCAATAATTTACGCGTACAACATGCTCTATTTCGTCTCTTCGCTTTCCATGTACGTGTTGGTTTTCACAATTTTTTGTTTTTTTATAGAAGTAACTTGTTACCCGGAATGAGAGAAAACGAAAGCTTTGCAAGTGTTTGTCCTTTCTCCTTAATTTAGAGCACTTGTGTATAATTTTAAGAAGAAACAATGTGAGTATATCTGTTTCGTGTTCTGATGTTCCTTTCTTCTACTTTTATCCCGTTGGTATCAATATTTATTTACATACTTGGAACTCGGTCGCTAATCCCTTTAATGAAGTACGCGCCTAAGTTGCGTATTGCATGTAAGGAAAAGAGGTTTGAACTCTGTAGATAAATTTACGAGCGTAGTACAGCGCACCAAAAAGAATCTTTGCTTTGGTATCAATAGCTTATGTGTTCATATGATAAGAGTGGATGTCCGATGAACAAAGAGGAAGGGTAAGGCCATTACGTAAAGCTTATAAATATATAGCAGCACATTCGGGAACTTGTCTTTAACGATTACAATTCTTCTGGAAAGTAGATTTTTTCAACAGAATTCAGTTATAAGATTTTTAAAGCCTCTTAGTTTTATACGTTTATTTCGAAATCTCAATATGAGTGAAAAATCCTACATCGTAAGTTTCTTGGATATTCTTTATAGCGTTCCTGCCTTACATCTTGCTGGCGTTAGACTTTCCCGGAAGAATTGATGCATGAATCGATAGATTAAGCGAAACGGAGTGGCTATGCGAGCAATTTCAGGCTTTTATAGAGTCGTACGACTAACACAACGATTGTAGGTACAATTGAAAGAAACCACCGATGTTAACAAGTACGTAGCAAGTTATGAATATGTGTATAGGTCTAACAAGTGTGTGATGTAGGGTAAAAGCTGATTTGGAAGCATCGGGTGCTAAAGTTGGTCATGTCTATGATACGGTATTTAAAGGATTTAGTGTTACTCTTCCTGAGAATGCTGTAAGTTCTCTAGATGCTCATCCTGAAGTTCAACATTATGAAGCCGATAAGGAAATGCATACCATGAAGAAGGATTAAGAACTTGAACCGTCTCTTTCTTTTTAGAAGAGTTTCAGACTTCTTCAGTCATAGTATTATGTGATTTAAGATATCTTTCTCATGAAATATAATGACACATTAGGATGGCTGTATACTCAATACATCCTTCTTTTGCTAATGAGATTCTGATGAATTTAATTTTAGAGGTGAGAAGATTCGTAACTCTGTTTTTATTTTGTATAATGTAACGTAATCATTGATTATTTAGTAAGGAGGAAAGCAAGGATTCGTTATGTAAGATAGGGTGCTTTAGCGAATATGAACAAAGGATGACATTGTCGCTTTCTAGAGAGACTAACCATGCATGGACCATATTTAATTGCTTTGACACAATTTTAAAGAAGATTGAAAAAAACACAGTGTTACTGGGTCAATCTTGTTACTAACACTTTTATTTAAAAATAATTTTCTGTTTTCAGTCACTCTATCTTGGATTACTGCTAGGTTTCTTCATTGTTTACGCGATCTTCTTGTACCAAACGCGTGACATAGGTCTGCTCTAATCAACCATATGCTATTTGGGGTTTTTTAGTTCATTCATAAATTATGACAAATATATCTATATGCGAATGTACGAGTATTAATCAGATTGAAGCATCATTTCACTCTTTGCAGGAGGAATCAAAACAAACGGATGATCAGCTCCAATCACTTCTCGATAGTCGAGAACCCATTGAAAATTATAAATCCACGTTTAAAACCCTTGCAGAAAGGTTGATTTTGTTAGTCAATCAGATCGATGAATTAAAGCACGAATTTTGTGATATCCCAATCGTGGATCAGCAGGTCATTAACAAAATCAAAGTTGTGGATAGAGAGCAAAATCGCTTAAAAGAATGTCTTTTGTATGTTCGGCAAGTGCGTGACTTTAAGGAATGCCTTATAGAATTGAACCGAGCCATGCAACGCCAACATTGGGAAAAGGCTGCAGATTTCGTACACAGAGCGAATTGTACCTCTTCCTCTATTATTCAAGGAAAGTTTGCTTTAGCAGTTGTTCCAACCAGTGAGCAGCCACTCGCTCCTACCGAAACTTTGCATGAAGTTATCGAATCACTGCATGCACTCTTTCAGAGAGAATTTCAAAAAGCTGCTCGTGACAAGGATCAAAAAGAAATAACTAGGTATTTTAAGCTTTTTCCTTTAATAGGAAAAGAAAAAGAAGGCTTAGAGTCGTATTGGCACTTTTTCGGTGGAATCATTGCTTCAAAAGCTAGAGCTACGCTCGATGAACCCTCATCTCATTCTTTTTTTTTTTCACAAGCCTTCACTGGTTTGGTAGAACATGTTGCAAGTATAGTCCGAGCACATACTCCATTGGTTCTTCGGTATTATAAGGCAAAAAATACAATTACAGTTATCGAAAACTTACAGTATGATTGTGATAGACAAGGTTCAATCATCATAAGCACTATGTATGATGTTCGTCGTATCACTTCCCTTTTGAATTCTATAAAGAATTATAAATTCCTGCTCTTGAATGCCAAAATCAAGCATCGTAATCTCCCTTCCGATCAGCATGAAATGGAGCGAGTAAGTTTACAGAACTTACATCCCTTGTTGAGTGAAATCACCTCTATTATAACAAAATGGAATATGTATAAGGTGTTCATCAGCAGATTTATTCACCGCCTGCTAAATCCTGATCCCTCTACCCTTAAGTCCCCTGATGAACGTTCATTTGAGTGTGCAAACGTATTCTTGAGCTCGAAAGTTGAACAAGATATTTCTAACCAACTAATACCCTCTCTACTGCATTTAGAAACTTATTATCTAAAACACAGTATGGAAACAGCTTTTGAGCTAGAGGAACATTATACAAGAGTTGTTCCTTGGACCAGCTCAATTGTAGATGATGTTATGTACGTTACCAAACAAGTTGTTCAGCGTATTTTCTTTTCTGGTTCGTCTGCATATTTGGATAAGTTTATCCGTGAAAATCTTTGTCAAATATTTCAAAGCATCTATTATGTATATATTTCTTCAAACTTGACTAATTTGTGCGGAATCATCCGCGGTCAGTTTCAAAAATTTAAAGACGCTGGGAAAATCCAAAAGTCATTATACGAGCGTTTTGTTGTCCTAACGAATAGTGCTTCCTTGAGCAAAGAGTATTTGTGCACAGTTCTAGATGAGATTTCAAAAAAAGATAATGAAGTTTACCCATTTTCAAAAGACAAAGAACAAGTGATAACAACGTTGGATAAATTTCGGAAGGACAGCAACATATTTGATAAATTATGTTCCTATGCCTTTAATACTTATTTCCCTATCTTCATGCTTCCAAAAATCGAAAAAAGCATTGACGATGTGTTTATGGACTGTGAATATGTGCTTTCTTATGATGACTATACCCAGGAACTTGCTCGCGAGCGGTCACTTGTGAGCAGGCTTCGAGTAATTTGGAATAGGATAACTGCTTTTGAGGAATTCACTCCAAAAAACCAATTTATACTGACTAGAATGGCTTGCGAAAAAGCTGCTAGTTACTTGGAGCATCTCGTTCTTTATAAGATTCAATGGAACGAGTACGGTGCTATGGCACTTGAGAACGATCTTTCACAATGCATTCATGTGCTTTCTAAAGAGCAGGTTCAACTACGTGATAATTTTGAACGATTGCAGGAACTCTTATTATTATTGGTATGGGAGAGTGAATCCGCTTCTCCGGCTCAAGTTACTGAGGATTTGAATCTACGGCTGCTTTCTTTGGATATTGTTGCAGCTATTCAAGAAAAGAAGAAGGAATTAGAGACTAATGAAGAGTAATTCCCATGTTAATAGAAAACGCAACTATTACTTAAGATAAAGGTAATGAAGACTAGATAGATGATTTCTTGAGAAACTCTTACCACACAAAGAAGAAGTGTGAGGAAAAGATAGTTAGCCCCTTTTATCCACTTTCATACATTTGATAGATTCATTGTTTATTATTTAAGGTACTGGTGCGAATGTGCTATGAACGATAGCAATGCGCAAACGTTCGCTATTCCAAGTAGAGTTATGGAAGCTTCTGTCATAGAAAGTCGTGTGGAACTGCAGTTAACCTTTTCCTATATCCTTTGTAAAAGGTTTTTAGTTTTCGTCATGTCCTCTTACGTCTTGTTTGGATTAGAGAATCCTCTATTGGATTATTACGTTGGAGGAGAAGATGCTACACTCCAAAAATATGGACTGAAGAGCAACGATGCCGTTTTGGCATCTGAGAATCAAATGGGCATTTACAAGGAGCCCTGTGTCAGTTATGGAGCTGGTGGTGCTGCTCAAAACAGCTGCCGTGCTGCTCAATACGTCCTTCCTCCCAACTCTACTGTTTTTGCTGGTTGTGTCGGTGATGACGACTTTGCTCGCATGCTTCGTGAATCCAATGAGAAGGCTGGTTTGCGTTCTGTGTTTGCTGTTGATCCTTCCGCAACTACTGGTGTTTGTGCCGTTGTTTTGAGTAACAACAACAAGTGTCGCTCTTTGTGCACAAATTTGGGAGCTGCTAATAACTATAAGCTTGAGAACTTAAAGGCTCCCGAAGTTTGGAGCCTTGTTGAAGGTTCTAGAGTTATTTACGTTGGTGGATACCACTTGACTGTCAGTCCGGAATCCATGTTGGAATTGGCTAAGCATGCCGTTGAAAAAAACAAGCCTTATATTATGAACCTCAGTGCTCCTTTCCTCTCTCAATTCTTTAAGGAACAGATGGACTCTGTTGTCCCTTACTGTGACTATATCATTGGTAATGAGTCCGAAATACTCAGCTATGGAGAGCACCACGGCATTGAAACTAAGGATGTTGGCGAAGTTGCCTTGGCTTTGGCTTCTGTTGAGAAAGTAAACAAGAAGCGCAGCCGTGCTGTTGTTATTACACAAGGTGCTGATGCCACTATCGTTGTTCAAGATGGTAAAGTGAACACCTACAAGCCTAATCACGTCCCTGCTGAGGAAATTGTCGACACCAATGGTGCAGGTGATGCGTTTGCTGGTGGCTTCATCGCTGCTCTCGCTGAAGAACACGGTATCGACTATGCTATTACTCTCGGCCACTGGTTGGGTCAAGAATGTATCAAAGTAAGCGGTACAACCCTTCCCCTTCCCAAAAAGCAATATCCTCTTCCTTAATTTAACTGCATATATAGATAGAAAAGAGGTAGCTCTTTAGTATATCGCTGTTACATATAATCAATAAGTTTCTGGGCTTTATAGGTTTCGAAATACTTGAATAAACTCAATAAACAAAGTCATCATCAGTTTGAGATACCTCAAGTCGGCTGTGTTACTTTTTTTGTAATCCTTTTTTTGCCATGACTTTGTACAGTTTGTAGTTCTTTTTCTGGTAAAGACCAAATGTCCTTGTCATTCATGTCAACATCTGTTCGGGAGTATTGAGCCCTCCCTCTTGCATTTCGTCTTGTTTCAACTCAATTTTATCGTACTAAGGCGGATGCCAATACAATCTCTTTCCGATGCTTTCTGTTGCTAGAAGTCTCCTTCAAGCTCACTAAACAGGAAGGTCTACTGCGCATGGAGAATTCGAACGTGACCTTAGCAAAAGGTGAAACTTGGTAAAGCACAACGATGAAACGTGCATTGTGCCTTTTAATTGCCTTGTCCTGGTCGCTTTTTGCCCAGGGCTTGCATCAGACAATTTTGGCTGTAGCAGATCATTCCTTAGAAGACTATAGCACATTTCTGAATTCATTGACAGGTAATAGTTTCTATAAGGCTGGCAAAATCTAACATAATGATTGTAGAGAATGGATATGATGTTACTACGGCCAACGTAAGGGACGAAAAGTCGCAACTATTTCAATACGGCGAGCGCATGTATGACAATATTATTTTGCTCTCCTCCCAAAGCAAAAGTACGTGTCTTTAGACGACTAAGAAGCTATGATTCACTAAGAATGAAAGGCTGACATTGACTTTTTAGGTTTTGGAGCTACTTTCTCTCCTAAAGCTATTTTAGAGTTTACACAAGCTGGCGGTAACGTTCTGTTTGCTGCAGGCTCCAATCTCCCTGAAGGAATCCGTGAATTGGGAAGACAATTAGATATATATATTGGTGAGCGTCATTCCTCAGTTGTTGATCATTTTCATTCTGTCGAAAGCTCCAACGACGAATCCGTCTTGTTGGATGCTGTAAGCGAAAATCCTTATATTATTTCAGACGAGACCCGTCAAGCTGGTTCAATAGTCTATAAAGGAAATGGCCATTACTTGGGTACTAATCATCGTGCTCAACCTGTACTTCGTGGACACCCCTCTACATATGTATACAACAAAAAATCTGAAGGTAAAGTTTCCGAAGATCCTTGGGCAGCCGGTACTCAATTGTTTTTGGTCAGTGTCTTTCAGAACGATGCTGGCGAGCGTATTGGTTTTAGCGGAAGTCCCGAAATGTTTACCAACACGTACCTTTCGCCCAATTCTCCCTCCTATTCCGCAGCAAATGCTCTATTTGCTCGTGATTTAACGAACTGGGTTTTCCAACGTGTTGCCGTTTTGAAGGCTTCTGATATGACTTACGGAAAGGTTGGCGAGCCTTATGAGCTTCGTAACGCTTCTACATACAGAATTAAGGATCAGATGGTAAGTGGAAAGAAATTGGTGCTGATTTGCTAATAAACCTAGGTTTTTTCCATTGATATTGCAATTTTGAATGATGGTCAACCTCAACCTTATGTAGCCGATGATGTTCAAATGGAGCTTGTAATGCTCGATCCTTATTATCGCGTAAACATGGTTCCTGTGGCTTCTGATAGTAAGACTTATCAACACTATGAGGCTGTTTTAACTGCTCCTGACCACTATGGTGTGTTTACTTATAAAATCGCCTACAATCGGCCCGGTCTGAATCCTATAGACGAAAAGGCCACTTTCACGATTCGCCAGTTCTACCATAATGAGTATCCCCGTTTTCTCCCTCATGCCTATCCTTATTATGTCTCCTGCTTTGCGGTTTTGGGTGCATTTTTAATCTTTTGCGGCATTTGGCTTGTCCAAATTCCAAAGGCTTCTTCAAAAAAGCAAAAGTGAAAAATTTCTTATCTTTCTCGTGAACCCCTTTTTTATATGTATAAGTTCATTTAAACACTTAGTTATGTTTTAGCCATTCTCTTATGTCAATCAATCTTTATGATTTGTTTGCTTTTCAATTCTTTCTAGTAAGTAATAATGCGTGTATAGCTTCTGAATTCGTCTTTCTTGTTGTATCTATGCTAAATAAGGCTTTCATTATTGTTTTGATGGATGTCAATTGAGTGCATATCCTAATATCAGTGAACATTTCAAGTCAGTTCTGGTTTTTTACAAGCTGTCTACGCTGGACAACGAATATGATAACAAGCTCAATAACGCGTAACACGAGAATAATCACTTTGTACACAGTTTGAGTATTGAGTAATTAAAGCTAAGCCAAATAAAGATAAAACCACAAGTTGTATTTCAATTTTCACGTTCAGTGTTGTATACAAAGAATGCTTTAACCAGCTAACTGACTTTACCAAACCCACTCGTGGTCAAAGGTATGGTTTAAAAGAAAAGGAAATGGGTTATTAACTAATGGATCAGGGAAACATAACCTTCTTTTTTGGCATTGGTAAAGGTTTCTGTCTCTTTTGCTTCGTAGATGAATAACTACCAAATAAAACATTGGCGAGAAAAGACAAAACAGTACCTTTTGAAGAGAAAGTATGAAGACGCCCTTGCTTATATAACATCATGCATTGAACAAGAACCAAAGCCCGTTATAGATCTTTTTGAAATTAGGGCCATTGTACTGAAAGAGATGGGTTTATATGAAAAAGCCCAAGCTGATGCTCAAAGAATGATTAACTTAAACTCAAGGAATGCGAGAGGATATTTACGCTTGGCTCAGCTACTTCAATATGATGGTCTTGATTCAAAAGCTGATCATGTTTACATGCAGGGTTTAAAATATGTTCACAAACTGGACCCATTTCGGCAGAAGTTAAAAGAGGCTAGCTTGCAATTGTTAAAACGAATGCAAAAGTCTAAGCCAGTCCAAGACATTTTCACTCTTTTACCGCGGGAGATTCTTTTACATATTTTTCAGTATGTGGAATTTCGAACGATAGTCCGTTGCATGCAAGTTTCAAAGAATTGGAAGAACTCAATCAAAAGAGAATCTTCTTTATTTCACAGCTTGGATTTTTCTGAAGCTTCTTCACGAAGCAGCAAATTCAGAGATCGAAATGTCATGACTTTGGCTCGTTATTCTACATATGCAAAAAGCAATATACAAGAAGTAATCGGTTTGGAAAAGTTAGGGATTTTAACGCCTACTAAGGGTCTGCTTCGATGCGTAGGCTCTATTCACACCTACAAAACTATTTCACCTTTAAGCCCTCCACATTTAATGCCCAAAATGTACCTTATATGGTCACCATTCACCGAATTAAAATATTTTTCTTGTGCTACATCTATTACATTTTCTACCGTATCTAAAGTTCTATCAGCTTGCAAGAAGTTGGAGCGGTTGGAATTGGCCGATGTTGTTCCTGATTTGCTTTTCGATACGATGGACTGGGACAAGCAATTTGATAATAAGCATAGTGTTCTAAATTTAAGAAACTTGCAATTTATAAGAAACCAGGTGCATCCGCTCCATGAAAAGGAGCAGGAGTTTCTTGCCAGTCTGATTTCATGTAGCCCTAAATTGCAACAGCTCGTGGTTACTTATCAATCAAATCTTATGGTTACTTTGAAAGATTCTAAGCCGAATCTTAAATCCTTACAGATTATTGACGATACAAAGCAAAAAACTGTGAAAGATATAATATATTTACCCTCTTCTTTGGAAAATTTATCTATCCTTCCTTCTAGTCCTTCTATGACAATTGCTTCAGCATACTTATTTCCTGTGCCCCATCGACCTACTTCGCTCAAGAGTATAGAGCTAACCCTGTTTATCCGATTAACATTGCAAGAGGTTGAAAATACCACGAATTTCCTGGTATCAAGCCATGACTTAAAGTCATTGATCTTACGCGATTCATTGCCAATCTCATCGAGATTCATGGAGCTATTTACCTCCTTTCCTCATTTAGAAATTTTGGACCTGTCTGATAATGCTGAACTAAACAATAATCATCTTTCCCATATTGTCGCTTGCTGCCCGAAGTTAAGAGTTGTCAACTTTTCTAATTGCATTTCGATAACTGGTTCGGGCTTCATAAGCCTTTTGAGAGGTCTGACTTCATTAGAGAGAATTGAAATTATAAATTGTGATTCTGTATCTAAAGATGCAATTGATGCAGCGCGATCTAAAGGTATTGAGGTTGTTGTTTCAAATCAGCAAAACGGGTTTTTAAGCGGTACAAAACGGATTCGGCTCATTTAACTTTCCCTTTCTCCTATGGTTATTCGGATTATTAGAAGATTCAATGAAACACATAACAATTTGATAAATTATTAGTGGTATAGCTATTTCTTCAAACTTACATTTAATGGGTGAAACAAAAGGAGTATTGAAATGAAAACGTACTACAATTTGAATTTAGAAAATAAGCTCGCATGTATATTTCTTCATAGCAGGATCATCCTTTCTGAAGCCAAACTAGAAATATTTTCGCACGCATTTTTTGAAAAGGAAATATAATGGTTACTTGGATGACATATCTACTTAATCCACCAAAAATACTAATAAAATAAAATTTATTAATCCAGCATAAAGATTCATTAGTCCAAAAAATATTTTAGCCCCTTAATCAAAAATAAAATACATGTTAGCGAAAATATATAAACAAGCAAACAAATGTATACACAATGTATACCATCAAGCATTTAAAAGATAAAAAATATGAGCGAATGTCAGGAAGACTATGACTGAAAACAGCAAGAAGCAGAGGACTTTTTAATTATGACATATATGCGATTAAATATATAAAATATCCCCATCACTCTTCTCAAGTAAAAAATATCTCAGTTCACTTCTTTAAAGAGAATTGAACAACATTTTTTGTTTAGCAGTAAGGATAATGTCACCTTTTGCAGATTCGTCCTGATTCACGGATATAGCATCCTTCGTCGCTAATACCAAAACATCAAAGAATAGCTGTACAGCATCGTCACGCTTTGTGTTACCGCTCAATTCTTTAAATGATGCCCGTTCTCCTTGTACGCGAGGGGTCCATTTTGAATGAACAAAATCTTTAGCCACTTGCGTACTAGGCATAGAATCAAAAGACGGAGGTTCATTTAGTGTATTATCAGCATTCCATTCATTATCATCCAACATGACAGGTGGTGCTCTCATCATAGAATCATCGTCAATACTCTCATCCGCTGGAGGAACTGAGGGACTTTCAGCTGCTAGCACTTCCTGCTCATCATTAGTTACATTAGCTGCATCTAAAGCAGAAGCCTCAGTAGGGTTTCTCTCGGCTTGAAGCTCTTCGTGCTCTTCTGGAACCTGTTGTTCTTCTAATTCCTGACCTTGCGCGATATTTTCGTCAATCTTCCGATGTTTACTTACTTCATTTTCCTCCTCTTCACTTGCAGGGGACGATTTACGCTTTTTTACATCTTCCTGGAGCTTCTTTAAGAAGTCCATTTTGAAAATTTCAGCTAAATGAGGATTTAAGTTGGAAGAAGACAAAGAAGCTTGAATGTTACCATTGCGCATGAAATTAACTGTAGCATTTAATACCACGGGGTTAGTGTTCAAACAAAGTGGTGCTGTGATAGAAGAAGTATCTGACAATTGCTTTTTCATTTGTCGAGAAGATAATTCCGTAACCGGATCAATGACAGCACGTTGACGGCGTGGGACACGAGAAGGTGAGACTTGTTGCTCTGCAACTTCGTTTATCTCTGCAGGAGCTTCTTCCTGTGGAGATGATACCTGGTCAAGATTATCAGAAGGAATTTCGATGTGAGAAACTTCATCAGCATATGTTTCCTCAGCTGGAAGTTGCGGTGGAGCAGTAGTATCATTCATTAGATCGTCCAAACCAAGATCTAACTGTAAATCATCGACAGGAGCTAGCAATTCATTATCCAAAGAGTTGTTTCCAACGGGAAGTAAACTTGGGGTCCCAAAACTTCTAGCGGAAGAAGCAGGCGATTTTCCAACTTGTGATCCAACAAGTGCACTAAGGTCAGCAGCACCAGTAGGATCATGGGGTGCATCTCTTCCTACTTCAATAGATTGCTCGCTTCTAGGCGTATCAGCGCCTGACTGAAATATAGGTAGTTGAAATTGCATATCAATACTACTACGTCGAAGAGGATCGGAGAAAAAGTTGCTCTCATGAGGAGCATTTCGCGCAGCCTCAATTGACTGTTCTGAAGAAACGACAGAAGGAGAAGATGAAGTAGGTAGGGTATGTAATTCAATGGGACGAGATTTAGGTGTTTGAATAAGTTGAGACCATTGCATATCAAAAGAGCTATCTGGGGCCAAAAGATCAAACTCAGTAATGGTATCTGGAAGAGTAAGATTTGCACTTTGAGCCATGGCATCCTTTCCTTTTATTGAGGTAACAGGAGGGGCATTAATTTGTTCAGCTTGCCCAGGGCGAAAAGTCATTTTGAGCCTTAAGAGAGCTTCATTACAGTCTTCCAATAAGTATCTAGTTTTCCTTGAGTAAATACGGACGACACCAAGCATAAGCTGGCCGGAAAGACGCAATGCCATCGGCGCTGTTTCTTCCGTGACAATGGCATGTACACTTTGTTCGATGTTCGTATGTAAGGTTTGGACCTTGGACAGCTTTTTTTCCCAGTGAGCAGCTAACCATACTTTTGCCAAGGGACCCTAAACGCGAAAAATAGTTAGTTTTCAGTAAAGATGAAACCATTTTTAGGATGTAAACAAAGTACCTTTTTTGAGAGAATCGCCTCAGAATAGAACATGTGACCTCTCTATTAGTGAAGAATAAACAAAGGAATGAAACAACTTGAAAGTAAATATAATAAAAGGGATATTTTATTTTTGTTTTGAAAGAGGTCGTGTACGGTAGTGGATGAGTTTCATTATGATGGGTCGCTATTAAATTGAAACGCGGTACGCGTAAACATTCGTTGCTCTATACGCGAACGTCACGACAACGAAAAGTAAACAAACAATACAATCTCAATTAGTTTACATCATAAAAACAAATATTTCCAGTATCTTGTGGTGAAAATAAATAATATATCAAGAAAAGCCAATAGAATTAGTTAATTTTACTTGAAACCTCAATACAGAAAGCAAGTAGCTGTGTGCTTTTTTTTTATTGTGGAAATGACTGAAAAAGTAACCTTTAAACATTGCTTCCTTAGCAATGACTATTGCTTATTATAAGAATGCTATTTCATTGATTCAATCATTACACTCATAACTTGCATATAGGTCTCTATGTGTTATTTACGACGTCTACGGCCACACCTAGGCGAAAACACCAGTTCCCGTCCGATCACTGCAGTTAAGCGTCTGAGGGCCTCGTTAGTACTATGGTTGGAGACAACATGGGAATCCGGGGTGCTGTAGGCTCCTTTCCTCTCTTTTTGTTTTATTTTTACCATTTAAAAGATATCAGATTAATCTTTTTATTCTCCTGTGGATGGTCTTCTACACTCGTTTCATGTTTGTTTACTTGATGTGTAAACAAACATACATCCTGAACAGGTGTAAATTGAGGTAGAGTTTTGGTCCTTTTGGTCCTTTTCGACTAAATATATGCTTTCAGAAGCATTCCAAACAGCATTCTTTATAAACTCCCTAGCTTCGCCTCTTATGAAGGAATTGCTAAACAAGACCTCAATACAGTCTTCTCCTTCCAGGGCTGTTGCTTCTGACTTTTGTTTAAATTCCAAAATGCAACAACAGAGCGACTCTCTCTCATCTGCTATTATTATTCACCTACATGTTAAATAATCAATGTCTAGCAAAGAAACTGAGATAGGAGGGAGTAAGAACAGACTCAATCCCCATTGTTTCCAAAGCCAAGCTTTCAAGTCTATGTTCCAATAACGAATTGAGTAGAAGTTAAAAACTAGAGGATAGGAGACGTCACAAGTAATTCC